CATTTGGTCAACTGCCTGGTTGGTGAAGGCTTTGGTTTATTCCATTATCACCTCCTGTTAAACACTGCTAGTGAGGTGATCTGGCTTTGGAGACCTCGGGTGGCATCAGCTGGGGCCTCAGTGGACTTAGTGACCTCTTGTGACTTTTGGAGTTGTTTTGAGTTGGTTGGTCTAGAAAATGTTGTGGCCCAATGCTATTCCTGAGATCACTACTTGGGACAGAGAGGCTGCAAAGCTGATCCCAACCAAGACTGGGAGAACGGCCACTCATCTCTTGTGGGTAGAGGGGTTTGTCTATAGAAAAACTCTGAACAATCATATGTTAAATGGGGAAAGAGAACCATCAGTACACATGGGTTTGGAGTGGAGCTATTGTTGTAAGAGTAGAAGGTATGATTAAAAAGGAATGAGGCCAAGTCGACTAGACAGGGTCTAAAATAAAGGACAGTCATTATTAGAGGACCTAAGAAAGATGCTGTCTAAACCATGGGTAAGTTTTCCAATTGAGAGGCAAATAGTAACTGACAAAAGGGGCTTGACAATAATTAGGTGGGCTCCAAGGCCTTGCCAGTTATGAGGCCCAGACCTCTCTCTCTCTCCACAGGGTTTACACCACAAGGGAGGTGTGAACCTCCTTGGGAAGGCACCTGTTGGCTTCCATTACTGAGCTGGCTGGATAAAGGCAGGTTGGGCGTCTCTAACAGGAAATTTACAGTTCTGCCTGCCATGTTGCTGACCCTACTTGGCCCTCCCCTAGCAGTGGTGGTTATTTTGGAAGCTGGGCCGAGTGAAGGGCTTTTCATCTTGGAGCCAACAAACAAGATCTGTGGCTCTGACCTGAAGTCCTTCGACTCCAGGGCAGTTCCATTTCCAGTGATCCAACTCTTGGCTGGCAGAGCTACCAGGGCTCTTCATAAGCTGACTTCTGCTGAAGCCCAGGCTTTCCACATTGAAAGCCACTGCAGTGGACTGCCTGTTGAGTCTTCTTGAGGGCAGATCACTGTAGAGCAGCCATTAATTGGCCTGCCACCTACCTTTGCATTGTTTCTGCTGCCTGGCCTTTCTCCTGGTTTTCGTTAAAGGAAAACAGAGAATGCAAGTCAAGGGGGTGTCTCCAGTCTCATCTTCTAATTTTTGATGTTCTAAAGTAGAAGTCTGTGGTAGGATTTTAAAAACATTTGCCCCTTTTAGGCCTCTGGGCCCTTCTCATTAAGATAACTGTCATGTCTGGGAACACAAGATCATTAAACTTTTTAACTTTTAGACATTTGTATCAATAGCATTTTACAGTATCATAACTTAAAATTTAGCCCACTTTACATCTTGACAGTACCTGTAATATAATCCAAATCGCCTGATATTTCCAGGAACCCAACTGGATATATCAAAGTCCAGATAATTTGGAACTTTGACTTTTCTTTTTGAATGCCTGTCAGCAATGCCAACAAGGCTTAAAATATCTGCTTGAAATAAAATTCCTTAACATCATGATATAATATAGACCAGATTTGATCAGCTACAAGGTGATTACTCAAATGTTTTAGAATAAGCATATTCAAATAAATCATAACTCTTAATAAAAAAAAACTCAGCCGCTGTTAAACAATTAGAACCTAACAGAGACATTAAGAGAATGTAATAGATTACTTTAGCTCATTGCTTTAACAGAGGATCAGATTCTAATTCTGTGTCAAAGAGAAATAGATTAATAGCTTTTTCTTCCAAAAATTTATTGTATAACCTTCTTTTTTTTAAGATCTATTTATTTATTTGAAAAGCAGAGTTACACAGAGAGAGGAGAGGCAGAGGTCTTCCGTCCACTGGTTCACTCCCCAGATGGCCGCAATGGCCAGAGCTGTGCCCATCTGAAGCCCGGAGCTTCTTCTGGGTCTCCCACATGGGTGCAGGGGCCTAAGCATTTGGGCCATCTTCCACTGCTTTCCCAGGCCATAGCAGAGAGCTGGATCGGAAGTGGAGCAGCTGGGACTAGAACCGGCGCCCATATGGGATGCCGGCGCTTCAGGCCAGGGCATTAACCTGCTGCACCACAGTGCCGGCCCCTCTTTTATAACCTTCTGTGACTTCCACACACCCTCTTCAACTTACTTGGAATATTCTGTCATTTCCATTCCAGTCTAAAGTGAAGTAGCCATCAGTATAAAGGAATTCTTATAAACCGTGTCCTCCCCTTATTCAAAAAACTCTTTCTTTCTTAACCTTTCTTACCAAGTGCACATTTCTATACTTGTGATGTTTTCCATCTTTCAGTTTCCTTGATTTACATTTTGAAATAACTTGTTAAAAATCTTCAGATTACAAAAACATTTTTAAATAAGATAACATTGAATTTCTTTTTTTTTTCTTTTTCTTTTTTTGACAGGCAGAGTTAGACAGTGAGAGAGAGAGTTATAGACAGTGAAAGAGACAGAGAGAAAGATCTTCCTTCCGTCGGTTCACTCCACAAATGGCTGCCATGGCCAGCATGCTGCGCTGATCCGTAGCCAAGAGCCAGGTGCTTCTTCCTGGTCTCCCATGCAGGTGCAGGGGCCCAAGCACTTGGGTCATCCTCCACTGCCCTCCCAGGCCACAGCAGAGAGCTGGACTGGAAGAGGAGCAACCGAGACTAGTACCTGGTGCCCCAACTGGGACTAGAACCTGGTGTGCCGGTGCCACAGGTGGAGGATTAGCCAAGTGAGCCATGGCGCCAGCCAGATAACATTGAATTTCAACCCTTACTTACTTTCAAGTGATGTTGAACTATATTCATATGGACAATCTATGAAAACATGTTAGCAAATTCAATTATTAGTTTTTCTATAGAATATAAGGTGTTGAGAGTACCAAAGTTTATATTTAGATGCATTTATCTCATTTACTTTTACCAATTTAAATTAGCAGTTACACCTAAATGACTTAAGATTCTGATACTATATCTCTATCTGAATTCAGTTAAAATTGTGTTCATCTAAAACAAATACTGATTATCCATTGCTGTTTCATTGAGTACTGATTATCCAGAGACCTGTTAAAATAAATTGCAAGATAAGTTCAGCAAGTTACAAAGCAATGTTTTTAAAGGTAGTAATCTTCCTAGATTCAAAGAGAGAAATTTCTTCAAACTCAGTGTCTAGTTACAGTTGCTTTTTTACCCTAAGAGGACCTTAGGTCGGTGATGCCCTAGTCATCAGTCGCCACTTGGGACTGCCTCTGAAACAGACGTTCAGGCAGCCGCCAGACACTTCCCAAAGGTGACAGTGGGCCAGCGGCCGATGCACTAAAGACAGGAGGTCCACTGTGGTGGAGGTCAGGAGACCTGATTTTCCTGTCTAGCTCACTCATGAGGAAAAAAAAGCCGTTGGAAGGATGAGCTACCTGATTTGTTTCTGAGTAAGCAGGGAGCTCTGAAGGATGGGATTACCACTCCCTTGCTATTCTTAAGGTAAAACTGGAACAGGAGAGGGAGGGACAAAGACCAGTTGGAGGACAAAGGCTGGAGGGTGAAAGCACCCAAACTTGTGGGAAGATCATTGATGAGACAGGGGGAGTAGGCTTTGGACCAGGCCTCGTTCTAAGAAAAGTCGGAATTCTTGCACAGGACGGGGAGGTACAGTGAGCCGAGACATTGAAGAATCGGGGCCACGAACATAGAAGGAAGAGGTTTCAGCTCAGGCCCTTGAGCTCTAGTGGAAACTTTGGAGGCCAAAGGACCTGGGACAGAGAGCAGGAAGTACACATAGAAGGCTTAGCTCGAAGATAGGAAAAGCCTGAGCATATGGGTTCTCTTTCCATTTTCCCTGTCACTCACAGAAATGATAAAGCTATCAGGGTTGGCGTTTGAGGTCTGGAGCCAATTTGAAAGGGACCATATTACTTAGAAGGCGAACGAGAGGAGAATTTGAACGTGAGAAGAAAGATGCTCCCATGGTGACCTGTAAAGTTGGATCAGTGGATATTAGGCACCTCCAGGATCACAGCCGTCCAACTGATGAGACGATGTGGGAACAGAGGGCAGGGATTGTCACCCACGAGCCCACTGCAGCTTAGGGCTTAGCCCATAGGAGGAAAACAGGAGGTTGAGTCATCACCCACACCCACTGTTACCCGGACACAGTGTCCATAGAGACTGAAGGCCGTAGAGAGTTGTGGTTTTGCCCAGTACCAGTACTTGGGGACAAGAGTAGAATCACAACCTGTAGTAGAAGTTGCCATGGCAACTTCCCATTCCCCGTCTTACCTCAGAATTTGGAAGGCCACTGTATGGATGGAGATCATGAAGTGTTCGGTGGTGTGGAAGGAGTTCTGGGGGTGTTTTGTGACTGGCAGAAATCCAGGACCCCAAGGCAGCTCAGAGATCCCTGAAGGGAGAGCAAAGTCACTGGGGTAGCCTGGATCTGAGTCACAGCACCAATGTAAGGCCACCACAAAACAGCCCTGGTTAGGAAGATGGCACCATCTTACTGACATTCACCAGGGTGGTTGGCTTAATTGGGGCTATTGGTTGGGTGCCCACTACCCTCAGCCTTTCCAGCATGGTGATCTTAGACTGATTAGTATTTTTATTTGGTCGCTTAGGGCTCCAGGAGACAGTGTTCCAGCAGTGAAGGCAGGTACCACATGATCTTTTACAACCTTGCCCTGGAAGTTAGCTTCAGTTTCACTAATACTCCATTCATCACATCAGTCACAAGCATGCTCTGAAAGAGTAACAAAGAATCTGTATTTTACAGTCATGCTTGCATTTGTATGACATTGAATTCACTCAGTGATCATGCTGTTTGGATTTGAATTCATAGATGAAATCTTCTAAGGTTATTAAAATATCTATAACTTTTGATATTTTTTGTAAGTAAATCTTGTTGGAATCTGGGAGATTTACTGCCTTTACTAGCTTAAATATAGAACCAGATATAAGATGACTTTGTAAAATATAGACATTCTGTGTATTTTCAAACCTTATACATAATCTTGCCTTTCAGCACTATCTTAATTTTTCTTTTCAGGTAAGCTTTTGGGTTGTTAGAGAGATTCTTCATGCTCAGACATTAAAGATTAGAGCAGAAGTTTTGAGTCACTATATTAAAACTGCAAAGGTAAGGAAATCCTCTGTTTTTTATTTTCTAAGTTCAACCATTCAGAGATGTTTCTGAGTGAATATTTACCATTTATCATATAATGATATTGGGGAATTAGGCTTATAATCAATATAAGTTAATTTTTTAAATTGGATGCCTGTTTTCTCTGCTTTTCCCTTTACTCTTATTTCCCACTCCTTCTGTATCCCACCTCTCTGAGCAGCTGAGTTCTGTGATCTGTTTCACTGGATAAATATTCAGTGTCATGGTAAAGTATGATACTAATAAATATTGGCATGCTTTGCAGATGATGGAGAAAACTACACAGAATTAAGTAGAGAATACATACCAGTTATTTTGCTTCCAAAACATCACTCTGCAAGCCATATGGAGAATAATAAGACTGTTTTTTAAAGCATAGCGTATGTGACGTTACCAAATAAATTAACTGCACAGTTACTGTTACGGCATAGATGGGCAGTGAAGCAAGAGACATGGAGTGGAGCAAGAGTTTCAAGAATAGTCTGCACTCAGCGTGGGGTGAGGATGCTCTAAACAGGATTCTGAGGTTTCATTGAAAGATGCATCAGCTCCAGATTTGTGTTGAGGTCTCTAAGAAGTGTGGGAATTGTAGCCGTGCTCATTCTTCGTTATTCCTGTAATAAATAACATATGTCACTTGAGAATTAAAGTGCAATAAGCAAGGATGCTATGTCTATAGTGACTTAACTTTTCCATATTTTCCTGAAACACATGGAAGCAAATGTCTTCTAACAAATTCTGTGGCACTAGGTGGCAGAGCTGGTCTTCTACAAAGTAATATTTTGCAAAAGAGGTTATCCAAATTTTAAAAATATTCTTATGATATGTTAGATACACATAGGGTTTTTAACTAGGAGAACATAATGACTTTTTTTGCATAGGCTTGATTTTCCATTAGATTTCTCAGATATTTTTATTAGTTTTTGTATTTACTTAAATGTTACAATAAAAATCAAAATCAGCAGATTTATCCATCAAACACACCACTGTCCTTCTCAACAGATAATCATTGAATTCTTGTTTGGACTCTTAGACTTTGAGTTATTTTTGACAGCACTTGCCTTCAAGCCAAGCCCTGAATTCCTGATTATTTTTATCCATCACTGTTTCCTAAATCCCTTTATTCTGACTCTGCCTTCTAGATTCAATGTTATGAAACTGGCAAGTTGGGGCTGACATTGTGGTGTGGCTGGTAAAGCTGCCGCTTGTGACACCAGCTTCCCCCATGGGCACTGGTTCTAGTCCGGGCTACTCTGCTTCCCATCCAGCTCTTTGCTAATGCACCTGGGAAAGCAGTGGAGGATGGCCTAGGTACTTGAGCCTCTGCCACCCATATGAAAGATGCAGATAGAGTTTCTGACTCCTGGCTTCTGGCTTCCAGCTGGCCCAGCCCCCGCTGTTGTGGCCATTTGGGGAATGAACCAGTGGATGAAAGATACCTCTCTGAGTGTGTGTGTGTGTGTGTGTGTGTGTCTATCTATGAGTCTGTCTCTGTAACTCAAAATAAAGTAGCACGTTTGTCATTCTCCTTTAGTAAAGTGTCAGTCAGTGTTCTCCAGAGAAACAGAACCAGCATGTTCTATATAAGCCCATATGAACAAATATAGATAGAAAATATATGAAGAGATCTGAGGAACTGGCTCATATGATTGTAGGGTCTGCCAAGCCTGACATCTGTAAGGCGAGCCAGTAGGCTGGAACTCGGGCAGGAGTTGAGGTAGTCATCTTTTTTGTTTTTGTTTTTGTTTTTTTTTAAGGATTTTTATTTATTTATTTGAAAGTTGAGCTTCAGAGAGAGAGGGAGAAATAGAGACAGAGAGATTGTCTGTACACTGATTCACTGCAAGTGGCGGGGCCCAGGCACTTGGGACATCATTCACTGCTTTCCCAGGCACATTAGCAGGCAGCTGGATCAGAAACAGAGCAGCCAGTACTGCAACTTCACTCTGATCTGGGATACTGACATCACAAGCTGTGACTTTACTTGCAGTGCCACGCCAGCCCTTTGGCAAGAGTCTTGAGGAAGAATTTCTTCTTTTCTGGAAAGCCTCAGTTTTTACTCATAAGGCCTCAACTGATTGAATCATGTGCCCAAATATTATCAAGTGTAATCTCTTTTCCTTTTTTTTTTTTAAACTTTTATTTAGTAAATATAAATTTCCAAAGTACAGTTTATGGATTACAATGGCTTCCCTCCCCCCCATAATTTCCCTCCCACTTGCACCCCTCCCATCTCCCGCTCCCTCTCCCATTCCATTCACATCAAGATTCATTTTCAATTATCTTTATATACAGAAGATCGATTTAGTATATATTAAGTAAAGATTTCATCAGTTTGCCACCCACACAGAAGCACAAAGTGTAAAATACGGTTTCAGTACTAGTTATAGCATTATTTCACAATGGACAACACATTAAGGACAGATCCCACATGAGAAGTAAGTACACAATGACTCCTGTTGTTGACTTAACAAACTGACACTCTTGTTTATGGCGTCAGTAATCTCCCTAGGCTCTAGTCATGAGTTCCCAAGGCTATGGAAGCCTTTTGAGTTTGCCGACTTCGATCTTATTCCGATAGGGTCATAGTCAAAGTGGAAGTTCTCTCCTCCCTTCAGAGAAAGGTACCTCCTTCTTTGATGGCCCCATTCTTCCCACTGGGATCTCACTCGCAGAGATCTTTCATTTAGGTCTTCTTCTTCAGTGTGGTTTTTTGTTTTTTTGTTTTTTTGTTTTTTGTTTTTTTTTGGCCAGAGTGTCTTGGCTTTCCATACCTAAAATATTCTCATGAGCTCTTCAGATCCGAATGCCTTAAGGGCTGATTCTGAGGCCAGGGTGCTGTTTAGGACATCTGCCACTCTGAGTCTGCTGTGTATCCCGCTTCCCATGTTGGATCGTTCTCTCCCTTTTTGATTCTGTCAGTTAGTATTAGCAGACACTAGTCTTGTTTATGTGATCCCTTTGACTCTTAGACCTATCATTATGATCAATTGTGAACTGAAATTAATCACTTGGACTAGTGAGATGGCATTGGTACATGCCACCTTGATGGGATTGAATTGGAATCCCCTGGCACGTTTCTGACTCCACCATTTGGGGCAAGTCTGATTGAGCATGTCCCAAATTGTACATCTCCTCCCTCTCTTATTCCCACTCTTATATTTAACAGAGATCACTTTTCAGTAAAATTTAAACACCTAAGAATAATTGTGTGTTAATTACAGAGTTCAACCAATAGTATTAAGTAGAACAAAAAAATACTAAAAGGGATAAAGTATTAAGTTGTTCATCAGCAGTCAGGACAAGGGCTGATCAGGTCACTGTTTCTCATAGCTTTGATTTTTTTTTACATGAGTGTTTCATCTGCCTGGAGTACATTTTTATATACCCTTATGTGATGTAGAGATTCTATTTTGTATATTTCCATATGAACAGTTAGTTATTCTGGCACCTTAAAAATTTTTTTAACTTGGGGCCATATTTTTGGTGTGTGCTTCTTTTTAATTTTTAAAGTTTGGGAGGCGGAGAGACAGGTCCCATCCATTAATTTATTCCCCGAATGCCTACAGTGACCAAAGTTGGGTCAGTACTGAAACTGGAAGGTAGAAACACAATCCAGGTCTCCCACATACCTAGCAGGAACTCAATTGATTTGTCCATCACCACTATCCCTTTGATTTCTTTTTCTTGCCTAATGGCTCTGGCTAAAACTTCCAGGACTGACTGTATTGAATAGCAGTGGTGAGAGTGGGCATCCTTGTCTGGTTCTGGATCTTAGTAGAAATGCTTCCAGCTTTTCCCCATTCAATAAGATGCTGGCTGTGTGTTTGTCATGAATTGCCTTGATTGTGTTGAGGAATGTTCCTTTTATACCTAATTTGCTTAGTGTTTTCATCATGAAATGATGTTGCATTTTTTCAAATGCTTTTGCTTCTGTTGAGATCATCGTATGGTTCATATTCTTGAATTTTGAGTATAAGTTAGACTGAGAGTAGGTCATTGTAAAAATTGAAGGAGTGGGAAAAAAAAAGTTCTCCAATGTTTTAGGCAAAAACTTCTTTCTAAGTCTGTTTTGTTTCCTTGCTGTTATGGCCAGTACAGGGTACCTCTTGTTCTTTGTGAAATTGCCAGTCCAGCTTGAGGTGTTGTTATTCTTTGCTCATTTTTACTAACAGCATTTTAAGTACTTATTTGGGCTACAAATTTGCATGAGTTGCCTCTGTACTTTTCCTTTGTCCTGAGATTCAGAAAGGGCATTGTTGTTTGCAGTCTGTTGGTGGTTGGTGGGATTTACTTCTATCCCCCTACCCAGCAACTGCAGTCCTGGTATCTCTGCCTTCTGTGGTGAGGGTCTTTTATTAATACCTGTTCTTAAATTGGCCCTGGGCAGTGTGTCCCCCAAAGCTGGGAAGACTAACCAGGTGATTGCCTCCGAGTGTTCCCTACTTTCTTGCTGGCCTAACAGTGCATTTCATGAGATGCTTTTCATGTCTTACCTGGTACTTTGTTTTCAAGGTGTCTGATTCGCCATGCCTTTGCTGGATATAAAGCCCTCCTTTCACTGCAGCACCTCTGACCCTGGTGTATTTGAAATCCTTATCATCTTCTCTTGTCTGGACCACTAAAAGGGTTCCCAACTGTTCCCTTCCTATGTGCTGCCTTTCACTCTGATCTTTCTAAAATGCAGTGCACATCTATAATACTTATCCAAAGTCTTTGGGGTCAGATACGTGCAGAATTTTTTTTTGCCTAAAGTTATAGAAAGCTTGCACAGTCCTCTCCCCTTTCACATTAACTATTTTTGGACCAAAGCCTGTCTATCGTAAACCTCACATCAGGTCAGGTTTTTCCAGCGAATGAATTTGAGGCCATACTTATCAGGAAAAAAAAAAAAAAAAGAAAGGAAAAAGAAAATTTTTGACTTTTCAGTCTTTGGATTTTTAGAATTGCAAGGAAACTGCTATTTGAATATATCATTCTGAATTTTTAAAATTCTCTATATCCTCCACTGGAGTCCATACTGCTTGTGAGAGCAGTAACCTCCTTACTTCGCATGTGAAATAGCCCATGCTGTCCTGCCTGCATCCGGGCCCTACATGCAGCCATCTCTGGAGCTCCCCAGAGCCTCCATGCCTTTGTGCTGTCTCTACCCTGTGTTCCTCTTTCTCACAGGGCTCTCTCACTGGCACGTGTCACTCTGGAGATCTGGCCTTTCTGACACAGGCAGACTCTGAACACACTGCTGTTCCAGGAATAGGCAGCTTGCTTGTTTTCATGTCTGCTTGCCTCGCTATTCTGAAGCATCTTCCTTTCCATGTTTGGGTGTGTAGTCTAGCATTGTGCCTAAGCTGCAGCAAATGGCTGAGTACACACTGATTGAATGGCTTCCCAAGAACCTTATATAACCTTCTTATGCAAAGGTCTGTATCCTGTCTTTATTTATTTATTTATTTTTCTCATTTGTTTTCTTCGGATTTTTAGTTAAATGCTTCATCACAGCATTTTCTAGACCTGGGGCCTGGTAGCAGGGACTGTTCTAAAATGACTGAATTTTTTAGACAGGACCTTTGGGATGCAAGCATCAGGTAGTGTGAGAAAATAAAGGAAGTTAGAAGTGAGTGCCAGGTCAACCTGTTGGCACACCTCTCCTGTTGGGCAAGTGCTTTCTGCATGCAAGTTCTAACAGCAGTGTTCCAGTCCAGCATGAAGGAAGTCAGGCAAGAAGAAGTGGGAAACGCAGGACGACTATGGAAAACAGCCTGAAAACCCAGCCCTGGAGTAACAGGAATACTGGGTGCGAAAGCAGATCAAAGTCCAGGTTTTAGATAGAATTTACACAACTAGGAACATAAAGCAGAAGTCCCATGGTGTTTCAGTGTAAGAAAGGAAACTGCTTACTAGAAACAGGTGCTTGACCATACAGGTGAACTTGATACTCAGCGATAACTTTGAGTTTTCAGATATATTACCCAACCAGAGGTATGTTTATTCCCAGAGTTGGGGACAGTGCCAGTATAGAAGATGGAAGCTCTGTTGTGTTCCAAAGCCAGCTCACCGTAAGCACGGCAGGTGCTCAAAAGACAAATCTCAGGAACAGGGTAGGCAGTACTGGACCACCAGTTTGCCCAGATTGTACTTGTTAATATAAATGTTCCTTGCACTCATGTTTACTTCTGCTTTTTATCCCCGCTTTTTGTTAAATCTTCAGAAACTGTATGAGCTGAATAACCTTCACGCACTTATGGCAGTGGTTTCTGGCTTACAGAGCGCCCCAATTTTCAGGTTGACTAAGACATGGGCGGTAAGTAATCTTCCTTAGCTAATGAAATAAAGATGTATTTGTTCTTCTTGTAGTTCTTAGTAAGGATAATACTATGATAATAGATAGGGATTTTAAAATTACTTTGCTCTTTGAACCTCCATTTTCTCTTCTAAAGTGTTCCCATGGGTTTGCAAGTGATTTTGTGGTTGATTACAGTTTGCTGCTTTGTCTAGGGAATCATTTTTGTAACTTTTCTGACAGTTTAGTATTTCACATTCATCCGCTTTATCTGATTGCAAAAAATGCATTTATTAATTTAAAGATTATGCTTTTAGGAAATTTGTAGAAGATATAAATTTTAAGTTTTTTTAAAAATCACCAATTTCAATTTTCAATTTTTTTTATTTGACAGGTAGAATTAAAAACAGTGAGAGAGAGAGACAGAGAGAAAGGTCTTCCTTCTGTTGGTTCACCCCCTAAATGGCCGCTACGGCCGGCGTGGTGCCGATCCGAAGCCAGGAGCCAGGTGCTTCCTCCTGGTCTCCCATGTGGGTGCAGGGCCCAAGCACTTGGGTCATCCTCCACTGCCCTCCCAGGCTACAGCAGAGAGCTGGACCAGAAGAGGAGCAACTGGGACTAGAACCCAGTGCCCAAATGGGATGCTGGTTCCGCAGGCGGAGGATTAACAAAGTGAGCCACGGCACCGGCCCCCCAGTTTCCAACATTTTAAAACCAGGGTATTAGTAATATCATCTCCATGAAGATTTCAGTCAGTAAGATTTGTGACAGAATGAATACTGGCTCATGGGCTCTTTACTAAAATCTTCAAGATACAGGAGGGGCAATGACTTACACATCTCTAAATTATAGTTACATAGTGTTGTAGTCTAGTGCTCTCTTGTCTAATATGGTAACCACGAGCTACATGTGACTGTCATTTAAATCATTAAAATTGAATAAAAATTCAGTTCCTCAGCCATACTGACCACATTGCAAGTGCTCAGTTCAGTTGTGGGTATTGTAATGGAAGGCACAGACATAAAAGATTTTCATCTTCACACATCCTTTTGGACAGCTCTGATCCCGCTACCTTGGAGTTAACAAAACTAGAGAATCATAGGAATGGGGATGATAATTGGAAGATATTATGAAGAGTAAGGAAGAAACATTGCACCTACCACTGCCTCCAGGTTTATATTACAGGTTTAAAGGAAGACAGATAATGTTTAAAGAAAAGATTAAGGATGGGGATTTTGCAGAGGATGGCCTATGAGTTCCAGTTTGAACGGGTTAGCTGGTATAGACTATTGCGTCAAGTTAGAGAATAATGAAGATTGTGTGGGTTTCATGCCAATTTGGATTAAATTTTTGATGAATGAAGAAGTGAGGGTTTTTTGTTGTTGTTGTTGTTGTTTGTTTGTTTGTTTTGACAGACAGAGTGGACAGTGAGAGAGAGAGCCAGAGAGAAAGGTCTTCCTTTGCCATTGGTTCACCCTCCAATGGCCGCTGCGGCCGGTGCACCACGCTGATCCGATGGCAGGAGCCAGGTGCTTCTCCTGGTCTCCCATGGGGTGCAGGGCCCAAGCACTTGGGCCATCCTCCACTGCACTCCTGGGCCATAGCAGAGAACTGGCCTGGAAGAGGAGCAACCGGGACAGAATCCGGCGCCCCGACCGGGACTAGAACCCGGTGTGCCGGCACCGCTAGGCGGAGGATTAGCCTGTTGAGCCACGGTGCTGGCCCTTTTGTTTGTTTTTAATTTGAGAGAGTGAGAGCGAGCTCCTGTGCACTGGCTCGTTCCCCAGATGCTAGTAACGGGCAGCGCTAGAGTGAAGGCAGAAAAGAGGAACTCAGTTCAGTTCTTCTTTGTGGATGGCAGGAATCCAGTTATTTGAGTAATTATTGTTGCCTCCCAGAGTTTGTGTTAGCAAGAATCGAATCAGGAGCCAGAGCCAAGTATTAAACCCAACCATTCCAGTGTGGAACATGAATGTCTAAACCACGAGGCTAAATACCAATCCCTGCGGGACATGGTTGTTGTGATTTTTTTGTTGTTGTTGAAGATTTATTTTATTTATTTGAAAAGCAGAGTTAGGGGGAGACAGGGAGAGAGAGACAGAGAGTTCTTCCATCCGCTGGTTCACTCTCCAAATGGCCACAATGGCCAGAGTTGAGCCGATCCTAAGCCAGGAAACAGTAGCTTCCTCTGGGTCTCCCACGTGGGTGCAGGGCCATCTTCCACTGCTTTCCCAGGCGCATTAGCAGGGAGCTGGATCAGAGGTGGAACAGCTGGAACTCAAAGCGCCACCCATATGGGATGCCGGCACTGCAGGCAGCAGCTTAACCCACTACGTCATAGTGCTGACCCCTATGATTTTATTTTAACTGGTAAAAGGATTTACAAAAAAGCCTGAAGCATTTTATGTAGGGAAAGCATCAAGACCTTGCTGTGTAATATCAAGGAGAAGGATCTTCCATCTGCTGATCCTTGCCTATCAAAAAAAAAAAAATGTAAATAAGCTAAAAATTTTTTTATGACCGGCACTGTGGAGTATCAGGAAAAGTGGCATCACATGTGAGCAACAGTTCAAGTCCCAGCTGCTCCTCTTCTGATCCAACTCTCCACTTTGCCTGGGAATGTAGTAGAAGATGGCCCAAGTCCTTGGGTCCCAGTGGGAGACTCAGAAGAAACTCCTGGCTCCTGGTTTCAGATCAACCCAGCTCTGGCCATTGCAGCCACTTGGGGAGTGAACCAGCAAATGGAAAACCTTTCTCTCTGTCTCTGTGTCTGCAACTCTACCCTCAAATAAATAAATAAATAAATCTTTATAAAAAGAATTTTTTTTTAAATGACTGAAATGGTAAATTTTATGTATATTTCATAGCATTTTAGAATAGAGTTTATTACAGAGGCTGAGTGTATGATTGATATAGAAATTAATTGTGGGGGTGCCAGTTCAGTGGCATAGTAGGTAGGGCTGCTGCCTGCAGTGCTGGCATCTCATATGGGTACCAGTTCAGGTCCCAGCAACTCCACTTGCAGTCCAGCTCTCTGCTGTGGCCTGGGAAAGCAGTGGAAGATGGCCCAAGTCTTTAGGTCCCTGCACCTGCATGAGAAACCTAGAAGAGGCTCCTGCCTTCGAATTGGCACCGTTCTGGCTGTTGTGGCCATCTGGGGAGTGAACCTGCAGGTGGAAGACCTCTCTCTCTCTCTCTGCCTCTGCCTCTGCCTCTGCCTCTGCCTTTCAAATAAATAAATAAATAAATCTTAAAAAAAAATTTGGGGGCCAGCGGTGTGCACAGTAGGTTCTCCACCTGCGGTGCCGGCATCCTATATGGGCACCGGTTCTAGTCCAGGCTGTTCCTCTTCTACCCAACTCTCTGCTATGGCATGGGAAATCACTGGAAGATTGCCCAAGTCCTTGGGCCCCTGCACCCACTTCGGATCAGCGCAGCTCCAGCCATTGTGGCCATCTGGGGAATGAACCTGCAGATGGAAGACCTTTTGCTTTGTCTCTCTGTCTGTAACTCTACCTCTCAAATAAATAAATAAAAATCTTTAAAAATAAAAAATGACTTTATAATAATACTAAGTTTCTGAGTTATCAAGAGGAAAATATGTGTGTTTATATATTTTATGTATATTTATATGTTATATATATTTACTTATATATGTATTCTTCCCCCAATTAGTCTCTGGAAGCAGATCTCTCCTATCACAGCCCAAATTGAATCCTATTATTCAAGTTACTTATTTATTACAAAAAGTACAAAAGTTTATTTTTAGGCATCTTAAACCATGTAGTTCTTTACTACGGTTTTGTTTTACCTGTGGCAAGATCAGTTATAAGTAGTTGGTTTCTCATATTGTACCACAGTTTTTTATGGATTTGGGGAGCCCATACATACAGCAGTATTTTGCATATCTGAATGCTTTGTTACATAGGAGAGCAAGGGATGCTAATGGCTAGAATCTCAGGTGGCAAATAGGGATTTGCACCTAATCTTGGAAACTTGAGGCAAATGTACTGAAGTAGGACGTGTACAGATAGTAAAAACTATTGTTTTAGACCATGGAATATCCAGCTAAAACATTGAAGTACTTCTTGAAGCCCTGTTTTAAAGAGGGAGGGATACTGCTCAAGTATTTTTTGATGGAGTTTACCTGAAGGTAATCTGCGTCTTTGAACCTAGAAAAGTAGATCCCAACCATACTCCTTGTAATATGGGGAAGAGTAGTGGATTAGATGTCAGAATATTTTTATCGCCAGAACCAGACTGAGATTCGGAGAGCCAGGGACATATGTCTTTCTGAGCAGATGAGTGCACATAATCATATATTCTGCTCTTTGCTAACCCTGTGATCCTCTTAATACTCAAAGTCTTTTGTTAATCGCATAAGAGAATCAGCCGAGAATTCTGTAGGTGGAAGTGTTTTGCTTGCTGTACAGTAATACCAATATTTGACATGAGATAAAGCAAAATCTTATTACGTAGTAAGGAAATAGTAACTTCATAGGTTTATAAAGAAATACTTTCCCATGGTCTTTGGAATGATTCAAAAGAAGAATTCCTGAACTTTTGGTTAACATTTGGTGGGTAACTGACTCTGCTTTTCCCTTACTCCCCTTGATTGTTGAGATCAGAGGGTGCTCATTACAATTTACCCTTCAGGCCCCTTAAAACACTACCTTTTAGTTACGCTAAGAGAAAGCATTGGTAAGAGAAATCAGAAAAATTTCTACAGTGTTTTAAAGTTATTATCTGGACTGGCTATGATTAAATGTGTCAAGAAAAATTGTTATAAAAATTTAATATTTATTTCTTAATGATATGCAAGAATGATCTCTTAGGAAAGAGGTCAGCCAGTTTAAACATTTGGGCAGTGAGCTAAGTATGAATACATAATTATTTTAAATTACAAAAATGGTCAGAAATTGCTTAATCATTTAAGATATTAAAGATAAATATATAATTTATACTCAGTAAATTGTTTTTATAAACATACAAAAGCTATGTTACAAATAATTAATATGGGTGATTATCTAAATAGACATAACTAATTTTGTTTCTGCATTACCAAAATATATTTAATGAAGGTATAATTTGAAATTAGAATGCAGATTGACAGTAAATACAGTGTTACTTGAGGTCTTTGCTACAATAAAATGGGATTTGTAAATAACTTGGATTTTTTCTTTTTTCTTTTTTTTTCAGTTACTAAGTCGAAAAGACAAAACTACCTTTGAGAAATTAGAGTATGTAATGAGTAAAGAGGATAACTACAAAAGACTCCGAGACTATATAAGTAGCCTAAAGATGACGCCTTGCATCCCCTACTTAGGTGAGTTACGGCACTGTGCGCTCGTTGTTTCTAGTAGTGTGCAATTCAGTATATTTTTAAGTGAATATATCCTTTATGTAAATTCCTGCAAGATGCTAAGTTGGAAATACTGAATAAAGGAAGTTGTTACTTTTTATCTGGAATGTATTTTTATGTGAAGTTAGCCTTTTGTTCTTAAGATTTTCTCAGACTGTTAAGTTTTCTAAAGGATGGGCCATATGGTAATATTAAAATAATACATGTTATCAATGCTTTTGAAGAATAAAAGTTAATAATGAAGTTTATTTAAAATAACTAAAAAATTGATCAAGATTCTTAGATAATTGGCAGATATTTTAGTGTGAATTCTGAAGAGTAATCTCAGTGAATGTTGGCATTATTGTTGACTTGGATGAAGTGAGTTGTTTTGCTTTAGAAATTCAACTTAGTGCTGACTCAGCTCTGTGTTTTAAATATTATTGGATAAGAATTTACTTCTGTGCTGTGCGTCTTACAGTGCTTCTAAATTCCAAGAAATATTTAACCAATAACTTCATAAAACCATTTGCATCAAAATACAAATGTTTTATTAGGTGTTAGAAGTCTCAAACTGTTCTTTTTAATTTGTATATAAATTAAATATATAGAAAAACTCTGATATATAACTAACATGTATTAAAATAAATTGATTTGATCCTATGTAGAGAGTAAGCAAATGATAAAGCTTGCTTCTTTCTAAATATCACTCCCCCCTACCGCGTAGGAACAGGGAGCTAGACTCAGCCTTTATGTAACTACTCAGTCTGCATTTCGGAATCGCTGTTTCTGAGAGTAACTGAAAAGCCCGTTATTGGTTTAGGAAACTCCACTGTGCTACCTTTTCTGTACCAGTGACTAAAGGACAAAAAGGGCCAAGGCAGTTGAGACATGGGTTCAGCCCTGGAGAGCATCAGCCTTTGTTGACTACAGAGGAGTTGTGCTTTGTCTTCTGGACTTTGTTTATTGGCTGCTCTTTGTTTGCCTTTATCTTTTAGTAAAGGTCTCAGTCCACTTCTTTTCTTACTTCTTACAGTCATTTGAGGTGGTCTCATTCACTCCCAGATCTAGAATAGAACTGTATGTTTAGCTGTCTTGTCATGTGGGAGCCTCATCACGTTTTAGCTGCTAGAGTACTGATTGATTGAATATCCAGGTAACTCCAATTGAACGTGTGCAGAAATGGATTCATTATCTTTCCCCCTTCCTCCAGACCTGCTCCCTGTCTTACCTCCTAGCTGTAGTCTGCAAGGACCACATTAGTGTAACTTCACTGCTGCACCAACCTCCAAACCTGGGGTTTCACCACACTTCCCCTCTTCCTTCTCTCTGAACTGTATTCTCCGGTAAAGTGAGATGAATGTGTCTGAGGATAATCTAAGTTAGAAACTAAAAGGGGAAAAAATGACAAAGAACATAAGACATGAAAATGGAGAACATAGACTTTAGCGTCTACATAATTTTACATGTTGATAGGCTTCGTAGAGTTCACCCCTATACTTTCATGTGAAGGAGCTTGTATATATATATATATGTGTGTGTGTGTGTGTGTGTGATCACTGCACACTGCTTGGCATAAACATTTGTTAGATTTGAAAAAAGAAAATGAAACATCTGTCATATAAGTTATTATGACTTGGTTTTGGTAATCTCTGGCATGAAAATTGTCCTTTTAAAGTAGTAACAGTTTTGTTCTATAGCAAATCTTGAGGTTAAATGTATTCAATCTCCAAAAACACACATGCTTTTCCTAAGAAAATGTGAAGCAAATCTCTTATACAACTTTCTGACTGCATGATGGACAGGTGGTTCTTTTTTTTTAATTCGTTATCTTTTGTACTGAAGTATGTTGAAGAAAGATTTAACAGTTTAAAAATTTATTTATTTAGTTAAAGAGAGAGAAGGAGAGGCAGAGAGAGAGAGAGGTCATCCATCCACTGGTTCACACTCCAGTTGTCCACAATGGCCGGAGCTGCAGCAATCAGAAGTTGAGAGCCAGAAGCTTCTTCTGGGTCTCCCATGTGGGTGCAGGGACCAAAGCACTTGAGCCATCTTCTCCTGCTTTCCCAGGCCATAGCAGAGAGCTGGATCAGAAGTGGAGCAGCCGGGACTCAAACCGGTGCCCATATGGGGTGCCGGCACTGCAGGTGGTGGCTTTACTCACTATGCCACAGCGCCGGCCCCAAGATTTAACAATATATATCCTAGCAGAGTTAAATTTTTCATAGTTTATTCTAATTTAAATTAATTAGGTTGTAATTTTTAAATTTAACTTGTCTTGATTTCAGAATCCTTTCCCATTTAGTACAGGTGCCAAAAGCTTCAGCATTTATGAGATGCTGTACATTTGATCAGAGTGAACTTACCCTGAAGATGTGTAAGATAACATTTCTTACACATGTTGGTAACTGTTTTTAACTGTTACTCTTGAGATGTAAAGAATTTGCATAATACACCCTTTATCCATTTTGACTGCAGGAGTTCTTAGGAAAGAATATGTCATCTGCAGAAGTTGGAGGGTAGAGAAAGCTAGTCATCTGTTTTCTTATCATAAGAGATGTGGTTCAAACTCTTAGCAACTTCCCACTAAAAATGGTGGTCGAAACCAACCATTCCTTGTGAAATTTTGCAAAGGGGGTAGAGGTTTCTGTGTCAACAGAAGTCCTATTTTGAGACTGTTAAGTTTATCTGTGATTTAATGTGGGTTAAACTGTAAGAAGTAGAAGATGTTTTCTTGGCTCTCAACTCATATCCTTTGAAAAAATACCTTATGTTGGTTTGCATTCAAGGTAAAAATTAGTCAGCTTGGATAATACAGTGAAGATTTCTTAGAACAAGGATACTATTTGTCTACAGCAGGATAGTTTGGCAGATCTCAAGGAAAAAATTACTTTATATGAATTACTGCTTTAAATCTGAAAATCATGAACAACACTCATTTGTTCTTGTCATTGGAGAATGATCTTCAGGGGCTTGCTGAGGAATTCGGCATGGGGAGTTATGCTTTGCTGCAAAGAGAAAGCTAGATGGTTGTACCAAAATATTCAGTTGTATGAAACAGAAATACTCTTTCATGTGCATTTTCTAAGCCTACTTTAGTCGTGTGATGAGAAGTGCAGAAGCTTAGCCAGCTCAGGATGCTCTTTGGAAAGAATGCATATTTTTAAAAAGCTATGAAAATAAGTAAATTGCTGCAGCACTATGTATTGCTTCCTATTAGGTAGGAGCAGAACGTTAGCCAGGTTTTTCTGAAGTCTCCAGCCATTCAGTAAGGCATGAGTACACTGAGTTGATGTATCTAAATATGCCTTCTCACTCTCAGAGAGAGAGCTTTTTCTCCTTCACCATTTACTCTCCAATTTAATGTCAGGTTTTCATGGTAGGATTTTTTTTGTGTGAAAAGAAAAGGCTGTCATGTAATGATGTGTATGATAATATAATATGAAATAATAATGTATAACCTATGTGATATGGTTCCCGTTGCCCACCACTTTCAGAAAACATCCTGTTTCATTTCCATTATAATACTTTCATTAAGCTGCCCCCACCTCCAGACAGAGTATAAGCCCGTATTTGTCTTGGTTCAAGGATTTATTCTTAACAACATATAGAACAGAGGTAGGCACTTAATAGTTAGTGGCTCAGCCAATTAAATGACCCCTTTCTGGCTCTTCCCATTGTTCCATTAATTTAATTTGTTTTAATTTCTGTTGACATACAGTAAGCTTATTTTTATGACAGATTTGCATGGATCAACAACTTCTGCTGCATCTCCAGTTTTCTTTGTTACCTCCGCGAGTAAGCAGTGTTTCTTAGCTCCATGCTTGGGGCAGGTATATATAGCAGGTGATGACGTGGACATGGTGTCTGCCTTTATACATCTCTAGTAGCAGAGGTGCAGGTTACTATCACTCGTCATGAATACTGTTCTCTCTCCTGTGCTGTGGAACGGGCACCCATTCATTGCCTTGCACCTTGCATTGTTCTCATCGCCATTAGTGAATTTTCAAAGCATACTCACTTAGAAGGCTCTTCAGGTTTTATTTGATCCTTTAATAATAATTTTCAGCAGTCTTTACCTGTACTGAAATGTTAAATACTTGTCTCTCAGTAGAATACAGTTCTTTAGGTTTACATGAACTTTGGAAACTTCTTCTAAGCTATGTACAAATATTTTCAAAAGCAGTAATTTTAATTCACATTTCTGTTCGGACAGTTTCAGTAATGCCCAAGGCTTTCTACAGCTCTGTGGGAATTAATGGGATATTTTTCTTCCTCTTTAATATAATTTTACCTGATTAAATATATAAAAGGCTCTGACACTGATCTCAAAAATGAGTAATGATAAAATTGTCACTGACTTTGAATATTTTAGGAATTTTATTCTGTCTTCCTTGTTTTGGTTTGGTTTGTAAATAGTATACACTATATGGATTGCTTTACCCTTTTCTTCTGATATGTGCTGTTATATATTTTATTCTAAAATAACAATAAAGTATGTTTAGTCAACTTCTTTTGGATCCTGAAAATGAATGCTAACCAAATGGCAGCTAGCCCTAGGTTTTTCTTTAGCCAAAATTACATCCCCGTTTTCCATTACATCATTTATATCCTTTTTTACTCTCGTTCTTTTTTACATATTTAAAATTGCTCCAATGTTCTTTTTTTTGTATACTCTGAAGCTCACTGTAGACCATAGACTTTTGATATAAAAGAGTTGAGATGGAAGTTGCATTAATTTCATCTCCATATGCATAGTTTTCTTTTCAGAACTTATATGATTTTAACAAATAAGAATAGTGAGTGTACATGTCTGTGTGCTAGTTATAAGCAAAATCATATTCCCCCTTATTTCAGCAGTTGCTTTGCTACTGATGTTTCTGTTAATATTTCTATAATTTATTTGGTAATTTTTGAGCAAACCTGAACCAGAAAATAATTTTAATAGCACTTATTAAGCATTTATCATTATTGATATTATGTTTTATATAAAGTATCTAATACATAATAGTAATGTTATTGGTAGGTGCTATATTTTACAGGTAAAGAAACTGAGGCAAGCAAGGTTAAGTTGAATTACTATGGAGAAATGCATTATAACTATTTCATTGAAAGTTTATACAAAGTTTTATATATTAAAATTTGGGGAATCTGTTTTTAGGTAAAAATTGTGAGTTCATCAGCCTTTCTGTACTCATTAAAGAATTGCAACTTGATAACTGTTTAACCCTACTGACAAAATTAAAAAGCCTATTTTTGGATGACTTTTTTCAGGGGGAAGTAATTGTATCGTGAGTTCAGTCTTTTTTTTCTTACTTGGTTCTCTTTAACAGACACTAAAATAGAAGACCAAAACTAGTAGAGTATATTATTTAGCTTATTGTTAAGATTATTTTAAATATACTGTCTATAAATAATAGTACAGATTTATTAGTAATTTAAAACACTTTCTTGATTGCAGAAATTTTTGAAGGTTTATTGTATTTTTTACCAGTGTGAATCCTAAGAAATAGAATGGTAAAAGAATTTACCCTCTCATTTCGTGGCTAAGAGTTAAGTGAACATGAGACTGAAGATTGATCTTTATCCTCACAGACTTGGAGCCTGAAGATAATAACCTTGTTCGTAGATACCTACTAAATTTCAAAATGGCATCTAACCTTGACATTATTCAAAATCTCCAGTTTGAAGAATTTTGCTTCAGAGAGCCATAGTGTCCTAGGCCTGCCATTCAGTGCAGAATAGGGCCCAGGCCTAAACTTCACTGCATATACAAACAATAAGCAGTCATAAAGAATCCATCGATCACTCTGCTCAAGTTCAGTCTTGGAGCTATGTCTTTATTTCAAGGTAGCCTGCAGACTAGGTAGCTCATGAGCCTTCCCTACCACACGAGTGACCAAACCTCTTCTCACAAGACTCTCTTTCGGCTGAAATGTCTACTGTGGCTATTCTTGCCTTAAGTTTTCTTTTGAATATTTTATGCTTCTACCTCTTAACGCCAACTGACTATATCTCTGTTAGGTTTTCATGTGACGATCATGGATCAGTGCAATTTCATACTTGAAAACATGGATACTGTTGTTTAAGTGTATTTATTGACTGCCTACTCTGTGCAAGGTACCATTGATACTCAGAAAGTATGTAGAAGAGGAGTAACAATATTGTAGCTACAGAATACTGAGTATTTATGAGTGCATCAGGCATAAATCTTAATGTTTTGCATTTACTACCTCACTCATCACAATAACACATGAGCTGGGTATAAATGTTATCCCCATTTTATAGAAAACGAAAACTGAGATGGGAGTGTATGCATTGCCCAAGGGAACACAGCCCACAAATGGTAGAGCTGAGCCGCAGACCTGAGCAGTGCTGACCCTGGAGCCTGCGCTGATCATCATTCAGTGCTGCCTCTTGGATCCTCTCAAGAAGCATAGTTGCCCAAGTTATTCTTAAGCTCTCTAGGAACTAACTGCAGGGCAGTTCGTCTGCTCCGTAAACCCGTTGCCTAAGGCATAGAACATTCAGTCTAGTTTTCTGGTTTGTATGTTGACTTCTGCATCATTCCAGTTGCAATAATATTCTTCCGCGGTAAGTTCTGCAACACTTTTCTGGGATATAGTTTGATGTGTGTAGGTGAAAAGCTGTAGCTGTGTCAACAGATGAGACACTCTGGTGAGGTTTCATTCAGTCAAGGTTTGTTACAGCAGTTAGAGGCCTGATTCCTCCCAGAGAGCTCAGAGCAGACTTGAGAGGGAGCTCAGAGCCATTTTGAGATGACAGTACATAAAACAAAGAATGACACCACTGTAAGATCTGGATGGTCTCTCCTTTGACTGTAAGTTTTATTTTGAGATGTGGTCAGGTTAATAGCCTTGAGTTCAAATGATTATCTTCAGATTAAACCATTCCTATGGATAGTTTTGACACATTTTTAATTCTGATTGAATTTTCCTTTTGGTAGAACCAAAAGTTTTGTGAGAGTTCTTCAAAAGTTTAGCTTTACAAATGAATTAAGGGAGTCAGCTCTAAGCAGTGGGTATATTTCTGGAAGGAAGTTCTTCTAGAAGATGACTAATAAAGTTGTTGATTGCAAAGGTGAGTTAAAGATGAAGTGACACTAAGCATTAGTACCAAACCAAACACTGTGAAATAGAATTATATTCGGACTGTTCAAGCCGTTGTGGATTCTGCTGTGAAGCTGCTGATCCGTCAGTACTGGGAAAACATCCAACAATTTCTTGAAGTAGTTTTGGTCCCACCTATAGTTGAGCACTAACACTTATAAAGCTAGCCAGGCTCTCTGACCTAGCACACACATTTTTTTAATGGTAAAGATTGGTAAGTTAGAAAAAAAGGCATTAATAAGCAGTTTATAATTAGAATTCAGATATACAAGAACTCAGGTTTTAATCATTAGATGTAAAAGGCACAAATTTGACTTGAAATAATCTTTATTCAGTGGAAAATGTATTTTCTGTTGGCAAAACTAGAGATTTCTCTCTAATTTCCTGTCTTTATATAAATAAAATGGCTTACTTGACTGAAATCTTAAAAATTGTTTTTTGTTGGAAATCAGAGCAGTTTCATAGTTTTTAAATAAATTGTTAAGTATCTTAGACATATATTCATTTTTGACTTAAAATAAAGCTAAGATTTGTTTTACATGTGGCAAATATGTACATTTTAGAAAATAAATGTTGTCTATACCCAGGCAATGTAATTTTTTTTCAACTAGGATATGGATACAAATAGTATTCTGTGGTATGTTGAAGCAAGATGGAACTACATTCTCAGATTCCTTTTGTAGAATTGTAAAATTCATTTTGGAAACTGTAGAAATAAATGTGCAAAGTAATATACATGTGACATTTACATTTCTAGGAACAGAAAAATACAAAGTTCTATGCCATTTAACCTGAAAGACTGTCCCTCTTCAGTCAATAGGTTTGATCATCATCTGTACTGCTCTCAAGGAGTATGACCCGCCTCTGTATTCAGCCCAGAATATTCCGTCTTGGTGCTTGCTTCTGTAATGGCCTCCTCGGTACCATACTCCGTTTAGGTTAGAATGTGCACAGGTGTTGTACCACCAGCCTCCTTTGTGAAAGTGAGCACAGTTTCCTTTGAAGGAAAAAAAAAATAGAGATGTCAAAGGAAAAGTTTCTCTTAAATATGATACTCTAAAAAACATCAAAAGCTTATTCTCTCTTTGGAACTTTTTTTTTTAACCTTTCTAACTGATTTCAGTTACTTTTTTCTAGTGGGTTTGTGTTTTCATTCTATAGCCATCTCATCAACTGGTGAAAGACCAGATTTTGCTCTTCAGTTGCTGAATTCATCTTTTTTTTTTTTTTCCTTTTCAAAAAGGGGGGTGGGTTTAATTTTCTACATAACAACATAAATAAAATGCAAGAAGTTTGTGTCAGAGACACAGAAGGAAAGATTGGGAAAGACAGATGACAGGGTACTAATAAAGAAAAAATTTGAGAAAAATTCATTCTGGAAATAAGTAGCCATGGGGGCTGGCGCTGTGACATAGAAGATTAAGCCTCCACCTGTGGCACCAGTTCAGTTCCCGGCTGTTCCACTTCCTACCCAGCTCCCTCCTAATGCACCTGGGAAAGGAGCACCCACATGGGAGACCTGGAAGAAGTTCCTGGCTCCTGGATTCAACCTGGTCCAGCCCTGGCCATTTGCAGAGTGAACAAGCAGATAATAGATCTCTATCTTTCTCTCCCTCTCCCCCCGAACCCACTTCTTTTTCTGTATCTCTGCCTTTCAAAGAAATACATAAAATCTTTAAAAAAAAAAAAAAAAAAGCCAAAACTGCTATAAAATAGCACTAGCAGCAATCAAATGAGTTTCTGCAAATAATGCATAAATTATGATCATGTCTTTATTTTCTCCAGCTTTTACGAGTGTAAAATAGTAACCTGTATGCTGCTTGCCAAGATATAACTTAAGAGAAGAATAAATTAATTTTCAGGGAGCGTATCTCTTTATCAAGGCCAAAAACATATGTTAGAAAAGTAATAATATGGTTTTGGCATTGTGGTACAGTGAGTTAAGCTGCCACCTGTGACACTGGCACTCCATATGGGTTCTGGTTGAGTCCTGGCTTTTGATCCCACTCCCTGCTAATGCACATGGGAAGGCAGTGAAGTGTGGCCCAAGTCCTTGGGCCCCTGCACCCACACAGGAGACACAGGCTCCTAACTATTGTGACCATTTGACTAGTGAACCAGTGGATGGAAGATCTCTCTCTGTCTCTCCCTCTCTCTGTCTCTCTCTCTGCCTTTCAAATAATAAGATTTTTTTTAAAAGGTACAAAAAAAAGTTGTTGAATTGGTTTAAAAAAAAAAAAACAACGACATGAATTTCCCATCTGATGCAAGTCATTTTGCCATTCTGGTGCTTACGTTGTGTAGTCAGAAGGTTTGCTTCCTCTGTTCCCTGCCGGCCCTGACTTAAATGCTGTCTTGTCGCAGGAGCCAATCCAGATGAAAATAGCACCCACCCTAGGCCCTGTTGTCCACCACAAAGGATGGACACTTCTTCTTACCCACCTGTATACACATCTTTATCTCTGTCCAGTGTGGTGAATTGTTTTCCGTTATGCCACATCAAAGAATCCCCTGCGTTTCCCTGGTACGTGCCCAGCCGTAGCCTGTAGTATTCACTTTCAGGCTCCAGACGGAAGCTGCTGTATTCTGCGTAGACTTTTTTATCACTCCAGTCTTCCAGTTCAATTAACAATTTATAATTATCTTGATTGCTAAGCATGTAGATATTTTCCAATCCAAGCCAATATTCTCCATCAATGTTTCCAAACCCTTTCTGTTTAATAAACAAAGAAACAAAAGTGCATAAGTATAGGGATAGTTAATGTTTTCATAGGTAAGTTTTAAATGTTTGATAGCTTAAAGATACTGTCCATTTACGTGATAATGTAAACTTCCATTTGAATTGATCACCTGACTTTTGTAAGCCCTGCATAGTCACTTTGTTTTGCTTTGCTTTCTCTTAATCTGTCAGATAAATATGAAAGCAAGTAAGATAAAAGCAGAAGAGGGCAAAATTTATTCCTAGCTACAAAAAGCATTACTGAACTACTCAGTCTTTAAAAAAAAAAAAAAAAGGGTTCTTAATCTTGTTAATACTCCCCAAATACCCAAAATTTTTTTTCTAAAAGTATGATACTGTCTCTACCATAATTAAACAAAAAAGGATATCTAAAATTATTAAGATTGTTCAATAAAAAATAATAGCATGTGTTTTAGAATAAATTCTTTAGGTAAAATCAGTAAATATAAGATAAAAATCTTCAAAGTTCTTTTCAAAAATTGTAAATTACTGTTTGGAAAAAAGAATCAGTTAACTGCTGTCATACTTTAGTAAGCATTTGACATTGCAAATGTGCAGCAAAATAGATTTAGTAAACCTGAGCTTAAAACTCCAAGTACATCCTCAAGAAGGTAGTGTTAGAGAATTTTTCACTTTCTCATTTGTGCTACTTACATGTTTAGAAATCTGTACAACTTCTGACATGGATATATGAATTTCCATTTGTAACTACCAGTAGAATTTCACATAAGAGTGAGCAATCATGTTACTTTGTAGTTTTGAAAGTGCAATTAAGCATCTAGAAAACATATTTCCTATTTGCCATCCTTGAACTGCAGGGGTGTGTGTGTGGTGTGTGTGTGTATTACTCAGAAGCATGACCATCACACTTGTTAACAAAGACCAGTTGTCTACCTTTCCAGAATTGGTATCACAAGATTCTGGTCAAATATGTAACTGTAGCACCAGTGCTTGTGTCATAGAACATGGTGGCTTGATTATCAGAGGTAATTAGTCCAAGAAAAGGGGGTTTTCAATTTTTTTGAAATTCTGTACTTCACACTTTTACTTAAATACATTTGATAGTACAAGTGTAATCATAAACAAAAAAGCAGTTGTCTTCTTAGAAAAATACTTCACAGAGTATTAAGTTATATATGTGGGGTTTTTTCAGAAAGTTCATGGGAAGGGGATTAAAGATAAGGAGTTTTATGTGCTTTATTTGAAAGGCAGAGCAAGAAAGAAAGAGGTCTGTGTACTATTTCACTCCCCATATGGCCACAACAGCCAGTGCTGGGCCAGCCAAAGCCAGGAGCCAGGAGCTCTATCCAGGTCTCCCACATGCGTGACAGGTCCATGCACGTGGGCCATGATCTACTAACCTCCTTTGCATGCTAGTAGGAACTTGAATGAGAAGTGGAGCAGCTGGGTCTTGAAGCAGCCCTTCCATAGTGGATACTTGCATCACAAGCAGCAGCTTAACCCAGTTGACTGCAGTGCCAGCCCCAAGTTTATTTTGTTGCAAAAGCAGTTTTAAATCCATGCATAGTTTTTTTCATAATATACATTTTCCATGAGTTTTTTAAAGACCTCTTATGTAAATAATCCAGACAGAAAGTGAACATTTAAAAATAAGCCTTCAATTTCTTTTTTACATTTTAATTTGGACTTTTCAGACAAGGAGGAATCATCTTTTTGACAGGTGCAGATAATGAAAAACCTTAATTTGTTCACTATCTTGTTTATCAGATAGAATGACCACGATTCTAAGATCTTTGTTCCACCTCCTCCAGGTCTGAATCACTGATTTACCTTATAATTTTCCCAGTTTCTGAAAAAGTTGACAGAGCCATCTTTTCTTTTCTGAATAACGGTCCAACCCCCAGGGTCCAGACTGTTTTCACACCATAACTGCATTGGTCCATTGCTGTTTTCAGGTTTGATCAGGTAAATCCCACTGATTGAGTGCCCGGCTTCTTTGGCTTGCTGGCAATCTTTGAATGGTCCTGCAATGTAGTATGTAGAAATTTAATATGTACAGACACATGTGAAAATAATTGTAATCAAGGTTCTTATCTTTGTCTTCACAGTTACTACTTTTTATGTGTTATATACACAGTATTATGAAAGTTTAACTAAATAGAAGGGTGACTTCAGTCCCACTCTCCAGACGTTAATTTGTTTTGCACTGTTCTTGTCTTTGTTCATACACATGCCTTTTTATATTACTGTAATCCTAAACCACATAGAAATTGGATTCGGTTTTATTTTAACAAACATTTCCCTAAGTCTTTACGTTTCATCTGATTTTTGCTATTCTAAAAATCACACAAAGTATCTTCATTCTTACTGGTTTGGTTTCTTCTCATGGACATACATAGAAGCTGGGGAATTGATCTGCTGAGTCAGAGGTATAGCTACACTTTCACAGCTCTTCATAGTCCCCAGTTTACAATTTCTAAAAATGGATTTCAGTGAAGTACACTGGTCCCTTGAAATACTTGATGAATATGGGGTATCAAGGCAAGCATTGTAGCACAGTGGGTTAAGTTGTTGCTTGGGATGTCCACATCCCATCTTGGAGCACCCGGGATCAAGTCCTGCCCCCACTTCTGATCCAGCATCCTGATAATGTGCCAGTCTGGGAGGCAGAAGATGATGGCCCAAGTCTTTGGGTTTCTGGCACCCACATGGAAGACCCAGATGAAGGTCCTGGCTTTGGCCTATCCCAGCTCTTGCTGTGTGGGCATTTGGGGAGTGAACCAGCAAATGAAAAATCTCGGTCTCTCCCTGTCACTCTGCCTTTCAAATTAATTAAACTTAAAAAAGAAAGAAAATGGAGTACTAAGATCACAGACATTTTAGAAATATTGAATGTTATGTTTCCCTTTTTGAAACCCACAACGTACATTCACATACTAAAGACTGAGAATTCCTGAGATAAAGGAGCTGGAGTCGGCCAGACTTTTACAGTCTACATTTCCCCCCGTGGAGCACTTACTAACAGCCCGTGAGAGTGCGTTTCTGGAATATTGATCTAAATTTATATGCCCAGTGCTGGTTTTCTTACTCTGTGTAGTGACCCTGTGACCCTGTGATAGCTGATAGGTGTTCTGAGGTGGAACAGTCGACTGAGGTCATGTATCTGGGAAAGTGGTAAACCCTTAAACTCCAGCCATTTCTTTCCGACCCCAGAGTCCGTACTCTGGAATGCTAGGGTGCATTTGCCCTTGTGCTGTTTCATGGTTTTAGGTATTAACTATTTTTAATCCACCAGAAAGTTATTCAGACTTTTTTAAGTGACAGAGTATCTTGTAAAATATCATTTGTAGGGTGTTTGAGTCTTGAACTTGAGATGTATACATTTTGGGATTTAGAGAAGGACGTTTCTAATTTAACTGAACATTCTTCATGACCCTTCTGTGTTTTGAGCCTTTTTTTATAAACATGCAAAAAACAGTAAGCAATTCATAAAAAAGAATTACCATAAAGATTTATTAGAACAAAAGTATAAACATTTTGTCAAATTTTACATTTTCTTAGACATTAAAAAATTCTAATATACATAATTTTTAGAAATTTATGATAATGGATAGTTTAGTCAAATTCTTAGAAGAACTTCTGTACTATAAAAATAATAGGATTGTGACATTTCAAGAAATGTATTACCTATACTGTACCAAATAAATACTGCATCCTTATTGGAATAGAATTAATCTCATTAAATAGTTACATGTTTCCACCATTAGAAGGAGTTCTTAGAGACTATGATCTCTCCCATCTAGATCGCTCCTGGAAGACAGACCATTTTTGTTTTTCTTCTAAATTCATGTCATCCCTGTTTTAACTCTTAGTTAGCAATAGGTTTTGTTAAATAAATGAGTCAATTCATTGCTCTCATTTTAAATACAAGGAAATTAAAAGCACACACGAAAATGAAGATCAGTTTCTCTAGTCTAGATTTTTATTACATTGGTATTTCACTTTCAGGTTTTTTAAAGCTATGATAAAATGTCCATAGCAGTATAGATTACTAGAAAAAAAAAAGTTGAGAAACAGTAGATTTATGTTGTCTCTTGTAGACTATATTATTTTAGGGATTGCAGTTTTTTGTTGCAAAGTTTTCAGTTTGGTTTGTTTTAATTTCTTTTTTGAGATACCCATTTTTGCCTTCATTATAAAGGGATTGAAGATAGCCAGCATAAAGATACTTTAAATTTTTCATTCTTCCTATTCCTGCTTTGTGGCAAGGGTTTTTTCCCATCATAAATGGATTTTGGATTTTCTTTCCAAAGACCTTTTATATATCTACTGAGATGAGAAAGGGTTTTTTGTTTTATTTATATGGTGAATAACATTGATTGTATTTTCAGTATTAATCAACCATGTATTCCTGGCATAGACTCAACTTGGTCAAAGTATGCAGAGCCCTAACACAGTAACTAATGTAACCATCATCTTTTCTCCTTCATTCCTGATCTTGCAGCTCATTTACAAAATGGGTGCATATGTAATTAATGAATTCAATATGGATGATTAAAGATGAATAGTCCTTTTACTCCCGAGAAATAGTGTATTCCTGAAATCACCAACAATCTGCAAATAACACTAAGAAATAATAGCTATTTAGCTGCCTTTACCTATGGCACAAAACATTAATATTCTTGGGGGAAAATCCCATGGAAACTGATATGATCTCTTTGTTTTACTGATAGTATTCTCCTATTATTTTTTTAACTGATCACCTATGAGCTGCGTCACATTACAGAAACAAGCATTATAGTCAAGTTAGAGAACGGTAGAGAGGCTGTATGTTAAATAGAATGAAATTTGCAGAATTTTAATTTCATACATGGGAAGTAGATACAGGGAGAAATGCAATATGACTCCCAGGTCCATGCGGTTTATTTTGTATGTTGCATGCTAAGATATTTGTTTATTCATAGGCATGGACTTTGTCCTGAGCTCTCAAGTATTTGTTGAACTAAATGATTCCTGGTAGGCATGAATTCCAGAATTTCTTCATTTCTACATTTTCTTTCAAGAAATATATTTTTTTGGGCCAGCGCTGTGGCTTACTTGGTTAATCCTCCACCTGTGGCGCCAGCATCCCATGGGCACCGGGTTCTTGTCCCAGTTGTTTCTCTTCCAGTCCAGCTCTCTGCTGTGGCCTGGGAGGGCAGTGGAGGATGGCCCAAGTGCTTGGGCCCCTGCACCCGCATGGGAGACTAGGAGAAGCACCTGGCTCCTGACTTCAGATTGGCGCAGCTATTTGGGGAGTGAACCAACAGATGGAAGACCTTTCTCTGTCTCTCTCACTGTCTAGAACTCTACCTGTCAAATAAATAGAAAAAGAATTTTTTTTCTTTTTGCATTTAGCATAGGCTAGAGACTGTATAATTCTCAAGGGACAGAGAAGCAACTAGAGTCAAGTGGGAGATAGAGTACTTCTTTGTTACCACTTCTAACTACCTATAACAAGTACTTTGATAGAGTTCTGCAGGGCATGTGGTAACCATGTCTAAAAATTAGCTCACTGATGTTTTGGGGGAAGGAGATGGGAGTCTACCTATATCTGAGCTGTTTTGAAGATAAGTTAAAAAAAAAATGCTAGGGTGTGGGGAAGGGGGAGGGAGTCTTCAAGGCCACACGTAGCTAACGTGCTGAGGTATGGGAAGGAGCTGGAGGTGTTGTATGTCTGAGCTGTAAATGGCTAGAGATGATACTTAGAGCTCTTGAGCTAGACTGAGTTGTCAGTTTCGGTGTTTACAATTTACATTCAAAGTTTACATTTAGGAGTTGGATTTTCACTAGGCTACTTGAAGTGCTATAAAATATTTAGGAACATCAAGGTGTTAAAGGTTGACAGGGTACAGGTTGAATACCCTTTAATGTACCCTTTACCCAAAATGCTTGGGACAAAAGTGTTTCAGGTTTTCGGGTGTTTGGGATTTTGGAATTTTTACATAGACTTTGCTAATTGAGCATCCCTAATCTGAAAACTCGAAATATCAAATGCTTTGAAATTGAAACTGTTTGATCAGGGCCAGTGCTATTGCATAGCCGGTAAAGCCACCGCCTGCAGTGCTGGCATCCCGTATGAGCGCCGATTCAAGTCCTGGATGCGCCACTTCCAATCCAGCTCCCTGCTATGGCCTAGGAAAGCAGTGGAAGATGGCCCAAGTCCTTGGGCCCTTGTAACCACGTGGGAGACCTGATGACTAGCTGAACATCTTGTTAAGTAATGCAGATTGCATGCACTTTCACATTATGCTTCTAGAGGTACCAGCATGCAGAGTGCAGTGGCAGGGATTTCCTGGTTCCAGAAACATCCGCAAGCTCAGCAGACCTCACCATCTAGGCTTTTGTACAGGTGCTCAGATAGCTTTGAACATCTTTTCCAGAGAGAAATAAAAACAGTTTAAGTAAATGATTTGGCACATAAAATAAATACCAAGCCTGTTTATTGTTGCTTATAGTAATTTATATTTGGTAAGAGTCAGCAGCTATTGATACTGGAAGGGGATATCAGAATCAGCCAGTCTAGCCAGGACTCTGATTGTGCAAATGAGAAAATAGAAACAGGCAAAATGACTTACTCAAGGTCATGTAGCAGAGGTATGGTGGATACAAGTTTTCTAAATTCTGTGCTCTTTTACACGTGCATGAGGGTATTGTTAGTGTAATGGTTCTTATGGTGTAGCTAATCATGCCTTGAATTTAGGTGACCAACATTCATGGAGTAAAGTAAGTAAAAAGTTGATGTTTACCTAAAGAAATGATGAATAAAAGAAAATGGTTATCTCCTTAATTTGTGTTGGTTTATTGGAGCTATACACACCATGGTGTCATTAAAGCAAAATATGTTTCGAGGTATTTCTGACATGCTGAATTCTGACACAGGATTTAATTGAGTGACAGCAGATTTTTCTTGTGGTAAAGCTCAGTATATAACATAACTTAGAATTGATATGTGCCATTTGTGTAAGCAGTTTCTTAGTTTGTCAGTGTGTAATCACGTGAGTAGTCATTTCTGCTGGAATTGGTGATAGCATTCACTTAAGATTCAAGGCCCGTGTAGAATACTCCTTGGCAGTCATCTCCATACTCAGAGTTGTATACCTTGTGAGTTTGCCACAAAAAACCACACATCTCAATTATATTTATTTGTAAATTATGTATACAAACCACTGTGCTGATAAAATATATACATTAAAAGCTTACATAAAACCTGTATAGAATTTTTAAACAAATCTCAAGAATAAATATATAGTTTTTCTGTTTGTACCCACTGGGTCATTTCATGCATAGCTTCCCTTTGGAAATCAAAGGGCTTGAGGGATATTAACATTGAGCATCTTTTATGGAATTCAGTCATGCTCTGACCTCTGTTCATTAGAGCAGTGCAAAATCAACTAATCCAGTAAAATGCATTAAAGTAATTTCATAAAGGTCTTTGGAATGACAACCTTAAGAAGCTCTATACAGATGTTAGCAAATCAGCTAACATTTATGTAGCAACTGCAGATGAGACACAGTATCCATGTACCAGGAAGAAGCTGGTAATACAGTTGGCAGCCATGCACATGTGCTGTGAGCACATGTAGAGTGCATGAATGGGACAGAGGGGAGGAGCAGTCACTTCAGACCCATGGGGTCATCAACGTAGCTTCAAGGAGGAGTTGCTTTTTTTTTTTTTTAATCTGAGCCTTATAGTTTGAATAGTCAGAAAGATGAAAAATGTTTAGGAGAAAATGAGTGGATTCTTTTTATTGGAGTAGAGGGGTTTTGTGAGGGAAACGCATGCAAGGAAAGCTAGCAAGAGAAGAAGCTTTGATTCTTTAGAAGAGGACGCTATTCTTAGCCATCCTAGGCAAATTGGAGTTTGTTTCCAGTGGGGGACTAATGAGAAATGCAGTGTGCGGGTAGATTAGGAAGACAGGTCTTTTGGAATCCAGAATATATTTTTGATGGAGAAAGAGACCAGTTGGCAGGCTGTTGTGTAGCTCTTAGAAAGAGCTAACATTTGGGAACTGCATTGTGGCATAGAAGGTAAAGCCGCCACCTGTGATGCCTGCATTCTATATATAGGGTGCCAGTTCGAGTCCTGGCTGCTCCACTTCTGATCCCTGCTAATGGCCTGGGAGAGCAGTGGAAGACTGCTTGTGGGCGACCTGGAAGAAGCCCCTGACTCCTGGCTTTTGTGAACCAGCAGATGTAGGATCTCTGTGTCTGTCTCTCTCTGTAACTTTGACTTTAAAAACATACATATTTTTTTCAAGGAAAAAAAAAAGAGCTAACTTAGGAGAGCTGGACATTGTTGTAAGCACTCTTCGGGCATTCTACTCTGTGAGGCTATTTTTATTCCCATTTCCAAGATGAGGAAGCTAACACAGAGCTCTACCCATCCCACCCTGAGCCTCACAGCTGGTAACCCAGGGAGTCTCTGTCTTCTAGTTGCTGCCATGGGTAATCTGGCTCCGATCAGAAATGAGGGAGACTGGAAAGAGACAGGTGGAATTCTGCCGACTGTATGGGCCAGGTGGGAAATATCAGAAATGAGCTGAGCTAATTCAGAAGTGGATGGTGACATACGTCAAAATAGAGAAACCAAAAACTATTTGATCCTTCAGTTTTACTTGCAGAAGTTTGTCCTAGAAATACAATTATGGAAAAATAAAAGAAGGAAAAAAAAGTTTTAAACTACAAGAATATGGATTGTTTATGCTAGAAAAGGAGACGTGTAAGTTTTATTACCAAAGTGTACTTCTGATCTTTTGGATGTCCCATGAGGCTTCTTGGAGCAGTTCATTGGGATTTTCTAAACTTTCTTCAGTAAATTATGTGTTACTTTTATAATGATAATTTTCTTATTTCTAAAAGGAGAATGCTGATTTGGGAAAAGGATTGTGTTACAGCTTAGTTACTACTTCATCCATTCACTGTTCAAGCGCCTGAAATATCCTGTGCACACAGTATGCCACACTTGATCCTGGCTCAGTGCTGAGAGAGAATAATGGAAAGACAGTACTTTACCTTATAGAAGCATTCAGACTAGCAGAGACAGATAAGTAAATAACTTCAGTATAATTTAATGTAGAAAACATGTTCAGAAAATAGTCATTGACTGGGACAAGAGACATTTAGAAGTATGTATGTTTAAATCTGGAGAGGCATAATTGTTAACAGTATTTTTAAGCTTTGAAATCTGCTAAGTTGACAGATAAGCTAAAAATGACATTTCAATAGAGGAAGCAGCAGTATGTGAGGTGATGGTAGAACATTTTAGCTTTGGTTAGACTCTGGAGGGGGAGCTCCATTCAGGAGTCATCTAAACAGTAGTGATATGTGAAGCCTTGATGTTCTGTGCAGCCTCTAAATAGGACATTTTAAGAAAGCCTTAAGGCAGAAAAGAAAAAGTATGCTGGGGCCTGCACTTTGGCCTGGTGCACTAAGCTTCCTCCTGTGGTGCGGCAGCGTGGGCACCATTTCGAATTCTGATTGCTGCTCTTCTGTTACAGCTCTCTGCTATGGCCTGGGAAGCAGGGGAGGAAGGCCCAACTGCTTAGGCCCCTGCACCCCTGTGGGAGATCAGGAGGAAGCTCCTCGCTCCTGGCTTCAGATCAGCTCAGCTCCAGCCATTGCAGCCATCTGGGGAGTGAACCAGGGGATGGAAGACCTTTCTCTCTGTCCCTTCCTCTCCGTAACTCTGCCTCTCAAATAAATAAATAAATCTTTTAAACAAAAAAGATGGCAGTGAAAGACTTGGAGATGTAGGAAGAGCAGGAGTATGGTAATCTGGAAACAGGAAAGCAGCAGTGTCACTGCTGCAGAGAGACACAACCACTCTGATTTCTTCCTTTCCAGGCTTTGTGGTTTTGTTGTCATTTAAAATTGTTTCACAGTTTTATGTCCTGCCTTTTCAGTAAGTGAATGGATTGAGGTTTACTCTCTTTTTACTTTTGAACATGTGGATTTCCCCTTTGATGCTAAAGGATGTGAGAGAATGGCTTAGAAAAGGAATGCAAGTATAAAACAGTTCTACAATACTCATTCAGAAAGTAAGCAGAGTAAGCAGCAATTTTACTAATGCAACAAAGATGAACTGTTTGTTTTCTGAGCAACTAGATAAACAACTAATAGTGAAAAGAGGAAGGAATGAAATTAAGAAATAGAGGAAGGAGGTCTTGTAATAAAACTAATATGGGTACAAGATGCAAATCATTAGTTTAGCCTTGAGTACTAGGAGAGATAGCTTCTCATCATGAGACTGGAGGACAGGAGGGCATGGGTTTTGTATAGATGCTGTTTCCTCCAGGATAGGAAAGAACAAAGAACCCAGACCTGATTAGACTTTGTCCTCCTACGGTTGTAGATGAGTTATCTGCTGAGAGTGGAGGAAAAGAGATGTAATTGCAGGCTTGCAGACAGGGAGAGCAGAATCTCAGCGCTCCTTTTTAAGAGGGCAGTGGTGAGAGCAGCAGGCAGTAAATGAGAGGATTGTGCATTGCCGTGAGGCGCTAGCAAGGCTCCGTATGTGAGGGATGGATCATCTCCATAAGAATCTGGACTGTACGCATTTGGATAGAAGACTGTTCTTTCACAGAAGACACGAAGTTTTAGAATGCCTAGAACCTTTGAGCTGGAAGAAGATATGTATTTAAGTTTTACTCTTGATGATGTTCATAAAAAAAGTAGAAATTGTAATGTACATGCATCATAATATCAAGATGAATAAGCATTTATAATGAGCGTTGTTTAGTAACAGTAAAGTAACTCACCTTCATTGATGAATGTTACAGGTGGCATCTTGAAAGGGCTTTTGGTGGGAGAAGTCGCCAGGTCAGGTGGTGGCATTAAATCTCTGGGATACCCTGGGTCCCTCTGTATCTCATTGCCTCCCAGCAGACCAGGGGTGTACTGATGGCTGTTAGGGATATGTTGTGGCACCACCTGGACAAGAGGGGGAGACACATGGGTGTCTTGTCGGGAAAATATTCTCAAGCACTGTTCTTCCAGCACAGTGATCATCACAGACTGGTTATTGACAAGATCAGTCAGAGAAGCGTATTTCACCTCTAGTTCTCTGTACCTGGTTGCCATCTTGAGCATTTCGGTGGTGACATTGAGGACTTTGTTTTCCAGCTGGGAAAGCTCGAGTGAGTTATCCCTCTTGCGGATGATCTCGTGCAGCAGCTGCATGTAGAGCTGAGTGACGCGGGAGTTCATGTTGCGGCTCTCTTTCCTGAGCAGCTTCACCTCATTGACGATGTTGCCGTCCACGTCCACCACCAGCTGCAGGACGTCTATCTCCCGCTTCTGCCTGGAGAGCACGTCCTTCAGGTTTTCAAGGTCCATCCTGGTGACCATGTCTTTCATGGCGCCCGCATCCTGCCCTTTGGTGTTGACACAGATCGGCCCTGTTATTTTTTGTTCGGGCACCAGGAACGTGTATGAACATTTCTTCACCTCCTCTTTGCCGTCTGTGGCACGAGGGTATCTCCTCTGGGTCATTTTCTTTATTTTGAACTGTCCTCCTCTACAGTGTCCAGTGCCAATCAGCAGGAAAATTAACACACCTGCGGTCCAGATAAAAGCCTTCATTTTGAAATGAAGTTGTACAATGACGTCTTTTGAAAACAAATCAGCGAAGGGGGAAAAGTGAAAAGAATTCATATTAATCTATATTTAAAGTCAGTGATATACAAAAAGGAGGAAACGGAGTATTATTATTAGTGTTAATAAATTAGCTGAGAAGTAGCTTATTAATTTCTTAAATTTGATATGAAGTTAGAATGCTTTAACATTTGCTTAAAGATAGAGTTGAACAAACAACCCTTCCAACACCACTTTATTGTAACCCTGTGTCTTCCCAAGTTCATAGGGCTGAGTTTGGTCACTGCCCACTGAAGACAGAGGTACACTGCTAGGGCCTATTGGGGCTTTTGAAACCCTAACTCCTTCCTTACCTTTAAAAAAATTCACTGCCTCTTAAGATTGGGAAGATGGTACACAGTGTTTGTTAGGCACTAATTAAAACATTCTTAGCCTCACCAGTGTAAAGATTACCAAACAACTTAGCATTTTAGATTTCTACCATGCTGTTTCAATGAAATTGATCTGTTGTAATGAGTAACAGGCTTCTGGGAGGGGGAGCTTAGAAAAATTTCAGTGTTGCAAACTTTTTTCCCACATTGACTCTTGTTAAAATGGAATTTAACTGCGCAAATAAACTTAAAAATATTTACAGCTCAACAATTGTGTTAGTAACCCATACTCAAAGTTGCAGAACCATTTTTAATTGTTCATGTGGTACCTTCCTATCTAAGTTCTAACCCTTTCTTTGTTTCTTCTTTTATTCCTCTTAGATCTTCCAAAGGTGTCCATCTCAGACTTTTTTAGCCTTGACCATGCCTTAAATGTTTTCAATCTTTTGTCCGAGACCTTCTTCTCTTACTACAGACAAGAGGAGTTAAATTGTTCACTCAAAGGACTTTTAATTAACTTTGATATCCGGTTAACTTCCAAAAGTCTAGACTACACTGTTCTCCTAAGATCGATTTGTATGTTATCCAGTGGACTACTGCTTATTGTATATGAATGCAGCAGAATCTAATGTGCAAAACTGACTTTTTCATAGGGTACAACAGTTACCCCTCCTATAGTCATTAATTCAGATAATGGAGTAACATTCAGCCAGTTAGCCAACCTGCTTTTTTAATTTGTCAAGCATTTTAGACATATCTAAAACAAGATAATTTTAGCATCATATGTTTGTTTTTGTTTTTGTAGTCTCTCCTTTTTGGATTGGTGGCTGACTTATTGTGGGTAATGGTGTTTCCTGAACTGTCATCTTGTATATGCTCTAAATTCATGGATGATTGATAGGTTCATTCTGTTATCAGCGGTTCTGCTGCTCTGTATTGTGATTTTCTACAAGCATTACCAAGGAAAGAAGCTGTATGAATGTTAGAGTTGGAATATGCCTTAGAGACTCTTTGGACCTGTGTTCTTGTTGAAGACCCGGTCCTCAGCACTGTGAGAGCCAGGTCTTCAGTCAGTATGTCGCTATAGCAGTGACACATGTGCCAAAATGTGTGCTGGAAATACTTCATTTTTGCTGTGGCAGACGAGAAATGTTTGTTCTTTATAGTACAGTTTCTTCAGATGAAACACTAGAACTGGTTCCAAGAGCTAACACTTCTTTTCTTGTTAGTTACTGTAAAGTGTAGTAGAAAGGTAAAGTGTGTTTATTTCATCATGTTCGTTTGCAAGCTTCTGTATTACAGCCTAGCTTCCCGCACTAATAAACAGGATTCCTATCTGCTGTTTTTGGAGTTGGCGGTGAATACCTTAAGAGACCTTTTCTACCCAGTTTCCCACCTATGCATTTGTTTCTTAATTTGAGAAGTCAGGACCAAAGTCATTTTTGATTGTTCACAACAACACAGTAGTAACAAGACTTCATTTTTACTGGGTGCTTATTCAGTGCCAGACAATGTTTTAGGTCTTATGCATGCATCAAGTCATTTGCTTCCCACTACAACCCCATAAAGTAGACTATTATGATCCCTATATTCAGATGAAATTGGTGTCCAAAATGTAAAGACCTTATCAAGAGTCACACAGGGATGGAGCCCGAATTTTAATAAAGGTGTAAGACTCCAGAGTTGATATTTCAATTTGGCATTACATTACATTATATAGCAACATATTCTAAACTCTTTTCTGTGAGCAACCCTGTGACAGTACCTTATGTTTATGCAGTGCATAATACGTGTTGACTGTTCATTCACAACAGCACTGTGAAGTTGCATCATTTTATAAAGCAGTGAGGTCCTGTAGAAGCTAAAACACTAACAGGATCCAGACTTTCTACTCATAACTTTCCCACACCTGGAATTTTTATCTTAGGTTGTAACTACAGCAGAATCTCAAGTTTGTTTCTTGTTTTGCATGGGCTTTGCCTGGTTTGTATCTTTTTTCATTGGCTGCCTAATTATACAAACATATTTGTGGAACATTTTTGTTAGAATTTGTTTCCAACATTTTTACATCCCAGACTTTTCTGCTGCCATTCCTTTCTCTTCATATGTATTCTCTCTGTTGATATTTATCTATCTAGTGTGTGATTTTGATGCCCTCCAAAAAATAAAGTTGTATCATTGAGATGTAGGCTGTTCAGCTGCTACTTTCACTTTCTTAAACTTTGTCTCCTTATTTTTGGTGTTTTCAGAACAGATGGAGTTGCTTTTCCTTTATTGACTTGCTCAAGATAGGGAGAGTGAGCAGAACAACATCCCATGTTTGTGTCAGGCTTTCTGCTGGCCGCCCAAAGCACACATGCACGGCTGCTTCCGGCTTTGTATGTGTCTGAACCTTGCTGTGTGACATCAATAGAAAATTAGGACCTCAGGAATCATCTATCGTGTTTTGTTTTAAAAAGACTTTTACTATGCAAAAGTTACCTGTACCAAAAACTAATAAAAGATACTATGTTCTATTTCCAGATTCATGGAACTTAGGTATAGCTTATTAAAAAATAAACTAGGAGGAATAAAATAAAAGCCATCAGCCTCCTGGTTACATAAGTGTATATCATTTCTCCTGTATATTTAACTTGTACTAAAATCTGGTTTCGTTTTAATAGTAGAATGGAAACCCTTAGATCATAAAATTAGTTTACTTAAATAATTTCTACCATGAAATAAGCTACCAAAACAAGGAAAAACCAGAGTGTGTCATGAAACTTTAAAACAAAGTAAAATCTATGAATCATACTGATTGTATTAATATATTGTCTTAGTACCAAAGATTTTCCTATGACAAGTAAGATGTGTTATGCAAGATTTTTCATCAGTGTTCTCAGTTAAGAACACCCCCCAACCAAAAAAGTCAAAATGTTCTTGTGTGTGTTCTGCCTTGGGTCATTGTGGTTACCTGAGGTTCCTGTATGATTAAGTCGTAAAATTTATTTTACATTAGTATGTAAATGAGTCAACTGAAGATTAACTTTTTTAAAATAAATATAATTGCCTTATCCTTTTAAAAGCAATGACTTAGGAGTCACTTGAAGCAGAGCAAGGAGGCACATTTGTTAAATGGTAGACTGACTACGTCATGCGTAAAGAACTGGTTTTAAAAATACATTTGCTGTTCAAAACGTTCTCTTATTTAATATTTTCCCACATATGTTCAGTTTTAAAAGTGAAACACCATAAACTATGTTACCTCATAAAACCTTTCTGTATATGCTAAAATTTTCCTTAGTCCCAAGAGAATGTTGTAAATTTGTTCTGGTATACTGAAGTTAAAGACTGTGTCTTTGCTTGGTTGTTTTGAGGGGAAAAAAAATCTTCTGTGCATTTTGTTAATTTTGTTAGTAGTATTTCTCTTCATGGCTGCTACATTACCAGCTATTAAAAGAATTAGAAGTCAGGATTCAGTTCCTTGCAGATGCTGTACTCAGAGAGGCTTTTAATTGGCCGCGGGATGTGCTGAAAGCACCGGGAGACAATGGGGATGAATGTGTGGCCTTGAGGATGTGTGTTAGATAAAGACTTCTAGATTGGGAAGAGACTGGAGAATAATCTCATCCCTTGGATTTATTTAAGAAAGGGATAAATAGTGGTGTGTGTGATTTGATTATCGGAGTAAGTGCTTGCCTGAGGCATCAGTAAGAACTGAAGCTTAATGAGGGCGGCACTTTGCACAGCAAGCAACAACAAAAAAGAGATGACAGTGCTTCAGACCCAGCATTGCATGGGAATTATGTCATCAGAGCTTCTTACGAACATGTGCTTAACAGAGAGAGAAACTCCTATTTTTAGAGTTTTGAACCTTTAAGGAAAGGACATGGAAATGAATTTAATATTAGTTTACCGTTACTGGCTTGTTGAATATTCTTACAGTTAAAACTTCAAGGCCCAGAGGCTTCCACAGTGTCTCGGGTGTTAAAATTTAATATTGGTAACTAGTAATTTTGCTTTTAATAATTTTCATAATATAGTTACCAAGCTTCTAGATAACCATCCATAAAGGGTTCCCTTTAATATTTTATCAAAATTATTTCTAAGAATATTACTTGTTTTTAACCTTTTAACCATCTACTGAAGTAATGTGACTTCTAGGTCCATGTTTTCTACTGTTAATGCTGATTGCTTACATAATCTTAACCTGTAAGAAGATTTAGTGTTTTTATATCAATAACTTTGCTTTCCTTAAGTAATTCTAGTTTTAGCAATTATAATTTCTGTTACCCAATTAAGTTGTTGTTACATGTAAGCCTGAAAAGCTTTAACATTTTGAGTTATAGCAAGAAATACCATAGACTTAACTCATCTGCACAAGTTTCTGCTTAATATTTGATTATAATATAATTGGGCTTTTGTGACAAAGCCTTTCAGTGACTTTTATATCTGCTTAGTTTTGTTTGTGGGAAAGAAACTAACTGCGTTTACGCTCTGCTTTATTTTGTATCCTGTTGTTTTTGATCACTGTGCTATGAACCTTCTACATTTAATCTGTTACTTGTTAAGATTCCTTTCTTGTGTCAGTAAAGCATTTGTTTTCCAAAACCCAGCATGTATGTATCACTCTATAGCAATATATACGAAGTAGCATTAAATTCAACTTGAAATAATGAATTAAACATCATAAAGTACTTAATGACCAGTTTTTATATGAAGTTGCAAAACAAAACCTCTTTCAGATGAGCTAAGTTATAGTATTTTCTTAAGTTCTTTGTTTAGTAACAGATTTTAAAATTTCAACTACAAATACAAAATATGCATTTTGATACACAAAGTATTTTCAAACAAAATAAAAGAAATATTAAAATACCTTTTTGTGTCTGTTGGTAAAACGAATCCAGAGACTTGCTGCCCTTATTCTTGATTTAAAAAATCAGTTTAGAAGTTTGTTCATCTGTGACTTTAATGGCAACTGCATTTTTGTTTTGGACCGTTGAATCCAAGCTGTAATAAGGGGCTTCTTTTTCTTTTTACAGTACTAATCAATTGAGTTTGACAAGCCACCTATGTAATTTTAAGTCGTATAGTAGAAGTTCTGGTCTGTGGGCTGTCCTTAATCCAGCGGAGAAAGCATTGTGGCTTTGCTCTGTCTGCCACATGGAGAAATGCGGTAACCAGCTGCAGCTGACACAGATTGTATATACAGTACCCTTGAATAGTGATTCCCTCTTTCTCAGTGGACTGAAGTTCAGCCCACATATTACGTCACCAACAAAATTGCTGGAGACTAGGGGGAAAATCTCCTCCTTAGGATTTCCTCTCTGTAGCCTTAAATAGGGTGGGGGTAGTGGGATCAGCAGGAGGTTGAATAGCTGGGAACAAGGAGAGATTGTGTGCAGGTTGAAGGAAGGGCACCATCTGGAAACAAACTATCGGAGTTCAGTGGCAATTACAAAACACGTTTCAGGCGGCTGCCAGAGACCTTTAACGTGCATGAACTTCACTTAGTGGAAGTACTTGCAGGCTGATGAGTTCAGTTTTTGTTACAAGGAACTAGAGCTAGGCTTTGTCAGGAGACAGCCGCCTAAATACGGAAACTCTGGCCTACAAGAATGTTTAAAACATTTTACTTCCTACTTGCCATGTTACAAGGCTCTGAGGTTACAAGAAACGGGATTCTGCTCTAGCATACACTTCTTAAGATGACTCTGTAATATATAATTTCTTAAGGTCAAGTTTAATTACCAAGAATAAGTGAGATTCTTTCAGAAACAGAATGCTTTTTAATATTGAATTCTGGTATCGTGCAGTGTCACAGCCTCATGTTCTACAAAACGGTGCCTGTTGCTGGGTTGTCACTTTAAATCAGACACAGCCAGGCGCTGAGTAAAGGTGGTCTACTCCTCAGACAAATCACTGCATGCACCCCGGCCCAGTTTCCTCTTCTGGGATGAATACAGGGCAATAGAAGAGGAATTAGTAAATGTTTAGGAAACACGTACTGTTATTTTTTTTTTTTAATCAAAAAGTGTTAAGTAATTCGGTAGCTGAGAAAGCGCAACCTTATGCATCAGCAGAAACTTGACTTGGAGCTGAAGTGCTAAGTGGTAGAACTGGGGTTTGAATGGAGCCTGGGAGCACTGTGCCATCCTCTCCCTTGGTTGCTGGATGCTTCTCTAGATAAGACCTCATGCCTCAGGCTTTCCCTCCTGTTGCCTTAACTTGCACTGTTGTTCTTTCTGGTGGGCCCTGCAGATACAGCCATCTCCTTTATTTCAAATCTGAGCTTAATTTCTACCTGCACAGAATTTCTTGGAATTCCTGTGCCATACACAGATCTATCAGGGGTTGCACACTCAAGGACCTAGAAAGGTAAATACTTGCAACAAAAAAGGAGCAGATGTAAATAAGTAAATCAAAAGAGAGATAATAAAATGGGAGTTCTGCCCAGCAGGCATTTTTGTGGGTAATTTAAAGGGAGCTGCACCGGCTCCCTATCCCTCCTTGACACCAAGAAAGATTGAGACAGCATTTCCAGGTCTGCTCACTTTTTCAGATAGAGAGTCATTTTGATGTTCCCTATATTTCCTGATATTAAAAATGCTGGGAGAGATGAGCTGTAATCTTTTTTTATTTTTAAGATTTATTTTATTCATTTAAAAGGCGAAGTGACAGGGAGAGACAGAGATCCATCGACTGGCTCACTTGCCAAATGGCTACAATAGCTGGGTCTGGGCCAGGCTGAAACCAGGAGCCAGAAGCTCTGTCTTGGTCTCCCACGTGGGTGGCAGGGGTCCTAGCACTTGAGCCATCCTCTGCTGCCTGCCCATGCACATTAGGAGGAAACTGGATTGGAAGCAGAGCAGCCAGGACTTGAACTGGGACTCTGTTACAGGATGCTGGCCTCTCTAGCAGTGACTCAACCTGCCGTGGCACAATGCTGGTCCCTAAGCTGCCATCTTCTAACCTCCGACTTTCATTATAGATATACTACATGACTATTCATTGATGCTTATTCACTAATGGTGTGAGATAGTAGATTCATCCTTAACTTTTTTTTTTTTTAAGATTTATTTATTTATTGGGGCTGGTGCTGTAGCGTAGCAGGTGAAGCCACCGCCTGCAGTGCTGGCATCCCATATGGGCACTGGTTCAAGTCCTGGCTGCTCCTCTTCCAATCCAGCTCTCTGCTATGGCCTGGGAAAGCAGTAGGACAGATGGCCCAAGTGCTTAGGCCCCTGCATCCACATGGGAGACCTGGAAGAAACTCCTGGCTTCAGATCGGCGCAGCTCCGGCCATTGCAGCCAACTGGGGAGTGAACCAGCCGATGGAAAACCTCTCTCTCTCTGCTTCTCCTCTCTCTGTAACTCTGACTTTCAAATAAATAAATAAATCTTTAAAAAAAGAAATTTTAAAAAAGTATTTATTTACTAGAGAGACAGAGGCAGAAAGAGAAAGAGGTCTTCCGCCTGCTCCTTCACTCCCCAGATGGCTGCAATGGCTGGAGCTGCACCTATCCAAAGCCAGAAGCCAGGAGCTTCTTCCAAGTCTCCCACGTGGGTGCAGGGGCCTAAGCACTTGGGCCATCCTCTACTGCTTTCCCAGGCCACAGCAGAGAGTTGAGACTTGTAACTCAAGTGATTTATAGTATCACTAACCAAAGTAGGAAATGGGAATGTCAGGTACATACATAAAATACGAGTTTAAAAGCTCAAAAATAAGAAAATAACACTATGTGCATGGATAAACGTTTTGGGTAAAGACAAAGGAGGGACCAGCATTGTGGCTTTGGCACAGCGGGTTAAGCTGTCTCCTTCAGTGCTAACATCCATGTTGGCATGCTGGTTTTAGTCATCACTACTGTGCTTCCGATCCAGCTTCCTGCTGGTGCGATGAGAAGGCAGAAGAAATGACCCAAGTGCTCAGGTTCCTGTAACCCATGTGAGAGACCACAGAGGAGTTCCTGACTCCTGGCTTCAGCCTCACTCAGACCTGACTGTTGCAACTATCTGGGGAGTGAACCAGCAGACGGATCAGTCTTTCCATTTGTTGTTGCCTTGCTTTTCAAATATGAGAGTAAGGGGACTAGTAGGTGTTTGGAAAGAGGTAGTAGCAGTCACATTCAAAATCAGAGTCTATATTTGGCAAGAGGACACAGATTCTTCTTGCTCTGAGTTGGAGGAAGTAGGAGAGACCTAGGCTGTAGGTTCACTGGGAGACATAGAAAAAAATTAAGAAATTATAAAGTCATAAAAGTTACTAATTGAATAGTATAGATAATCTATAATAGAATGTAGTTTAAAAATAAACATGTGTTACAAGTAAAATCTCTGAAATCGAACTCTGTTCCCGAAAGTTGGCTTGCTCAGACTATCTGAGGATTTAAATTTCTTCTATAAGCAGAGGCAGTTAGGCTAGACGGGTTCCAAATTCTTTTCTTAGAAACTATGAAAACTAGAACACAGTTAACACTGAACTGGATACAAAAGCTAGAAGGTTTGATTGGGCAGGATAATTCTAGAAAATATTCAAGATAGAAGAGAACAGCAAGAGTAAGATGTGGAGATTATATAGAAGGCAGCAGGTATGTCTCATTGGTTGCATTTGGACCCCGAGAGTTCGTGAGTGTGAATTTATAAGAGAACATACATATTTTCCTTTCTGGTTACACTTGTCTCCTACGTTTTAGGTGTGCATAGCAAAACTCTCAGGAAATATTTTTAAATGAGTGACCTTCCATGTTTGAGAGTAGTTCAACCAAATCATTTTTGGGGATGTGCCTTTTTCATTGATACAGAAAACGTGGCAGGGAGGAGTAGGAAAAAGTTCAGTTTGTATCACATGAACTGTTTCAGAAGTCTACTTTTTTGAGAGTTTTTTCCTGGTCATGACACAAATGATAGCTGTCAAGGCAAGGAGTGTAAAAGTAATGTTAAATAATTCCACATATAAAACACTGGCTGAGCTGGCTAAGTTAACTTCTTCAGGCTGTAACACAACTTGAAAAACACTTGTTGTGTAGATGTAAAAACTGATGTCCAGATTTAAAGCACTGTCTTTGTTACAACTAAGTCAGAGGCAGTGCTGGTTCAAGAACTCAGCTTCTTTCCATTGAGTTCCATGTGTGCTGAAGTTTCTGACTTTAGTCTCAAACAGTACTTGAAAATGGTTGTGCAGAACATGTTGTCTGCATGTCTGGCCCTGCCCTTATGGAAGGCTAAGCCTCCAGTGGTCCCGTTTTACAAGCCTTCAAGGTATTAATAACAGTGTACCCTAGATATGGCACAGATTGGAGTTTATCTATAAATGAATGCCCCCCCCCCCTTATGTTGTCATACTCTTCCAAACTACAGGTAAGAAAACACTGATTTATCTGATTTTGTTTCAGGCATCTATCTGTCAGATTTAACATACATTGATTCAGCATACCCATCAACTGGCAGCATTCTAGAAAATGAGCAAAGATCAAATTTAATGAATAACATTCTTCGGATAATTTCTGATTTACAGCAGTCCTGTGAATATGGTAAGTTTCTGGGACATAATGCTAAGCCACCATCCTCCTGTTGCTCCATGATTCAGTCACACCTGTTGATGACCACCTTTTACACAGCAGAAAACATCAGTGTTTTTTGTTTTGTTTTGTTTTGTTTAAGACTTCTTTGTTTACTTGAAAGTCAGAGTTAACAAAGAGAGAGGGAGAGAGGTCTTCAGTCCGCAATGGCCAGAGCTGTGCTGATCCAGGGCCAGGAGCTTCTTCCCGGTTTCCCACACGTGTACAGGAACCCAAGTCCTTGGCCATCTTCTACTGCTTTCCCAGCAGAGAGCTGGATGGGAAGAGGAGCAGCTGGGACTCAAACTGGTGCCCATATGGGATGCATTGCAGGCGGCGACTTTACCCGCTGTGCCACAGCACCAGCCCCGAGTTTTTTCTTCTATCGCAGCTTAAAGGAAAATATTAGTTATGTTATTACACTATTTGCTATTCAGCATCCGTTTTGTTTTTAAAGAATTGAAGCTTCTAATATTTAAATTTCTCATTTTTGGCCAGCACCACGGCTCGCAAGGCTAATCCTTCGCCTGCGGCGCCAGCACCCTGGGTTCTAGTCCCGGTTGGGGCGCCGAATTCTGTCCCGGTTGCTCCTTTTCCAGTCCAGCTCTCTGCTGTGGCCCAGGAAGGCAGTGGAGGATGGCCCAAGTGCTTGGGTCCTGCACCCGCATGGGAGACCTGGAGGAAGCACCTGGCTCCTGGCTTCGGATGGGCACAGCTCGCCGGCCGTAGCAGCCATTTGGAGGGTGAACCAATGGAAGGAAGACCTTTCTCTGTCTCTCTCTCAATGTCTAACTCTGCCTGTCAAAATAAAATAAAATAAAATTTCTCATTTTCATCTTTGCTGTTGCACTGTTTTGTAGCAGCTTTGCTGACAAAGCACAAGAACAGTACATATTTAATACTGCCACTGCACATTTGTTTAGCCCTTTATAGTTTACTAAATTACTTTCTGTTATCTTCATCTCACTTGATTGCCTTCATCTATTACATAAATAGTTCTTATTTTTCAAGTAAGAAAATAACTGAGGCCATTTAGCCTAGTGACAGTAAACCACCTTTTTTTTTTTTTTAAGAGTTTGGCTGGCTTTTTGATTAGTTTTTTGTTTTATTTAAAAGGCAGAGTGACATTGAGACGCAGACACAGAGAAACAGAGAGAGAGACAGGTCTCCATGTGCTGGTTCACTCCCCACATGACTGCAACAGCCAGGGCTGGAACAGATTTAAGCCAGGAGCCTGGAGCTCCATCCTGATGTCCACATGAGTGACAGGGACTCAAGTACTTGGGCCGTCTTCTACTGCCTTCCCAGGAGCTTTAGCAGACAGCTGGATGGGAAGCAGAATAGCTGGACTCTACCTGGCACTCAGAGATGGGTTGTGAGCATCCCAGGCAGCAGCTTAACCTGCTGTGCCATAGCACTCACCCCTGGTCTAGCTTTCTTGATTCAGTATGAAGTAAATAACCATTTTTTGTTCAAGGTATATTTTATGCCTTGACATGTATAGAAAGAGGTGAGCCCAAGTGGTTAGCAAAGGGGGATTTCAAAATAATTTGGATGGTTTCAATTTGTTAGGGAATGAAGTTGGGCTGTTAATATATTCTTTTAGCTTATTAAAAATAATGATTTTATGTAATTATTTTTAAAATATTCTTAAAGCTAACTTCATTTATATGCACCCATATTTTAAGAGGACTTCCCAAATGTGTATATGGTGATAGAATTTTTTATAGTTTTTTTTTTTAAGATTTTTTATTTATTTATTTGAGAGGAGTTTATAGACAGAGAGGGAGAGAGAAAGAGGTCTTCCGTCTGCTGGTTCACTCTGCAAATGGCTGTAATGGCCAGAGCTGAGCCTATCTGAAGCCAGGAGCCAGAAGCTTCATCTGGGTCTCCACATGGGTGCAGGGGCCCAAGGATTATGCCACAGCACAGGCCCCAATGGTAAGATTTTATCTCTTTTTTGCATTTTGCAAAAACCTAATACCAAGGTGAAGTTCTAAATTTTGTCTTGTTGGAAATCTATATAGGAAAAGGTAGAGAAACCACATTTGTAAATGGGAACCAGATCTCTTTAAAAGAAAATAAATACTGGCCAGTGCTGTGGCTCACTTGGTTAATCATCCACCTGCAGCACCGGCATCCCATATGGGCACCGGGTTCTAGTCCCGGTTGCTCCTCTTCCGATCCAGCTCTCTGCTGTGGCCCAGGAGGGCAGTGGAGGATGGCCCAAGTACTTGGGCCCCTGTACCTGCATGGGAGACCAGGAAGAAGTACCTGGTTCCTGGCTTCGGATCAGCATAGCTCCGGCCGTGGCGGCCATTTGAGGGGTAAACCAACAGAAGGAAGACCTTTCTCTGTCTCTCTCTCTCTCACTGTCTAACTCTATCTGTCAAATAAATTTTAAAAATAAATAAATAAATACCTCCACATCTTGTGCTGAGAGTCTACTATAGACCATAATGAAGTCCCAGATTTTTTTCCTATATAGTTTCTCAAATATGAGCCTTTGTAGTTAAAACTGGGTTTTCTTTTTAAGTATCTATACAAAACAGCATACCACTGTAATTTTCTGAGTAGCCTTCAATTTCACATTAAAGTATGCCTCAGCGAATTCCTTGTAGAATTAATGTAAATGCTGGGGCCATGTGACCTTATTTTACCTTCAAGTTATTCCTCTCAACTTTTAAAGTTCTGGTTAAGGTGTACTGTATTAGATAATTGTTGCTCACATTTTTCCTAGATATTCCCTTGTTGCCTCATGTTCAAAAATATCTGAACTCTGTTCAGTATATAGAAGAACTGCAAAAGTTTGTGGAAGATGATAATTACAAGTAAGTTGGATATTCAGAAGTGGTTTGTATGACTTTGTCTTGTCCTCCATCCTCCCATTCCCTCCTGTTTAAACATCTACTTTTTTTTTACTTTTTTTTTTAAGATTTATTTATTTATTTGAAAGATAGAGTTACAGAGAGGCAGAGGCAGAGAGAAAGTCTTTATCCACTGGTTCACTCCCCAGATGGCCGCAGTGGCTGGAGCTGTGCCAGTCCAAAGCCAGGAGCCAGAAGCTTCCTCCGGGTCTCCAACATGGGTGCAGGGGCCCAAGGATGTGGGTCATCTTCTATTGCTTTCCCAGACCATAGCAGAGAGCTGGATTGGAAGTGGTGCAGCTGGGACTTGAACCAGCACCCCATATGGGATGCTGGCACTGCGGGTGGTGGCTTTATGTGGTACACTACAGTGCTGGCCCCTAAACATCTACATTTTATAATGTATCATTCAATTGCCTAATCCAGTGTCATATTTACAAGGATAAAACTGCTTACATAGGCCAGCACCACGGCTCACTTGGCTAATCCTCCGCCTGCGGCGCCAGCACCCTGGGTTCTAATCCCAGTTGGGGCACCAGATTCTGTCCCAGTTGCTTCTCTTTCAGTCCAGCTCTCTGCTGTGGCCCGGGAAGGCAGTGGAGGATGGCCCAAGTGCCTGGGCCCTGCACCCGCATGGGAGACCAGGAGAAGGCACCTGGCTCCTGGCTTTGGATCGGCGCGGCACGCCAGCCGTGATGGCCATTTGGGGGATGAACCAATGGAAGGAAGACCTTTCTCTCTGTCTCTCTCCCTCATTGTCTAACTCTGCCTGTCCAAAAAAAAAAAAGTACTTGATATAATTTAGCCAATTTACAAATAACTCATGTGTTCTATGGCTAAAATGTTTTAAGTTGTAGAAAGCTGATATTTGATAGTTTTACTTTGAACTATATCCAATCATTGAGTTTTTATGAAAATTTATGTTTTAATAGGAAAAGCTAATGAAACAGTATATTAAAGAAACATTACTTGTTTCTTAATGATAATTTTTGATACATCATTGATCTTATTTTCAGTTGTTTTTGTGTGTTGAGAGTATTGACCCTTCTTGCCTGTAGGTCAGAGACATGTTTCTCCTATATAGCACCATATTTATTATGTTCTCTGTATTATAACAAGTCCCTTATTGAAAAATTTTTAAAATAGTTGATACCCATGTCTTTCTCAAGGAGAGGCTATTTTTAGGTTACTATTTCTTTCATTGGTATGCTTTACATCATAACTGCTCAGCATTTTGTTTCAACAAAAAGATCAAAGAATGGAGAGCTTATGTCTCTTGAAGCTTCGCATTTTTCTTTTAGCTTTATTGTTAATCTTTCTAAAATTGCTTATCATTGTTGTGTCTGTTTTTCCCATGCTTTCAAATTGAATTTAGTGTTTTCCACAAATATTTTTCCAATTGAAGACCATGGTTTTGAAATGTATCAAAGGAAGAGATTAGGTTGTTTTTCTTTATTAAGATATTATATAAAAATGTTTTTCTTACCCTTTGGGTAGTGATTATGTTTCATTGTTCTATAGATTTTAACAGTTTATTTTTTAATTCTGCAGAACAAAATTAGTCCCATTAAAAGGCTAGAAATAATTCCAGAATCTAATTAAAAATTAGCTTTTCTCAGCTCTGGATATTTTATTGTATTAGATACTTAACTGTACCTAAAATTTTATTAATTTTCAAAACACTTTGAATGCTGTGTTTTCCCCCATGGCTTATTAGTGTTTTATGTTTCTACACCAACTTTTATTTTACAAAATTTTTTACATGACAACTTACTTGAAAATACATGAGGTCAGTTTATCAGCATTGTATGGCTAGAGTTTAATTCTGTGCCCTGAGTTACCAGTTTCTCAAGTTTAGTGATCTGTGTCTGTATTTTCTATGGTTTTTCCTCTCTCTCTTATTACTGACATAGAACTTACATGGTAAGAAACATATAGGTTTTGTCAAGTGAGATATAGAACAGATTTCTTACACATCTAAGTAAATATTAAATTTTTACCTGATTGGAAATTTTATCCTTGGATTTAAGAGGAATTAAAGCTTATTAAGTAGATGTGGAGTCTAAGAAAATTTTGAACATTTACAGAGAATGGTAACTTTTTATTGACAGGAGTAAAAGTATAATATTATTGAAGCTAATCTGATAGTTGCTCTCCTAAATGGATAGATGTGGCCATCGAAGCCGTTGACTAGTTCTGTTTGTAAGGTGACATAAGATACCTTCATTTTTTTCGGAAGACTGACGCTAAGTAGATTGAGATATTCTAGGCCTCCAGTAACTCAGTCTCATGTAAGACATATCCACAAGACCAATGATTACAAACATTTTCAGACAGTGTTGCACTAGCCATATGGCCAGCATGCCTGGGAAACAGAGGAGGAGACCTAACCAGCTTTAGGTGGGAGAAGTAGAGCAGGAACGTGAGGGCTTCAGGAGACAAGTCTTAGCAGTTGAGTAGGAGGCAGGCCCACGTGAAGGGTAAGGAAAGGCCTTCCAGAGGTAGGACCATCAAAAGAAGGGGGCGGCAAAAACTGGTTTACTTGCCTGCCTTGGGAAGTACAGCGTTCTGTGTTGTTGGAAAGGGGATTGTTTTTCTAACAATACTGTTGGTTTGCATGAGCCTGTTGAAATTAGTCCATATATATTTAGATACAGGCGACAGCTTACTTATCTAAAGACTTGTGTTTTGCGCAGCTAGTAGAGACAGTACGGATTGCATGCATGGCTTTCAGTCAGGAGGACACCCTTTCTCAGTTAATACTGGACATGCTCTGATGATTGTATCAGCAACTCACTCTCAGTAGCCTTCCCCTCTCTGCTAGTTAAGATGCTGCTGCTTTTTACACTGCTGTCAGCTATTAGCTGCTGCAAATAGCAGTGTGATTCACTCAGTAAACCCTCCGTTCCTTTGTGTCTTAGTGCTGTGTTAGGACATTGTAGATACTCTGTTTGCTCTGTTGGTCTTCACCCACTAGACTGTAAGCTTCAGAAGGGCAGAAGTATCATGTCTGCGTTAGTCTCTGTGATATTCTAGTGCCGAGCACAGTCCCCAACACAAAACAGGTGTTCAACAGATGTTTGTCAAGTGAATGAATGCAGTGTCGTCTGTAGCTTACATAAATAAACTCCTGTAAAAAATAAAGTGTTCTAGTTAATCAAATATCTATTCAATCCATGCATTTTACATTGTCAAATAGTTGAAATATAAGCATATATAATTCCCTCTTAGGTTATCAAAGAGAAAATAATTTATAATAGGTTTGTTTATCATTATGTATGCCATATGTATTTTACAATTTCATTAAAAATTCTAGTTTGTAAGGTAATGTTCAACAGTCTTTATTAATTTTCAGTCATTCTTAGAAATATTAGCCTTCATATATGGCCCTAAAGCATTTTCCAGAACTCCTCCATCCTGAAATTGTTTCCACTGCTAGGAACCATAATTTCTTTGCCATGGGACTCAAACCTGGAAATATTATCCTAAATAGAACTTAACTAACAACTAATAAGCTTTGACTTAGGCAGGAATTTACTAGGAATTTTCCCAACAGCCTTTTTTTCTTTTTTTTTTAAAAAAGCTCCAGTGCACAGGAGCTCGCTCTCACTCTCTCAAATTAAAAACAAACAAAAGGGCCAGCACCGTGGCTCAACAGGCTAATCCTCCGCCTAGCGGCGCCGGCACACCGGGTTCTAGTCCCGGTCGGGGCGCCGGATTCTGTCCCGGTTGCCCCTCTTCCAGGCCAGCCCTCTGCTGTGGCCAGGGAGTGCAGTGGAGGATGGCCCAGGTGCTTGGGCCCTGCACCCCATGGGAGACCAGGAAAAGCACCTGGCTCCTGGCTCCTGCCATCGGATCAGCGCGGTGCGCTGGCCGCAGCGCGCCAGCCGCGGCGGCCATTGGAGGGTGAACCAACGGCAAAGGAAGACCTTTCTCTCTGTCTCTCTCTCTCACTGTCCACTCTGCCTGTCAAAAAAAAAAAAAAAAAGATTTATTTATTTTATTTGAAAGGCAGAGTTACGAGAGGTAGGGTGGGGTGGGGAGAGGCCTTCCATTCACTCCCCAGATGGCTGCAATGGCCAGAGCTGTGCCGATCCAAAGCCAGGAGCTTCTTCCGGGTCTCCCTTGTGGGTGCAGGGGCCCAAGGACTTGGGCCATCTTCTACTGCTTTCCCAAGCCATAGCAGAGAGCTGGATCGGAAGTGGAGCAGCTGGGACTCAAACCGGTACCCATATAGGATGCCAGCACTGCAGGCTGCAGTTTTACCTACTATGCCACAGCAGTGGCCCCCAGACAGCCTTTTTATTTGTGTAGATCTTTCTTTTGATGAGTTGTGTTAGTTGGTTTGTCAGATGGTTAGTTCTAAACAGGGTATTTTGAAATTTTCAGTGTTAACAGTACTTCATCCAGTAAAGATGACAGTTTGCATAATTTATTTAACAATTTTTGTGATTGTTCCTAAATTTAGATATGTCAAGATAAGTTCAGTTATCAAGTACCTTTAAATGCATTGAATGGTTTGGACCTTTGGGGTGGATAACTGGGATGACTGTGTTTTTAAATACAACTTTTTGATGTTTTTCCTCTCCTTTAATATGTCCTGTAGTAACTATAAGATCAGCTTTTTATGAAAGAAATAGGAGACTTAACATCTTAAAAATTGCTTTTGAAGAAAAATATATAAATTAAATTATTCCACAGAAATGTTTTGTTTTTGTGAGAAAATACATGACTAACATTTTTGTTGTGTTAATTATTTTATGTGTTTTTTCTTTTTAAAACTCAGGCTTTCATTAAAGATAGAACCAGGGACAAGCACACCACGTTCTGCTGCCTCCAGGGAAGATTTAGTAGGTTAGTGTGTGGTTTTCTCTCATCATCAAATAAATCAGATTGCCTAATAAGAAGGAATGAATTCCAAATTAAATAAATAGTTAGCACGTCTTGTACTGTGTGTAAAATATACTTTTGGTATTAAGATCTCAGTCCTTTCTGGGTTTGTTTTTCATCAGAAACTTGTTTTGAAGTTTGTCAGTGATATAAAAATAAATAATGCTACCTCATCAGGAAAAATAGGTGTGACAAAATAATAGGTATTTTGTGAATATCATATTCATCTTTTAATTACTAAGAATGCATTGTTCTAGACAGTGAAATTTGATTACACTAGAATTTTTTAGGTCTCAGTGGAAAATTACAATATTTTGAACAATTTATGACAGTCAATTTTAGTAACTTTTTTTAAATGTTTAATATTGGACCAACTACTAAAAATATAAAAATGATACTTCCTGCTTTACCTGTTGCATTACAATGGGGATATTATATGCATACCACAGGTAATCAAAAACATAAAGAAATAATTGATAAAAATTCCCAATGCAGACTTTGACACTAGCTTCATAGCGTATCTTCTAAACATATTTGAAAACCTATCTAGTAAAACATGAAGAAGTGAGGGGATAAGCCATGGCTGTAGGAGGAGGATGAACATTCCAGTCTGAAGCTCTTATATTTGCTTTTAGTTCCTTTCTTAAAGTGGTATTTGGGGCAGACTTTGTGGTACAGCAGGTTCATCCACTGCCTAGGGAGCCTACACCCTGTATCGGAGTGCCTGGGATCTGGTCCCACCTCCCCCTTTGGGGAGCCTGCACCCTGTATTGGAGTGCCTGGGATCCGGTCCCACCTCCACCTTTGGGGAGCCTACACCCTGTATCGGAGTGCCTGGGATCCGGTCCCACCTCCACCTTTGGGGAGCCTACACCCTGTATCGGAGTGCCTGGGATCCGGTCCCACCTCACCTTTGGATCCAGCTCCCGCGAATGCACTGAGGAGGCAGCAGCTGGTGGCTCAGGTGCTTGAGTCCCTGGGATGGAGCTCCTGGCCCCTGGCCCAGCCCTGGCTGTGGTGGGCATTTAGGGAGTAAACCAGCAGAGGGAAGACAATTCATTCATTTTCTTTCTTTCTCTCTCTGTCTCACTCTCACTCTTGCTGTACCTTTCAAGTAGATGAAAATAAAATAAACATTTTTTTAAGCTTTAAAAAATACTCATTTTAAAACTCTTAAATTTGCATTTCTGTTTCATCTTTAAAGTGAGATTTGGGACAGACATTGTAGCATAGCAGATTAAGCCACCGGATAGGATGCCCCCATCCCATGTCAGAGTGCAGATTTGACTCCTGGCTCCTCTGGTTCCAATCTAGTTCCTAGATTGGGAGGCAGCAGGTGATGGTCCAAGTACTTGGGTCCCTGCCACCCACATGGGAGATCCCAACTGGGTTCAAGGATCCTGACCCAACTTTGGCTTTTGCAGGCATTTGAGAAGTGAACCAACAGATGAACAATCTCAGTCTCTTTTCCTCTCCTCCTTTCTCTCTATATCTTTAAGACAAATAAATAATTTTTTAAAGATTTATTTACTTATTGAAAAGCAGAGCTGCAGGGAGAGAGAGGCCTTCCATCCACTGGTTCCCTCCCCAGATGGCCACAACAGCTGGAGTTGAGCTGATCCAAAGCCAGGAGCCAGGATCTTCCTCCGGGTCTCCCACATGGTGCAGGGGCCCAAGGACTTGGGCATCTTCCACTGTTTTCCCAGGCCACAGAAGAGTAGAGCAGCCAGGATTCAAATCGGCGCCCACATGGAATGCCAGCACTGCAGGTGACAGCTTTACCTGCAACGCCACAGCACTGGCCTCAAATAAATTTTTTTTAAAAGCTGTGTTTTATAAATCTGTGTACTTTTAAATTGTTTTTTACCCATAAGCCTGAACTATGTCAGTATGCGTGTAACTTCCAAATGAAGCTGTTTGACCTACCTTACATGTTCTTTGTCTAAGAGGAAGCTGAAGCTAGGAGTGAAAAAGTAGTGTGTCAAGTTAAAAGAGTGCTGAACCTAGGACTCAGAATCATTCATCCAGATGTCATCTGTGATGTGAAGTCCTGAGCTGATCTGTTTTTTTTTTTTTTTAATTACTTTATTTATTTGAGAGTCAGAGAGAGGGAGAGAAAATGAGAGGTCTTCCATCCACTGGTTCACCCCTAAATGGCACAACAGCCAGTGCTGGGCCAGACAGGAGCCAGGAGCTTCTCCCTTAGTGAGGATCCAAACACTTGAGCCATCCTCCACTGCTTTTCCAAGGCCGTTAGCAGGGAGCTGGATCAGAAGTGGAACAGCATGACTCCAGCCAGTGTTCAGATGGGATGCTGGCACAGCAGGCAGCAGCTTCATCTGCTGTGCCACAGCACCGGCCCCAGCTGATCTCTTAATTCAGCTTCGACCTGTGTGAACAGGAGAAATATTTACACTGCCTCTACTTAGTGCAAGAAAGACAGATATAAATTAGTGGATTTGTTTTGTTTGGCATTTTGTGTTTTAGAACTTGGAAGGAAGTATTTTTCATCTTTAAGACAATTAAATAGAGCTAACGTTAACATTACATTTTAAGCCATTTTTGTAATATCAAAGGATTAAAAGTAAAATAATCATTTAAAACTATTTTTCCTTTTATCCCCTTCTTGCCCCCCACCTCCTGCCTCTTTTTAATTTAACCCTTAGGTCCCGAAGTGGGGGCATCGCCACAGAGTGGGAGGAAGAGTGTGGCCGCTGAAGGAGCCTTGCTACCACAGACACCCCCATCCCCACGGAATCTGATTCCACATGGACATAGGAAGTGCCATAGCTTGGGTTATAAGTCAGCATTTTTAATTATCTTTCATGTGTATAAGTTGTGTGTAGTTGATGTTATTCCCTCTTTTCCTTAAGACAAGAGTTATGATGGAGTAAAACATCTTGTTTACTATAAGCATTTGTTTCTTCAGTCTCCGAGTTTAGAAATGAGGTTTTCTGAATTGTTTCTTCATTAGTTAGGGGAGATAAATGAACTTTACAAAGAGCCATCATAAGTAGAATCAGGATAGTGATACACCATTTCCTTTTGAATCAGGACAGCCATTGTTTATCAAAACCAAAATAAGTAGTAAACTAAGTTCTATAAAAATTACTCTTTATAACCAAATACAAATAAAAGGAAATGAATATTTTGTTTAACTGTATTTGTTCTGCAATGTTAACTTCTCAGAAAAGGGTCCCACATTCACCTTTGCCATCGTTTTTGAAAAAATTTTATGACTTCACCAAAACTAATTGTAAAACAATTTTTGAATGGACCTGATGCTGAAGATGAAAAAAATGTTCTAGTTATGTGGGTAAATATGGCCAGGTTTCCATAACAGTTTACCTAAACTGTTAGTTTGAAGCTTTCATAGTAAAATCTGTATATGGGAATTCAGAAATTAATTCAGGGTAGCAGGTAAATCTTTTATATTCTGAATCTTTATATAAAGGTGTCTTTTGTAGCTGGAATTAGTACCAGTATAAAAATTGAAAAATATTTCTCTGTTTCCAGTTTCATTCATAAAATGAACACAGCAGAGTTTAAGAGTGCAACATTCCCAAATGCAGGGCCAAGACATCTGTTAGACGATAGCGTCATGGAACCCCATGCACCGTCTCGAGGCCAAGCTGAAAGTTCTACTCTTTCTAGTGGAATATCAATAGGTAAGAAGTATTTCTCTGAGGGAGTTCCAGCTTAGATAAAGTGAGAATTTAAACAAAATGTTGGAAGAGGCGTAAATGGAAAATATAGAATGAAGTTACTAAGTTTTTAAAGTGCTTGATGTTTTTGACTCCTTTAGAGAATGCATTTGAAGAATGGTGGGAATAAAACATGAGCTGGTTGTACTGGTTAACTGCACATGGCAATGAGCAAAGGTTGGAGTCGAGTGTGACTCGAGATTATTTGGGTTAAGCAGTTGGTTAGATGTGACGTCATTGGGGGCCAGTGCCGTGGCTCACTTGGTTAATCCTCCACCTGTGATGCTGCCATCTCATATGGGTGCCGGGTTCTAGTCCTGGTTGCTCTTCTTCCAGTCCACTCTCTGCTGTGGCCCGGGAGGGCAGAGGAGGATGGCCCAAGTGCTTGGGCCCCTGCACCCGCATGGGAGACCAGGAAGAAGCACCTGGTTCCTGGCTTCAGATCAGTGCAGCGCTGGCCGTAGCGGCCATTTGGGGAGTGAACCAATAGAAGGAAGACCTTTCTCTCTGTCTCTCTCTCACTGTCTACAAATCTACCTGTCAAATAAATAAATTAAAAAAAAGTTAAAAAAACAAAAACAAAAAACCCTAGTACCAACAGATGCTGTGGGTTTAAAAAAAAAAAAAAAAGATGTGACACTGTTGCCAAGGCAGGGAAGACTGGAGGAGTAATCGTTTGTGTACAGTGTGGTATTCGTAAAGGCTGGCTGAATTTGCACCATTAAGAATTCTGTTGTGGACATCTTTAGTCCCTATTGAGATGTTAGGTACTTTGTTGAATTTATGGATCTAGAGCCAAGAGGGGTAAGGTCATGTCTGAAGTTAGGAGAATTAGCATATTTATGATATTTCACACCATGGGACTTGTTGAGATCACCAAGGAAGAGTGTAAGTATTAAATAGATAGAAGAACTTCCTCTCATTCAGAGATCTGATTTAATTTTTTTGAAGATTTATTTATTTATTTTATTTGAAATGCAGAGCTAGAGAGAGAGAGAGAGATCTGCCATCCTTTCTTCACTCCCAGATGCCTGAAACAGCCAGGGCTAAGCCGAGACAAAGTCAGGAGTCCAAGACTCAGTCCAGGTCTCCTAAGTGGGTGGCCTGGATCTAACTTCTTGAGCCATCACCTTCTGCCTTCCAGGACATTGGCAGGAAACCAGAATTGGGAGTGAGCTAGGATGCAAACACAGACACTCCTATGTGGGATACTGGAATCCCAAATGACAACTGAACCACTAGGCCAAATGCCCATTCTTGGCTGATTATTTCTGAAAGAAGGATGTGCCATCACATCAGATTATGAAGGGCAAGGACCATTAAGTAGGGGAGAAAACCAGAGTGTGGTGTCATGATACCAAGTGTCTGAAGGAAGAGGGACGTGCTTAGTATCAGTATGAGATGCAGAAAAGGGAGCTACGATGAGAATAGGGAATTGACCAGGGATCTTGGCAAGATAAGTATGATCTTGACAAGAGTTGCTTCATAAAATGGTGAAGGCAAAACCTGTATTGGAGTGGATTTGAGAGCAGGAGGAAAGAAATGTAAGGTAAAGAGGGGATTTTTTTAAAAAATATTTATTTATTTACTTGAAAGGCAGAGAGGGGTCTTCCATCCACTGGTTCACTACCCAAATTGCTGCAATGGCTGGAGCTGGGCCAATCCAAAGCCAGAAGCCTGGAACTTTTTCCCTGTCTCCCACGTGGGTGCAGGGGCCCAAGCACTTGGGCCGTCTTCTATGCTTTCCCAGGCCACAGCAGAGAGCTGGATAGGAAGTGGAGCAGCCAGGGCTCAAACCAGCACCCATATGGAATGCTGGCACTGCAGGGCAGTGGTTTCACTCGCTACACCACAGCACTGGCCAAGAGAGGGGATTGTTTTACTGTCTGTATTAGTCAGCTTTTCAGTACTGTAGCAAAATACCTGAGGCAGGCTACTTTCTTAAGAAAAAAGGTGTATCTAACTCAGTTTAGGGTAGAAGTCTAAACAGCAAAGTCTCTTGCAAGGGCCCCCTGTCCACCTCACACCATGATCTCTCTGTCTAGTCCCTGTTGCTCTTCCTCTCATATGGACAGGACACAGAGCTCCTCCCTGAGTAACTGATCTAAACCTCATCACTTTCCAAAGACGCCACCTCTAAAAACCCTGTTGGGATCAAGTTTACCTTCTTAACACCACTGGCATGTGACTCTGAGGATTAAACTCTGGGAATCTAGGGGATGGAGACCATATTCAAATTGTAGCAACTTCCTAAACTTTTATTTATTTTCTGGATCTGAAATGATTTCAATTCATCATTAGAAAATAATCCATATCATTTTAATTTTTAAAAAGGGATAAAGGAGAAAAATGTTTTTTGTTTTGATGAAGTAGCAGCTCACTCAAAGGCTAAGCCTGCTGTGTTACTATGACTGTCTCAGTGTTGATAAATGGCCAATGGAAAGAGATACGAAAGGAGATTTGTTTTCTTGACATCTTTGGCCTCTGAGAGTTCCACACCCTGAAAACAAAATTGCTTCGGAGTTCTCCAGCAGTTGATTTTGACGTTCCCTTTTTATAAATGCCAATGATGACAAAATTTTTGGCACAGAAGATATTTATCACCTAAAATACTTCTTTAATAATGCTGCAAGTTGCCTGTGTGCAAATGACAAACTCAGTCTGAAAAATAGTACACAATAGTTTTGCAAAAAAAAAAAAAAAAAAAAAAAGGAATTCTTTTCAGTTAAAAGTTTCTTATACCTATGGGGACAGACATTTGGCCTCATAGTTGAGATGCAGTTTGGGACACCCACATCCCAAATTGAAGTGCCTGGATTCAAGTCCATTCCCAATTTCTGCTTCCTACGACTGTGTAGCCAGAGAGACAGCAGTGATGGCTCATGTACTTGGATCCCTGCCACCCATCTGGAAAACCCAGATTGAGTTTCTTGTTCCTGGCTTCAGTCTGGTCCAACCCAGATACCTCTCTCCCCTACCATCCCTCTCTCTCCATGTCTCTCAATTAGTTAATTAAAAAAATTTAAACTTCTTTTGATTAATGAATCTTGCGTGCCACATGAAGCAAAAACTAATACTTTTTTAAAGGTTCACTCATTCGTTCATTCATTCATTCATTATTCATTTGAAAGGAAGAGAATGAGAGAGTGCTTCCATCTGCTGGTTCGTCTCCAAGTGACCCCAGCAGCTAGGTCTGGGCCAAGCTCCTGAAGCCAGGAGCCAAGAGCTCCATTCTGGTCTCCCATGTGGGTGGTAGGGCCCCCAGTACTTGAGCTGCCTTCCATTGCTTTCCTAGGCACATTAGCTGGAAGCTGGATCAGAAGTAGCTGCCAGGAATCAAACTGGCACGCTGATAGGGGATGCCTGTTTCTCCAGTGCCAACTTAACCCTCTGTGCCACACCACCAGCTCCAAAATAATAATTTTTAAAATTACTTCTATCAAATGCTTTGTATTTGACTTTTTACTCATCCTAACTCTTTTTAGATTACATGTTTGAAAGACAAAGAGAGAGAGAGAGAGATTCCATCAGCTGGTTCACATCCCAAATGCTTTTAACAGCCAGGGCTGTAACCAAAAAACCAGGAGCCCAGTCTAGGTCTCCCAGCTGTGTAGCAAGGACCCAGCTACTTGAGCCGTCACCACTGCCTCCCAAAGGTGTGCACTAATAGGAATCTGGAATTGGGAGCAGAGCTGAGTCTCAGACCCAGGCTCTCTGCAAATGAGATTCACATTTCCGAAGCGGTACCTCAACTGCTGCACCGAGCACCCACCCTGCTCATCTGAAGTATGCTAATGATGATCTTTACTTTCTGTAGGCAAGCTTTTGGTTACCACAAGATAGTTAACAACTTATTCATTCGGTTACAGTTAGGGTCTCAGTTTAGAGATTTCTAAAGCAGATTTTTCGCCTTTATGTTAATTTTTTTGATTATTCTAAGGCTAGTACTTGGTAAACAATTGAAGATTATTGCATCCTTTTTGTAAATTAGCAACATTGCAACACAGGCATTTGCCTTCCAAGATTTTTGTTTTACAACTTTATTACCATGAGATGGTAAAGGTTAGCATGCATACACAAGAATCTTTCCCTTAACTGTAGTTTTTATGTGCTGTTAATCTATACCGTGAGTGCTGAGAAAGTACTACTTTAAAAAATCAACCAGGGCTTGAGACAGTGACCCCAAACAATTTCTCAAGTGGCAAGTATGTCCTGGCTACCCTAGAGCAGTGCTGCCTAGCAGACATGCCAAGGAGGCATGTCCACCCTGAGCTCCACACCGCACTGCAAGTGTGCCTCCATTTCCACGTGCACCACGTGCCACCACCAGCGGCAGCGGCAGCAGCTTTACCTCTGGTTCCTCATCTCTGCTGCGCAGTACAGGAAGCAGGCTTCTGTGCCTGTTACTCATGCTGTTCCAGGCACGTAGGAGAGGTCTTCATCAGCTGCCTGTAATGGCCGCCTCGCAGCATCAGCGTCGGACCCCCATTACAAGGCTGGTAGACGCTTCATCTTAATCTTACTGAGAGCCAGGGTTACCTCTCAGAACTGAAGTCTGCTGGCCAGAATCTTCACCCTTCACATGTTTTTCCAGCCAGTTTTAAACTTTCTATTTAAGGACCATTTTAAATGTTATAATGGCCAAAGAGGAAATTGTTACTTTGTTATAGTACCATTTGTTTCTGGTTTTTGTTTTTTGTTTTAATTCCATCCTCTTCAGCTTGTCTATCTTAACAGTGAAGAATTGAATTTTATTAAGCTTTTTGCTCCTAGGGTAGTAACGGATTTCACTAAAAAAGAAAGACATATACCATGAACTTCTAAGGATTTCATAATAATATTGGTCCTAAGTTATGAAAGACCTAAAAAAAAAGTGCAGTGTGCATTCTCTGAAGGTGGAAAATGATCTATTAAGATAATGAGTTGGAGCTGTAAGTTGGGTATGCAGGAATTTTTTTTAGTGTTTTGTAATGTTAGGTAGTTTCATCAACTGTATTTCAGTATATTGCAAAATAAACCTAGCAGCAGTGATATTAAATTAAGTAATGTGTATGTTCATCTGCAATGTGATTGACATCTTGGGAATTTATGAAATCAAAACTGGAAGAATAATTCTAAAAATGGAACAACTTCTGATTCAGGTAGCAGTGATGGTTCTGAACTAAGTGAAGAGACCTCATGGCCTGCTTTTGAAAGGTAAGAGAAGGCGTCCATGTGACTGCTCTGAGCTTGTCTGTCTTAAAGTCCATGATAATGTGAATTTTAAGAAACAGTGCTTACCCCAAGGGACTATTTTAGTTTCCTGATGGTAAAATAAATTTAGAAATTGATATTTTACTTTTGGAAATGTGAGTAATGAGAATGATTAGCTGATAGTGTATCTAATGTGTATGTTTGTTTGGTGGCTTGACACATATATTTGAATTTTAGTGCACTTAAAATTGTGACTCAAAAATAATAACTGCAAGGCTAAACATCACATCCCATATCTTAGTTTCTGGGTTTGATACCCAGCTCCAGCTAGGGCTCCTAATGCAGACCCTGGCCAGCAGTGTATGCATTCCTGCCAAATACATGTGGGAGACCTGGATTGACTTCCTGGCTCTCAGCTTTGGCCCAACCCAGTGCAGGCATCTGGAGACTGAACCAACAGACGGGAGCTCTCTGTCTTTCTCTCTGTGCTTCTCCGCCTCTCACAGTAAATAAACAAACAACTACAGTGAACTCACTACCTATATATTCAGAAATGAAATTATTTCCTTAAGTCTGGTTTATTTTAAGACATTTTATGGAATGAATAGTCTGTTTCATCCTTTGCTGCTTTCTCAAGGACAAAATGTTTTAGTAGATTTTAAATTATGCCATAAATAAAGCAGCTTGAAGTCCAGATTTAAATTATCGTCAATTCAGAATTTACACCTTACTGAAATACTCCATCAGACTCCCTTCTACCTCCCTTATTGCTTTAAGCTGTAAAGCCATCATCTGCTTGCAGCAAATATCATGTTATATTGATCTTTAAATGCAAGATCTCCTTAAGAATGTAGCCAAACAACACAAATGATTATTACTAATAGTTCTTAAATGTTCATTAGAATTTTAGATTATTTCTAACCATTCCACTTCTGCCATTTTAAATTCCTGAGATATTTGACTCTTGAACAAAGTAACTGCTCCATTTTGTATATAAACAAAGTAACTGGTAAGGCACCAAGAGTGTTGGTAATGTCATGTTAAAACTGGAGAGTTGAGAAACTGGGTGTTTGACAGCAGCGGTGAAGATGCCCTGAGACACCCTCATCCCATGTTGGAAAGTCTGGGTTCAAATCACAGCTCCTCTTCCGATCCAGCTCCCTGCGTACATCCTGGCAGCATAAGATGGCTCACATACTTGGGTCCCTGCCGCCCAAGACTGGCCCAGACTGAGTTCCAGGCTCCTGGCATGCAGTGGCCCATCCCTGGCTGTTGGGGCATTTGGGGAGTGAACCAGAGGATGAACGATTCATGCCTACCTTCACCTCATTTTCTCTCCTCCTCTCTCCCTCTCCTGTCTCTCTACACTACCTTTCAAATAACACAAAAACAGAGCTAAAAATATTTAGTTATCTAACTTCCTATCAGTCACTATTTAGTAGAAAGCAATTTGAATCATACTTGAATCAGTTAATTTTAAGCTAATTGGAAGATTTAGATCATGTTCCAGACAAAACTTCATAGATATTTCTCATCATTATGTGATTAAGATTTGACTTAGAAGCCCTATATTTCAAAATACTTATATCCCTTTCTCCTTTCATTATCAATGTTCTCGAATTTTGTTCTTTTAGTTTGGAGGTTTCTTAACAGTTTATTTTTACATGTTGTTTCTTTCCAACCTTTTTTTTTTTTTTTTTTTTTAAGACTTTATTTGAGGGGTAGAGTTACAGATAGTGAGAGGTAGAGACAGAGAGAGAGGTCTTCCATCCACCGGTTCACTTCTCAAATCGCAACAGCCAGAGCTGGGCCGATCTAAAGCCAGGAGCCTGGAGCTTCTTCCAGGACTCCCACTTAGGTGCAGGGGCCCAAGGACTTGGGCCATCTTCTGCTGCTTTCCCAGGCCAGAGCAGAGAGTTGGATCTGAAGTGGAGCAGCCAGGACTCAAACTGGCACCCATATGGGATGCCGGCACTACAGATGGAGGATTAACCTACTGCACCACAGCTCTGGCCCCCCAACCTTTACTTTTAAGTCTCTTTATTTGGGTTTTCCAGAAGTGGGAAAGACGCAAGCATTGCCTTGGCCATGTACAGATTGTGCTTCTACTAGAGAAAGAGCATAACGCCATCAGATACTGTGATGACAGGCTTCATTATAATACTCAGATAAAGGAGCCGGCACCGTGGCATAGTGGGGAAAGCCGCCGCCCACAGTGCGGCATCCCATATGGGCGCCAGTTCAAGTCCTGGCTGCTCCACTTCTGATCCAGCTCTCTGCTGTGGCCTGGGAAAGTAGTAGAAGATGGCCCAAGTGCTTGGGTCCCCGTGTTGGAGACCCAGAAGAAGCTCTTGACTCCTGGCTTCAGATCAGCACAGCTCCAGCCGTTTCAGCCAACTGGGGAATGAACCAACAGATGGAAGACCTCTCTCTCTCTTGCTCTCTCTGCCTCTCCTCTCTGTGTAACTCTGACTTTCAAATAAATAAATAAATATTTTAAAAAAGATTTAGATAAAAATATTGACTAGTAAAATGGCTTCTTAAATTGCCTGAGTTATGTAAGATTTAACCAGAATTGTGTCGTGTTAAACAATCTGTTCCCATCCCAGCAGGCTGCTTGTGAAGAGTGCTGAATGGTGTTACCTTCATGTCTCAAAACAGTATTTTTCTTGTATGACAAGTATTTTACTTTGCAGACATTTGCAGCTAAAAAATCCACTGTAACTATGCCAAGTTGAAATCAGTGACCCTTGGGACATTTTGAGAACAGTTAAATGCATGCTGCTCTGCAAGATTCAGATGTGAAATAACAAAAAGTGGATCAAGAACTGGGATTTAGAGTACTGCTTGTGGATAGTGAGCTTGGAACCAGTACTCTGAATGTTAGCACGTCACTTGCTGTTCTTTTTTCTTAGAGAGACATCAAATATGTTGTTGCTTACATTACTAAAATAATGCTTTTTGTTTAAAATATTTGTCAACAGTGCTACTCTTGGCTGTTTTCAAGCAAAGGAATACCAATGTTTTATGTGTTTGTGTTTACTCCCTTTGATAATATGTTTCATTCTGGATAAATATGAATTCCTATCATTTTTCATTTATTCATCAGTTAATTTAGAAGTAAAATAATACCTATATTTATTACTTAGTTGGTCATCTCCTTTATTACTTTTCTTTGATTTACCAAGTAGAATAAAAAGGAAGATAAGGTTTTTCACATTAGTCTTCAGTTACAAGCCACATTGCTTTTAGGTGTCTTCATAGGGACATATATTAAAAGGAGGTATTTATATAAATCCAGGCATCCTGCTTAAACTAGATTCCAAGAAATAGAATAGAAGTAAAAGAACTTTTGAAGTATTTTTTAGGTTTTTACATTTGGCTATAAATCACTTTTTCATTCTTTTAGCAGATTTGTGAAAACTAACGTAAATGTAAATGTATGGTATATTCTTAACACCTATAAGTATTTTTAGAGACAGCAGGAGAAAAGAATTTTTGAAATCTGTCTTCATGTTTTATAAAACAGAAGATTGATCACATGCTTTTTGTCAGATTTAGAGAACTGTTACACAAAGAAGCTATTATACTGTTTTAGGAATTGATGATTGTATGAATAAAAGTATATGTAATATATACAATTTATAATGGAATCCAACAGGAACAGATTATACCATTCTCTCGGCCCGGTGACAAGAGTGGCACGAAATGGCTATCGAAGCCACGTGAAGGCCAGCAGGTACAATCCCCCTGCACTCAGGGGCCACAGAACCCCCTCTGGTGATGGTGATTGGCTCCCATGGTTGTGGTCTGGCATTTTTTCTGTTCTTTCTCAACTAACTGATTGAAAAACTAGATAAATCGCCCAGAAAAACTTTCTTTCCAAGATCTGACATGAAGATAAATTTGAACTACTCTCTCTGATCCACACAGCTAATTGCTAAAGCTTTTGTCTTTATGTCATATTTTTAAAATGTTAATGAATTGGTAGCCTTTTAACTGCACAAGTCTTTCTAATGCTGCTAGTTATTTGAGAGACTATTATAATAATCTGCTTGTTGTTTATAAGCTTCAATCAAAGCATTTACTTTGCTAAAAAATATACATTTGATTTCTTTTTAAATGATTTTTTCAGATAAACCACAGGCCATGAATTTAGACCAGTCTCTTTCATTAAATAATATTTATGTATTTCAACTCATTGAGGTGAGGAGTCAAATAAGGATTATACCAGTGATTGGAAACATAAGGTTTAGTGGTAAGGGGTAATCAGCCAACTCTTTTTTTTTTTTTTTTTTTAAAGATTATTTATTTGAAAGGCAGAATTACAGACAGAGAAGGAGAGACAGAGAAAGAGGTCTTCCATCCTCTGGTTTATTCCCCAAATGGCTGCAACAGCTGGAGCTGGGTTGACCTGAAGCCAGGAACCTGGAGCTTCTTCAGGTCTCCCACGTGGATTCAGGGGCCCAAGCACGTGGGCCATCTTCCACTGCTTTCCCAGGCTGTTAGCAGGGAGCTGGATGGGAAGTGGAACATCCAAGATGCTGGCACCACAGGCAGAGGCTTAACCTACTCAGCCCAGTCAGCCAACTCTTGAAACAGCAAACAAACTTGAAGCAAACTTTATGTCAGTTTGATGATACTGGATCTCCTTGTGTGCAAGTGTACATCCCTGAATATAAGTGGCTGAGCATAGAGTTTCTGATGGTTTCTAAGTTTTTAAGTCACTTTGAAGACACCTAAAGAACCATAAAAAAGTAAACTGGCAAACTTCAGATTTCTTTGCTGTTATAGGAATTCTACAGCTTGTATCATATCATAAAAAAGACATGTTTATCAATATGTATTGATTGGTTCATGTAGAAATTATTCTGGTTTTAAGTACAGCACCTTAAATCAGTTTGGAAAATATATTAAAATGTTCGGTTGTTCTGTCTTCTTTTTTAACTTGCATGAAAAGGCAATCTTGAGTTTGGAGACTGTTAGACCATAATCAAATGCTTGTACGCTGACAGCATTTAAATGCCATTAATTATTGCAGGAAGTTATTTTTTAAAATGTTGTTATTTTATTACTTTATTAATTAACCTATTTTAGAATTAAATTAAGCATGGATTTTTACTTTTATTGAGCTCCTGCTACTTTTATTTTCAGTTTTGTTTTGTTTTCAGTTTTGTTTTCATAAGTGCTTTTAACAGAATTTCCATCTTTCCTACCAGGACTTCAGAGTTTCTGATGAGGAAAATAAAGTTATGATAATGATGCAATGTGGCATATTAAGAAAAAAATTCTTAAATGCTTAATCTCTACTAAAGTAAATTACTGCATTCTTTCTAAATTGTACTTACTCAAATGTATATTAGTGTGTGTTTAGAACCTGCTGACTTTTAACAGCTTCCTAATTTCATGCCAGCTTATACAATTCAGATCAATAAATCTTTAAAAATTGTCCATGTCTTCTCAACTGTGAATAAAGCAACAAAATTTTAAAATTAAAAATAATTTCATTTTAAGTACCCATTGCTTAAAATATATACACAGATCTTATGTGGTTTTTTCATTTTCATTATTACAGTTCTGCAGAATCAGAAGATTTGGCAGTGCATTTGTATCCAGGAGCGGTTACTATTCAAGGTGTTCTCAGGAGAAAAACTTTGTTAAAAGAAGGCAAAAAACCTGCAGTAAGATTTCACTATGTTATATTTTAACACACCTCTAAAATATGTAAAAATAAGATCCTAGGGCCGGAGCCGCAGCTCACTAGGCTAATCCTCCACCTTGCAGCACCGGCACACCGGGTTCTAGTCCCGGTCGGGGCACCGGATTCTGTCCCGGTTGGGGCACCGGATTCTGTCCCGGTTGCCCCTCTTCTAGGCCAGCTCTCTGCTGTGGCCCGGGAGTGCAGTGGAGGATGGCCCAAGTGCTTGGGCCCTGTACCCCATGGGAGACCAGGAAGCACCTGGCTCCTGGCTTCAGATCAGCACAGCACGCCAGCCGTGGCAGCCATTGGAGGGTGAACCAACAGCAAAAGGAAGACCTTTCTCTCTCTCTGTCTCTCTCTCTCACTATCCACTCTGCCTGTCCAAAAAAAAAAAAAAGATCCTAAAAATAATTAAAGCAATTGCAATAAAATCAGGTATATAGTAGACTTGAATATTATAAAAGACACATTTGCCTCGCCATGTTTCCTAAAGTTATCTCCATACAGAAATCATATATTACATATACTTAAATAAAGGCACTCCCACACTTTTCTTTTTATCTTCAGTATAGTTTGTGTATTAAACTGTTCCTGTAGAAATCTGAACATATATCATTAAGAATTATTTTAGTAAAGATGAGGAAAATTAGAAAATAGGCAATAAGAACCTTAAAATAAAGTTCAACTAATGTTGCTTCATTGTTTTGTTTTTTTTAAGGTTTATTTTTTATTTATTTGAAAGGCAAAATTAGAGGTGGAGAGAAAATGAGAGAGAGAGAGATCTTCCATCCACAGGTTCACATCCCAAATGGCCACAACAGCCAAGGCTGGGCTAGGCTGAGGCCAGGAGCCCGGGGCTTCCTCTGGTTCTAGAGTGGAGGGACCCAAATACTTGGCCCATCTGCTGCGGCTTTCCCAAGCAGCCGGGTCTTGAATCGGCTCCCATCTGGGATGCCAGCCATTGCAGGCAGCTACTTAACCCACTACACCACAACTCCAACCCTGCTTCACTGGTTTTGAAGTAATTGTAATGTAGTTTTTTTCCTGTGTGGTGTAGAACGCAGATGTTAAGTGTCCTGCACAACGCTACGGGGTGGGGGGGGGGGGCATGGTAAAGCAGAGCTGTCTGCATGTGATGGGTAAGTCTGCTCTTCCCCAGGACCACAGTGGCTCCTTGACCACTGGACGAAGATCACCTTTTCCTCAAATATTACAGTAGTCTGTCTAATCTGGGTTATGAAATCTTTGGCATACATCCACACTTAAAGTTTTTGAAGATATGAAGGATTCTTAAAATATAAAGATGATTTCCATGTATAAAGTCTTATTTTACCACTTACAAATCAGGAAACCAAAGGCACATACAATCAAGAAGCCACATCAGACCAGCTAGTGAACTAAGAATAGCCTGTCAGTTGAACGGTTACCAAACCTATAGCATGTCCAATGCTAGAAACAGAGCAGGGAGCCAGATGAGTCAGTGCCTGCCTCTAGGGATTCGATTCCAATGAGGAGAAATGAGAATAAGCAAGAGATGTCAGCGTTGCAAGGTGTTTGAGCTGAGAGCTGAGTAAGGAAGGTGAGTTAGCCTTCGCAGGTCTGAAAGTTCAGGCACTCAAAGTGGGAAGGAAGTGGAAGAGATGACAGAGACAGTGGCTGGAGTCGCTTGAGATGTGCATGTGAGGCGCAAAGAAAAGAGTGGGAACACGGGAACTTCTGAGCTTGGGGACTGAGGTAGACAAGTGTTGGAGACGTTTATTGAAATGGAGTTGGTCAAGTAAGCCTTGACCTACTTCAGATCCATGTGCTTAGTTATTTCGGCCCTTAAAAAAGTGTAGCTCAGGAGGGCAACACAGGAGTGGTGGCAGAGATTTGGAAGTCACTGGCATACAGAGAGTATTTGAGGAGTGGAACTGGGTGAGGTGGATTATCTGTGAAGGAAGTGTCACTGGGGAAGAAAAACGGGCTAGGGATGGAGTTCTGTAGTAAGTATGGGTCTGCTCCAGAGTGTACAGTAAGAAGTTGTTGTCCCAGAAGGCTGGCAGGTGAAAGTGCCTGAAGAAGAAAGGCGACCCTGCCGAGGCTACAGTGATGCCGAGAGCTCTGCAGCCCGAGAGCCAAATGAAGGACATTGAAGAATGGGCAGAGTGGACGTCCGAGGCCAGAACTGGAGCCAGCTTCGCGAGCACAGCTCGGCAGATGGACTCTGCTGCACGGGAGGCGGTCCTTAGCAGATTCCGTCTGTTTTTCTCTAGAGTGTGCAGTGATTGCATTCTGGCCTGAGGTCGCGTGGGGGTTGGTAATTAGAGTTTTGAGAAGGTATAAAACTGTCTCCAGAGAGACAGTGTGTGCATAATGACTAGATTGAGGAAGAGGGAAGTACGACTGATAGGCATTTGAGATTTGTGATCATAATGTTATCTGTTGGTCTAACTGTGTGGTTTCTTCAGTAATACTCAGCTACTGTGGGATGTGGTGCCAGATAATCAGATGATTAGATCTGGGTTTTATCGGGAGAGGGCAGTTGAATTAAAGTATCTGGAAGGGAAAGGATACAATGTTAGATCATGAGATATAGGCTAGATATGAAGAAAAAGAAGGGAAGAGTGGTTTTGGGAGGGAGGGGGTAGTGGAAATGCTAGAGAATATTAAAAAGCAGTAGGGGCCGGCGCCGTGACTCACTAGGCTAATCCTCCACCTACGGTGCCGGCACCCCGGGTTCTGGTCCCGATCGGGGCGTCAGATTCTGTCCCGGTTTGCTCCTCTTCCAGTGGCCCAGGAGTGCAGTGGGGGATGGCCCAAGTCCTGAGCCCCGCACCTGCATGGAAGACCCAGAGAAGCACCTGGCTCCTGGCTTCAGATCAGCGCGGTGCGCCAGCCACAGCGGCCACTGGGGGCTGGCCCAATGGCAAAGGAAGACCTTTCTCTCTCTGTCTCTCTCACTGTCCACTCTGCCTGTCCAAAAAAAAAAAAAAAAAAAGGCAACAGGAATCTTAATGAGAGCAAGAATTACTTTGATGAGGATGCTACAGTCTGTTAGCTGGAATCATGGGGATATTTGAGGTGAAGATTGCAGAAGTGAGAGAATTCAAGGCTGTTAGGCCTTTGATGACAGAGAGTACAGTATATCTTTGGCACAAAGAAGGGTAAAGAGACTGAAAAGCCCATAGCGTTTTTAATAGTATATTCATGTGCTTACCCTCCCCAGGTAGCAGCTTGGACAAAATACTGGGCAGCTTTGTGTGGGACACAACTTTTTTACTATGCTGCCAAATCTCTAAAGGCTACAGAAAGAAAACATGTAAGTATTTTTCTTCTAAAATTTTGACCTTGTTTCACAGCTGTTTCTTTGTGGTTGTTAAGAAAACAGTCCTAATGGGACACAAGGATGTTGACGAGGTGGAAGGGATGTTGTTTGTTTTTCATTTTTCCCCATTTTATACTCCTTGTATGAATGCTGTAATGGAATTTTGATTCTGGTGGACCATTCCAAGGAAGCTCTTGGAATAAATTCCGTATTTTGAGGTTTGTTTTTTGAATGATGTTCTTCCATTGCAGATGTCACAATTGCACATTACAGATTTCTATCTTGGTAGCACGGCTTTCTCAGACTTGGGTTTCTGGTTTAGAACGCGATTCAAAAAGCTTGCCTTGGAGTCTCAGTTCCTGATGTACAAAATGTGATGATTTGGAACCAGTGTCGAAAGTTCTTTCCCCATCAGTCAGTGATTTTCCCGGGAGTAAAGAGGAATGAGTGATCACAATAGTTAGCTGCAGTCCACTGTCTTGCGTTTCGTATTACTTAGAATATTTAGAAGTGTCCTGTGGCTGTATTTTGCATGCCGTTTTAAAATTTTGTTTTGTTTTGTTTTATTGATTTGAAAGCCAGGGTGACAGAGAGGGAAGAGAGAGAGAGAAATCGATCTTCCATCGACTTCACTCCACAAATAGCTGCAACAGCTGGAGCTGGGCCAGGCCAGAGCCAGGAGCCAGCAACTCTTTCCGGGTCTCCATGTGGGTGGCAGAGACCCAAGAACTTGGGCTTGCCTGCTGTGTTTTATATGGCTGTAAAACAGTCTTTAAAAGGAATAATAATTTTCCATGTTGCATTAATAAAATCTCTTTGAGACAAATTTAATTCTAAATCATGTATTTTGGGGGGATGGAGAACATTTAAGTGGTTTACACTACTGAGGAAAGGTGAATCACTAAAGAAAAATTTTAAGTACTTTTTCTACTTATAAGTCACCCACATGACACAACATAATTCAGAGAAATTCTTTTCTGTCCCAGTTTTAGCCCTTTAATAAGGCTGAAGGTATAAAAGTGGACATTTTTGGTTTAAGTGAATGTGGGAAGTCCTGTAAGTGCAGAAAGGGAAATCTGCAAGCCTGCATTCCTAGATTGTAGTATTACCTAATGTATTCATTTTTTTCTGCATCGAAGGACCTCATAAGGATAGAATGGCTGGAAAGAAAGGAGGGAGAATGTTATTTTGTTATTTCTCTATTTTTGAATTATTAAAAAGGAAAGCATATTCATAGTAAAAACAAGTATTTAGCAGAAGTATATTCACTGTAAGAAATAATTTTACATATTTGAACCTACTCTCTACAAGGTAATGACTGAGTAAATGTTGTTTGAGCAGTTAAATTTTAGAAACAAATCTACACCTAAAAATGCATCAAATATGTTAAGACTTTTCATGAATAAATAAAATAGAAAAATGGGAAAAAGAAATAAATTGAAAACAAAATGCAAATGTCTGATAAACATGAAAAGATGATTAGCCTCACTACTTATCCAGAAGTACAGATTAAATGACGCTTTTTCTTGCCATTAGGCTAACGCTTTAAAGTTTGACAGTGTTGTACTGGCCATGAGGTAGGGAGACGTGGACTTAGCATCCACAGGGCTCAGAAGTTTAAAGTGGTGGTGGTTCTGTGATGGGCAGTCCGCGTCAGTGGGAGGCAGTGTGTGGCTTAGGAGCAGCCAACCATTCCTTACCTGAGAGTCTGCTACAGAATTCCTGAAGCAAGTACACCAAGATATCTGTAGTGATGTTTATGACAGCAGAACTATGGGAACAGCCAAAATGCTTACCAGGAAAGAGTTACTGACAGCTGAAAACCTCAGAAAACCCCCGTCAGTATACAAGACACCACGAGCAGCAACCGCACAAAGAAGCCTCTGGTGTTGCCGCCATCTGGGGAGTGAACCAGCAGGTGGAAGACTCCCCTCCTCCCCCCACCCCGCCTCTGCCTCTCTGTAACTCTGCCTTTCAACTAAATAAATAGATCTTTTAAAAGCCTCTGTTGTAAATGCACAGAGAAAGTTCTGAAGGGCATCACCCTGAGAAGGAGTCAGCTGATGGCCGGGGGCCGTTTTCCCCGTCTCACCTTCATCCCTCTGCATGAAGGGCTTATGTTGCTTGAGTTACTTTGTTGTTGTTCAGAGAAGCAGATGAGGCAGAGATTGTGAGAGTCAGGACAAGTATATCAGAAGATCATGCTATCCACTTTTTTTGACAGTACATTGGGAACTGTCAAATCATCAGTTCTGTGATATTGCCAGTTTCATTCTCCATGTATTAAAACCTCCTGACCTTAGTGTTCTATTTTGTTAAAATATTCTGTGTTCGTTCTTCTCCTTTTCACTGTGAAACATGTTAACACATACAAAAGAAGATAGTATTGTACTCAACGCGTTTCACAGCGTGATAAAATGACCTCATAGGCTATAGCAGGGCATTGTCAGAAAGGCCAAAGCCTGCCCACGGAGCATCTCCTGCCTTTCTCATGAATTGGCCTCACAGCTGGCACTGTCCTGAATTCCTTATTAGTCATTGCTGTGATTTTCTTGTAAGTTTTGTATGATTCCTTTAATGCATTGTTCCATTTTTGAAATGTACTTGAATAGATTCACATGTATATTCCTAGGGACTAAGAATTTTTTTGCTTGGTATTACATTGTGATCCATTGTTGTAGGTGTGCATAAGCCGACACATACTCTTTTTCACAACTGGATATTTGGATGATTTCCAGATTAGGGTTTTAGTTTTGCATTTGTTTCTTTGGTTTTGTTTTGTTTAGATTTGGTTATTTGAGAGAGGCAGAGTCACACAGAGAGAGAGAGGTCTCAGAGACCTCAGAGAGAGTGCTGATTCACTCCCCAAATGGCCACAGCAGACAGAGCTCAGCAGATCCAGAGCCAAGAGTTTGTTCTGGGTCTCCCTTATGGGTGCAGGGCCCCAAGCACTTGGGCCATCTTCCACTGCTTTCCCAGGCCATTAGCAAGGAGCTAGACCAGAAGTAGAGCAGCTGAGACTCAAACAAGCACCCATGTGGGATGCTTCTGCTGCAAGTGGACGCTTAACCTACTGTGCCACAGTGCTGGCCCCAGTTTCTTTGGTTTTTTGTTTTGTTATTTTTAAATACAAGCTCTGGGAAGTTATATTTTAAAAAAATTGTGTGGTTTACTTTTCACCAGTCTGTTCCAGCATGCTTCTTATAATATCAGAATCACTTGGATCAGTAATAGAAAGAGTGCATACTCTGTAGTATTTTCCGTGTGCTGTTCCCAATTCAGTATTCTCACCACTGTGGATGGACACCAGTTTGGACCAACATGACATAATACTCTTTCAGATTCCCGCGAAGCTGGGCAGTTGCTGGCAAGGATGACCAGTTTCTCTTTGCTTTGTCTGGTCCTCTTCGGAGACTGCGTGTACCCCAGTGGGTGTCTTCCACTCTCCAGCACTAGCGGAGTCTAGAGTTGATCGACTCCACTGACTCTCATCTGCTTTGCAGCCGGCTTCTCCCTGCCTTAGGTGCAAGATGATCTCCAGCCACGTACAGCTGCAGAGACTCGTGGGGAGCAAGGAGGAACCAAAAAAAGCTTGTTTTGCTATTTCTAACAGTGCTGCTATAAATATTTTTTAAATATTTATTTATTTGAGTTACAGAGAAAGAGAGGTCTTCCATCCACTGATTGACTCACCAGATGGCCACAGTGGCTGGTGCTGGGCCAGGCTACATTAACAGCCAGGAACTCCATCCAGGTCCCCACGTGGGTGCAGGGGCCCAAGCACTTAGGCCATTAGCAGGGAGCTGGATCGGAAGTAGAGCAGCCAAGACTCAAACCAGTGCCCATATGGGATGCCAACACTGCAGACAGCGGCTCAACCTGCTGCACCACAAAGCTGACCCCTGCTATAAATACTTTTGTGCACAGATTCTCTAGATTATATATCTAGAGTGCAAATTTTGAACTTTGTTAGAAAATGGCAAATTAATTTACACACTCACGAATGGCACAATCAGACTTTATATTCTCACTGTATTGTCAGGCTTTTAGATTTTGGTGAATCTAGTATATATGAAATAGCACCTCATAATTTAATTTGTATTCCCCTGATTGCTTACTGAGTTGGAAATTTTTTCATGTGTTTTGGTCATTCATGTTTCTTCTGTGAATACCTGGGTAAATATGTTGCTTAATCTTATTCTAAATAATCAAATGTCTTAAATATATATTACATATATGTTCTTCTTAACTACACACACACACACTCATTCTGGAGGGTATGTTGCAAGTGTATTTGACTTATCATTTCACTCTCTTCAGGGTGTCTTTTGGTGAAGAGTTCTTAATTTTATAGTAATAAAGTCTGTCTCTCTCCCTTTATGGTCAGTACTTTCTGAATGTATTCTAAAATCCAGCTCCAGCCTGAGATCATTAACAAGCTCCACTGTTATCCACTAGTAGTTTTTTCAGTAACGGATTTGTCTGGAGTGTAGGAGTGTGATGTGGGTGACGTAGCCGCTGGTTTTCATGACTTTGTATGCACGGCTGACTTTCCTGGCTCTGTTGGCAGAGTGGTTCATTCTGCCATGGCTGACCTGCAGAACCTGCTCGTGCCATATGAGTTTATGTTACTCATAGATTCCTTTCTAGATTTCATTGCCCTGTTGGTCTGTCCCTGCCCCAGTAGCCCGTGACTTCAGTTACCTTAGCTTTGTCGCGTGTGTGTGTGTGTGTGTGTGTGTGTTTTCAGCTTTCTAAGGTACAGTTGGCAGAATTACTTGCATTCAGGGTGCGAAGCCTTGTTTTGATATAAGCGTGAAGTGACCACCTCCGTCAGGCTGAGGCCTTACTCCCAGGGCTGTTTGCCTTTTGGTGGCTTTGTAAGTCTTGATGTGTAGCAGAGCAAGTGCTGCCGAATTTCGTTATCATGGATCTTTCGCTATTCCATGTAAATTTTAGAATTAGCTTGTCAGGTTAAACATTAAAACTTTTTTAGAATTTTCATTGAAATGACACTGAACTTACAGATCAGTTTAGGGAGAACTGCTCTCTCTACAACATTGAACTTTTTAAAATTTGACGGTATTTCTCCATTGATTTAGGTCTTCTCTAATATCTTTTAACTATTAAACTTTCTATGTCTTTGTTGTTTGTGTTCCTAGATTCCTCTTGCGTGATAGATTTTTTTAGTTCTAGGTTCCCAGCAACCTTGGTGACCTTTCTCATTAATTTGGTGGATGTGGATTAATTTTCTGTAAATAATGTCATCCTTTTAAAGATAACTTCCTCCTCACCCTTACGTCTTTTCTTTCCTTTTTGTTGTTCTTATTGACCTACGAATTCTGATTTAACGATGGTAGAGCTAGCAGTGGTGATACTAGATACCAGAGCTAATATCATTGTCATGATACTTGATTTTCAAGTGTTTTTAGCATTTTACCCTTACAAGTGGGCTGCAGTGTTTGTTTTGTCTGTCTACCTGATTTGGTTTTTGTGTGTGTGTGTGTGTGTGTTTTCCTTTTGAAATGCACTGTTGGATTAGGAAATTCCCTTGTATTCTGAGTTGCCCGTGTCTTTAACACAGTATGCAGTACATTTGCCCAAAAATTGTATTGGTGTTGAGTTGATCGTGTCTTCTCCTTTAATATGTTAATGTGGTAATTTAATAATTGTTCTAAAGAAGTGTAACTGAAGTTAATAATAAATAAAAGAATAGTTAACTACAAAATAAATGAATAGTTAACTACGAAAGTAAAAAAAAAAGGGGCCGGCGCTGTGGCGTGGGAGGTTAAAGCCCTGGCCTGAAGCGCAGGCATCCCATATGGAAGCCAGTTCTAGTCTCGGCTGCTCCTCTTCGATCCAGCTCTCTGCTATGGCCTGGGATAGCAGTAGAAGTGGCCCAGGCTTGGGCCCATGCACCCATGCCTGGGAGCCAGAGGAAGCTCCTGGCTTCAGATCTGCGCAGCTCCAGCTGTTGTGGCCATCTGGGGAGTGGACCAGCAGATGGAAGACCTCTCTCTCTGTCTCTACCTCTCTTTGTAACTCTGTCTTTCAAATAAATAAAATCTTAAAAAAAAAAAAGTAAAAAGCACGCTAAGATTACCCTTTTTGTGAGAAACACAGTAAGCATGTGTTTTAATGACCATTAATTCTCTGGTAGCACTTCTGGTTCATTTAATCACAAGATTTAGGATAAGATAGCCATTAAAATGCAAATGTGTTTACTACCAGGAGCAGAACAGCAGCTTAGGAGAAACAAAATAGGTGAATTCATCAGGCTGCCTGCAGAGCTGCTCCCTGGGCATGGAGATGGAACATTTGGTCTTGATGAAGAGTTGAAGCTGGGAAAGGCCTGGAAAGAAGGAGACCAGGTGAAGAGAGCATGGCTAGATGGAATTTAGTAGTAAAAGGTCCCAAGCTGACCGTGGCCAGAGTGAAGTCACAGATCTTGTCTCGTTATAAGAAACTGAAAGTATGCTCTCGGAAACACTTAATTTCTGTTTAAATTATCCAAAGATTTTGTTTTCACTCACCGTCTTTTGATCTTTCAGTTCAAGTCAACGTCAAATAAGAATGTGTCTGTGGTCGGCTGGATGGTGATGATGGCTGACGACCCGGAGCACCCGGACCTCTTCTTGCTCACGGACTCTGAGAAAGGTGATTGTGAGGACGAGGCACTAGTGTGCGTAACTGGAATACCCAGCAGGGAAAGTGTGTGTGTAGCTTTATTTACTGGAGCAGTTTTTTGTCACATAATATGATTGATAGCATTTTTAGAGCCTGCATTTGCTTTATGGGCATAAGCTTGAAAATTAAAAGCCCAGTTAATCCCTAGAAAGATAACCAGGGAGGGAAGGAGGAAGGGCTGGAAGAAGGGAATCTGAGAATATGTAGCCCATTGTCATTCTAAGATCTCAGAGATTTGCCATATGGGCAATACCCTTTCATCTGCACCCTGAAGTAGATTGTCATTTGAAAGGCAGAGTTAGAGAAAGAGAGACCCAGAGAGAGAGAGAAATCTTCCATCCACTGTTTCAGTCCTCAAGTGGCTGCATGGCCAGGGCCTGTTCATGCTGAAACCAGAAACCCAGAACTCCATCCAGGTTTCCCATGTGGATGGCAGGGGCCAAGCAGTGGGGTCTTCTGCTGCTGCTTTCCCAGACGCATTAGCAAGGAGCTGGATCGGAAGATGAGCCACCGGGACTCAAGCTGGCACTGTAATATCGGAATGCCAGTGTAGCAGGTGGGGTCTGGCATTGCTGTGGGCTAGGTTGGGCCTAAGTGTCTTTTAAAGAAGCATTGTAAGTACAGGCAGAGACACGCCCTGTACCATGGTAAAGTCTGTTTACAAAGTGAGGAAAACCTGCATGTACGTGGGGTCATGCTAGGGAGAGTGGGCCAGGAAAGGAAAAGAGATTGCCATGCCGTGTTCGTTCTGGGTCCATGTGGAGGGAGAGAGAGGGTTAAGGACCCCCTCCTCCCCTCTACTAGGCTGCTTATGAGTTTAGAAAAGGGGGGTCCAGGTAGGGGGAGGTACAGCCTGGGGAAGGGGTCATCTGATTGACAGGTGGGTGCATAAGATTACACAGAGCCAGGCAGCTGGGCTTCTACCCTAAGCTTGCTACCTGACTTACCCCATATCAGCATCCTAACCTGTTGCACCACAAAGGCAACCCTGGAAAATGATTTTTTTTTGTTTGTTTGTTTATTTTCATTTTATTTGAAAGAGAGATCATCCATCTGATGTTTTACCCCCCAAATGACCACACGACCAGGGCTGGGCCAGGCCAAAGCCAGAAGCATAGAACTCCATCCAGTTCTTCCATGTGGGAGGCCGGTGCCCAAGTACCTGGGTCATCTTCTGCTGTCTTCCAAGGGACATGAGCAGGGAGCTGGATCAGGAGTAGAGCAGCTGGGACTCATGCTGCCGCTCGGGGATGCTGGGTCACGGGCTGTTCTACCTGCCCACCCAAGATCATCATTCTTAAGTTCTAAATTTGTCCAGGTTTTCCTCTGAGTGATTTTTATTGTGTTACTTTGAATTAATCAGTTATTTGGCTTAAAACATTTTTCAAGTGAATTAAAATATCATATATACAATATAAGGAGACATGAATGAATGAATAAAATAATTGACTGTTGACCCCTGGAATTTGTAAAGGGGATGAGAGAAATTGGAAGGTGGGCTGTGTTGAATCACATACAACCACATGGTTGTTTTATTTAGTTGTACTTTATCCTAAAGAACATTTAAGAAAACAAAGTTATTTCTTAGGAGAAATTCATAAGCAACAAAACAGTGACTTTTTGAATATGTGGTAGTGGGGAAATGTTTCACATAGAGAGCTCCTGTTTTATTTGTGGTGGAAACCATCTGCTAAATGAATACATTTCTGAAACTGAGCACTCTGGTCACATTTAGTGCATTCTTTAACATGGGGCAGAATTACCATGTGTCATAGTCCTAATGTTTTTATTTTCCCCTTATTTTGGTAATTTCAGGAAATTCATACAAGTTTCAAGCTGGCAATAGGATGAATGCGATGCTGTGGTTTAAGCATCTGAGTGCAGCCTGCCAAAGTAACAAACAACAGGTGAGCATTTCTCTGTTGACAGCCGTCAGCGAGACAGCAAGTCCTGATTTCAGGGAGGGGACTATGGGCAAGGAAGCAGCATTTCAGGGAGTAAGAACTATTCAAGGTGAAACAGTAGAATCGAGTGCTGCAGAGTACAGGAGCAGGGGCAGCTTCCGAGAAGCTGGGTACGCAGCAGGGCTCTCGTGAACTCCGGAGGAGCAGCCTGTGCAGAGAGGGAGGATGGACACTGGGACAGGGTGCAGCAGATGCAGGCCTGCAGAGGAGCCAGCTCGCAGTGCGCAGGGGAGGGAAAGACGTCGGCATCGGTACAGCGAGCGTGCAGCTGCGGAAGGGGCAAAGTCGTGTGGCACTTTAAATAAAGAAAAATTACTCTGGTTCTTAATTTGATCAGTTGACACTTGATGTGGGTTCCTGTGATGGCAGTGAAACCAAAACCCATTTACATTTTATTGTTGTTTTTATTGTACTGAAACAAAGATGGGCTGCATGAAATAGGCTCTCAGCTGCAAAGGAGAAGAATCCATTATGTTGTCTTCCCCACACCCTGTTGCAGGGTTAGAGTCGGACCACAAACTGATAGAGCAGACGTAACGTAAACGTTAAAACTGCCATCATGGAAGTTTCTCCTAGACTCGATTAGACCTGGATTCCGAAAGTAATTCATCAGTGACATAGGGCAGTGGTGATACCAAGGTATACAGGTGTTGTCGGTAGCTAATTTTAATGTGTTGTTAGCACTCTGTACTTTACAAAACTAAATAGAGTCATTTTTTACCCTCTGATATCAAGATTTAAGTTATTATCTTTGTTTTTGTAAATGAAGAAACCAAGATTCACAGATATTAAATAGGCTTATATAGTAAAAAATGGTTGACCTGAGACCCACTAGGTTCATATTGTTAAGTCCATTCTTTTAAAATATTGTTCAGGTGAGCTTTGTTCTCTCCTGATTGTTATTACACATGTATGTGATTGCAGATTTGGTACCACTTTTAGTCATCTCTGTAAAGGACATGAATACCCAGGAGAAGAATTACCTCTTGCCATGTCAAGGTAGTGTCTAGAGCAGAATGAAAGGAACAGACCTTCTTTTTTCTTTAAAGATTTATTTATTTATTTATTTGAAAGGCAGACTTGGAGGCAGAGACACAGGCAGGGGGAAAAGAGAAAGGCCTTCCATCCGCTGGTTCACTCCCCAGATGTCTACAATGGCCGGAGCTGCAGCAATCCGAAGCCAGGAGCCAGGAGCCAGGAGATTCTTTCGGGTCTCCCACATGGGCACAGGGGCCCAAAGACCTAGGCCATCTTCTGCTTTCCCAGGCCACAGCAGAGAGCTGGATCTGAAGGGAAGCAGCTGGGACTCAAACTGGGCTGGCGCTGACAGCGGCAGCTTTTCCCGCTACGCCACAGCACTGGCCCTAGGAACAGACCTTCTTTTGCCTAAGTCTGAGACTTTTTTTTTTTTTTTGACAGGCAGAGTGGACAGTGAGAGAAAAAGAGAGACAGAGAGAAAGGTCTTCCTTTGCCGTTGGTTCACCCTCCAATGGCTGCCGCGGCCGGCACACTGCGCTGATCCAAAGGCAGGAGCCAGGTGCTTCTCCTAGTCTCCCATGGCGTGCAGGGCCCAAGCACCTGGGCCATCCTCCACTGCCTTCCTGGGCCACAGCAGAGAGCTGGCCTGGAAGAGGGGCAACCGGGACAGAATCCGGCGCCCTGACCAGGGCTAGAACCCGGTGTGCCGGCGCCACTAGGCAGAGGATTAGCCTGTTGAGCCACGGTGCCGGCCTAAGTCTGAGACTTTCAAGATTTGCTTCCCATGCTTTTTTTAAAATGCAACTTAAGGTATTAAGTTTTATTTATTTAAAAAAAAAAATAAGGTTCAGGCCGGCACCGTGGCTCACTTGGTTAATCCTCCGCCTGTGGCGCCAATATCCCATAAGGGTGCCGGTTCTGGTCCCAGTTGCTCCTCTTCCAGTCCAGCTCTCTGCTGTGGCCCGGGAGGGTGGTGGAGGATGGCCCAGGTGCTTGGGCCCCTGCACCCAGGTGGGAGACCAGGAGGAGGCACCCGGCTCCTGGCTTCAGATCGGCACAGCGCTGGCCATGGCAACCATTTGGGAGGTGAACCAATGGAAGGAAGACCTTTCTCTCGGTCTCTCTCTCTCTCACTGTCTATAACTCTACCTGTCAAATAAATAAATAAAATAAGTTCATATTCCCCAGTTAGAGCAGACAGTGTAAGCACAACAGCAGAGGCTCATTTTTTCTTTTTTTACTGTGTCGGGGGACCTCCCTGCAGTATCAGTTTAACCATGTGTGTAATCCTGTTTTTTCTTTGTTTCTGTACTTGAAATAATCAGAGTCATAGCAGATTTATAAGTAGAACCTGTGAAATTGGAAATTTTTAATAGAAGAATCTGACTCAAATGCAAACTAGCTTAATCCACATTCAGGCAACTTAAATGTTTACTGTATTTAAATATGGGGGTTTTTTTTATAACCAGACCAGAGGATTTGTACTTTAAGCACACGAGCATTTGTATTGTATTTGGTTTATAATTCACTTAGGATTATATTGTCCAACAGAAATTTTTCATTCAGAAGTTGACAGATAGAAGATATTCATGTTTTTTGGGGCCCATGCCGTGGTGTAATGGGCTAAGCATCTCCTTGTAGCGCCCGCATCCCATGTGGGCACTGGTTGGAGTCCCAGCTGCTTCTCTTCCCACCCAGCTCTCTGCTACGGCATGGGAAAAGAGTGGAAGATGGCCCAAATCCTTGGGCCCCTGCACCTGCATGGGGGACTGGAAGACGCTCCTGGCTCCTGACTTTGGATCATCCCAGCTCTGGCCGTTTGGCCTCCTGGGAAGTGAACCAGCAGATAGAGGCCCTTTTCTCTCTGTCTCTCCCTCTCTCTGTGACTAATTCTTGAATAAATTAAATATTTTAAAAAATATATTCATGTTTTTAGTATGTTTCAGAGAGAAATCAATATGATCCAACCTGTAAGTGCTAAACAATTATAGAACATTGATTTTTCAGAGGTATGTCAGATCATAATTCATCTGTTAATGAATCTTACGCTTTTGTGCAAATATTAATAACACTTATAAAATTATCTGAGCTGGTTTTTATGTGCATGTAGGAATTCCTTGTAATAAATAAAATGAGAAAATAAATAGCAAGTTTGTCTGGAATCTACCCTAGTACAGTCATACTCATTCGTCTTTCATTTATTTAGGAAACATCTACCGAGCCCCCTCTGTTAAACCAGAGATGGTATTCTACCTTCCTTTCATCAGAAATCAGCTTACTAGAGAGTGTTAACTCATCCCAATGACTTTTCCTTCTTATAATGAATATAATATGCCTAACATATTCATTATTCATAAATTTATTGGAATGCCTGTCAAAAGTCCTTTTAAAAGATACTTGGGTCAGAAAGACTTGGGTTTGCCTAATAAGGAAAGATAAATAGTGTGAAAACTTTTACACATGGTTTGCATAATATAATGCTTCTCTTTTCTAGGTTCCTACAAACTTGATGACTTTTGAGTAGAAGCTGAGAAAGAAGAGAGGTGCCCTGTGCTCCTCCGTGAGAGCCGGGACCTGATGAGTGAGCGCCAGCTGTATACCATCCTGTGCCAGGGAGAGCTCGGGGGCTCAGCCCAGCCTGTGGAGTTCTGAACCAAAAAAGCACTAATTTCAGGGAATGAAGTGAGATATTCCCAGAAAACAAACTGGAGTCACAGAACAAACTGCCATGAACCATGCTTCTTATCTGAACTGACCTGTGGAAACCACTGCCTTAAAGAATGAAAGGAAAACCAACATGCAACACCAAATAGTGTGTGTGGATCTCTGGCGGTGCTGTGCTTGAGTAGATCGTAGCGAATTTGCATTTATTTTAACTTTGTACTAATTTTGGAGGGGGGGGATCACCTTTTTTTAGATACACTTAAAACGGAAACCTATTTCTTATGGATCACATCAGGAGCTGGTTTTGAACTGTGGTGAAGAGAGAATTCAGTAGGGGTGGTGACACCAGCAGCCCGCCTCTGGCGATTGGCAGCCTCACCTGTTCTCTCCCAAGAGAACATAGGAGTTAGACACGCTCATAATGTGAGTCGTTGGGGTTGGGGCGGGGGTGGGGAGGAGGGGAGTTTATTTTGTTGAACACTAAACTTCCAGAATTCAGTACTGTATAGGGAACATTGCTTCTTGCCGAAGTGCAAAGGCTGAGCTGTTCACATGCCAGGGGGTTTAAAAGTAGGCCGTTCCTAACTGGGGCTAAAGTGAGCCAGCCCATCGCTGGAGCGCAGAACATGGGGAAGGACTGTAACCCCAACCTCAGACTCTTTATTTCAAGTTAACTGTGTTAGCCCTTCTCCCTTTCACAAGTTGCTTTTGGTGTTAAGGCTACATATTGACATTTTGTCAGGGTATTTTCTTTTACAGTGTTTCATGTGCATAATGCCAGAGTTATTTTTTTATTACTCATCTGTGTTTTGGTTCAGTATGAGATTCAAGATCATATTTGTTTAAAAGATTCCACATACATACGTAATGTGTGTATTTTATCATAAGACATAGAAATAATTTTAAGAGGAATAAAAGTTGAGATCCTGGGAATTTTAAGTATTAGAATTTTCCTCTTTATATGGCTTACCATAAACACACCAAATTTTTAGGAAACCCTACCATAATAGGTCCCTGGCGTGAAACCACATTTTGTCAGTCATTTGCCTAGTTGTTTTGTGAGGGCTCTTCATGCGGAAATGTATTTCTAAGTTAAATGTTGGGTTACCAAATCAAAAGGCGTGAAGGTGAGATACCTTCGAATTTTGACAAAAGATGGCGCTTGAACCAAGACAATGTGTTGAACGTTATAAACTCTGGGCACATTATAAATTTTAGCTGTGACCAGAGTCAGAAATACTTTTTGACTGGTAACTGCTAATAGACTTCTTTTACTTTGGACCTCACATAAAATTTCCCATATTTGTATTCTTAGAGAATTTCATGCTGTTTTTGATCATAAGTATTTTGCCCTTGAGTCCATGAAACTCAAATAGAAAATATTGTCTATACAATACTTAGCTGAAAAAAATTCAAAGGAAAGTAGAAGAGCTTTTTCTTAGTATTAAGTTTTTAAATTTAGTTTTCTACTTGGAAAAGAGAGGTTAAGAATTCAAATTTGTTTCTCATACAATAGTTAGAAATACCATTACTTCTGGGTTTTGGTGATATAGGCTGGAAAGGGCAAAATGTTCCTTGTGCAGAATGGTTTTTCAGTTAATGTTCTGAGCTTAACCCATGTTGGGTCCATAGAAAGGTACCATCTGCATAGCCAGCAGTATTACTCTGTGTAGACTTGCACATTTTTACTTTTGTTTTGCATTTTAAAAAAAATTCTTTGATTTGTTTATTTCTGTTTGGAAATAGCATTTTAACAGTATATGTACTTTTTAAAAAAAAAAAAAAAAACATTGTGAATGAGACCCTGTGGATTTTTTTGTTTGTCGTAAATAAGCTAAAGTAGGTATGTTTTAGGTGTAGTGTATCTGCAGAGGTATGCCACTGGAAGTAGAGCGTGACATCTCACAGTTTTGCCAAAGAGAGAAAGCTCAGATGGAAGATGTGTTTGATGTTTTCAGCTCTAACCATTCATGGCTACTTGACTAGAGTAACAGTAGTGTTCACGTGTGGTGAGCAGTCTCCAGGCAGAGCTGTGGCCTGTGACTCACTGAAGCTCTTAGCAGTGCCGTAGAAGTCATCATTGCTTTTTCTCCATTCAAAAGATTGGTTAGTGCTTTTTAAGATTGTTTTATCCTTTAGGCAAATAGAAACCACTAAGAGAAATGACCTAAAATAGTATGGGTGAGTTTTTGATCTGTAATTCAGTAAATTATATCTGACAATAATTCAAGCAAAAAAGAATATTTAGTTTACTCATCAGAAGATGAATCTTCTTATTAAACCTACTACCCTTAATTGTAAATTCATGACTCAAAAGCTCAAAATTACTGTCAACATCAAACTCGTGTTTCTTCCCAAACCAAGAAATTTAATTGTAGATTAAACTTAAGCTGATTTGTGATAAGCATATAACAGTTGGCATGCTATATGGCCTGTGTAGTAATATATAAAATTAGCCAACAAACAATTTGAGGCGAATCTCCTTTAACAGTGTTTTTGAACGTGGAGGCTTGGTTTTCATGTGGAAGTAACATATCGGTTCCTTAAACCTAGCTCCACCACCACCCGTAGAATGCCCTTCAGAGCACCGTGTTTGGTTTCATGCCTTCTTTGTGTTCAGGCCCTGCTTAGCTCTCAAAGAATTATTTTCAGCGTAACTTCTGAACTGTATGAATTTAAGAACTGATCACACCTTCCTATTCATTTTCTTCCCTATGTAAATACTACTTTTTTAAACATTGCAAAAAGGGATCCAAAATTTTGAGGTTTTGGTATTTTTTTTTTCTTCCGTAGGCATGTGCTTCGATGGCAATTTGTTTTTCTGTGTGGAAAATACCATTTATTTATTGTACCACCTGTATGGACTGACTGTGTTGGTAGTGGGTCTTTCTGTTGTATCAAGAATCAAGAATCAGGGTGTTTATAGCTTCAAAGTTTTATAAGTGGCATTTTTTTTTCTCCTGTAAGATTTATAAAGGAGCCCAAGAAGCACTAATGTGAGAGCAGGCAAAGAAGAATGGAAAAGATGTTGACACTGTGAGAGTGTCAGTGCCGGTTGAAACGGGCCCTGTAAAAGCAGCCTGTTGATCTCTTAGGATGATTAATTAGAATTTCACTGGCCAAAGGATTTGAGTATGGCCTTTTTTTTTTCCTTTCTAAGGTTAAATATGTAAAGTATATACATTTACTACTGGAAAAAAAACTGTTAAGGCATTATATTAGTTGGAAATAAATAATATTAGCAGATTTAACCCATTGCTTTTTAATGGATATAACCACTGTTGCTCTGCTTCTGGGTTCGGATTTTTTTTGGTTGTTTTGTTTTTTGTTTTTTTGTTTTTGTTTTTGTTTTGTTTTGTTTTGTTTTGTTTTGTTTGAGGCACATTCCTTTATACCCAGCTTTTAAATTATCTTCTGCAAACAAGGGGATAACAGTGTTGCTTAACGGAAGATAATATTTCGTGATAGAAACCCTCAGCCTCAGAGGTTACCAAAATAATTGGATCCCTTTTTGGAAACGGAGGTGACTCAGCTGTGAGCCAGTAGCAGTGGTACTGCTGTTGTGTGAGATGGAGAACAAGCGAGGAGGCCATCTGACTTCTCTAGGGACTTCAGGCTCTGCTTCTATTTTCCATCTCTTTTGCATTCTCTCTTTCAAACATAGTAAATTTATGATTTTACAGCCAGAGTGGTATTCTTTTTTGTTTAAGATGCAAAAAAAAAAAAAAAAAGTTTGAGCGCACTGATGACGAATTGCTTTCCACATGAACCTTTTCAAAATAAGTACCTTTTGGTTTTGCCCCCTTAAAAATGGCTTGTGGCTTTGGAGAGTTACAGTGAATAAGGAAGCTGTGGAAGCAAACTCATGAAGCTTATTTGAGAGCAATTTCATTATGTTTGTGTCCCAAGTTGTCAGGTGGGGAAGATTTGGTCAGTGCCTTATCAATTTGAAGACCAAGTATAGGGCATCGAGTATTACAAGAATCACTTGCCCTCTTGCTCCTCTTATTTCGGGAGTGTGTGCTATCCGTCTCCCCCAGCTTCGTGTTTTCTCACAGCGTGTGTCAGAAAGTGTGCAAATGCCTGTAGGGGATTGGTGCAGGCCTTCTTGACTTTGGTCTTTTTAAACAAGCTCCCTCCCTGCGTCTCCCCTTTCTTGGTAGGAGATTCAAAATAAACCCACGCTCAACTCAGCCCCTAACAACTCTAAAGAGCGTTCGTGCAGCTGAGGCTGTTTTTTATTTTGTTGTGTGTGTTTTTGTTTGTTTTGAGCATCGACCTAATGATAAGGCCTTTTGGAAAATCCCTAAATGAGTAAGAAATGCATACAGCCAGAAAGATTTATTAGGATTTTATTAAAGCTACAGAAGTCTTGTACGGAAGAGCCCCTTTGACCACAGTGAGGTGTTTTGCAGTTCATTCTTCCGTTTAAGACAATGAACAAGCAATCAGTTATCCTGTTCATTGTTGTTTCTCTGAAAATGTTATGCTAATGAGTGAAAACAACTCCAGTGTATGAAGTAAAGGAAGGTAAGAGGCTAAGCTTGTGAAAGCAACATTTGGGAATACCTTGCTTCTCCGAGATTACTGTTGGAAGACCTAGGTTAAGATGCTGGTTTCACGTTTTTAAACAGGCTACTACTGTGCCTCACAGTGCTCAAGTGGACCCAGTCTGTAGAGCCAACTGAAAACGGTTAGCTGGTCCTTGAGGGCTGTTAGCAGGATTTAAATTTGATTCCAGCCATTTGGACTGCAAAGTGATGGCAGGAGTAAAACAATACATAGAATGCTTTGGGATTGAACTTTCTTTCCTTGATAGAAAAAGAGGACTATAAATAACTAGATGTTAGATACCAGGTAACAATAAATTTTCCCTGAGAATATCACCTCTAGGACTACTCACAAATACAGTCCAGTAACTCTTGACTTAGTAGATAAGATCAAATAGCTGACAATATGTCACCCACCCGTCAAGAGCGTCAATGCCTTGCTACGGACAAATTCATAGTTTTATGGCCTGATGAAGGGTATTTTTATGGGAAGGGGTGGGGAACTGGTTCGCAGCATGGTCTGAAGGAAATCCAACTCCTGTAGGGATAAGTACCCAATGAGAGTAATACACAGGGACACACAAGCCATTTTAATCTGTACCCAGCGAACTTGGGGCGCTCTGTGATTGCACTATGACCTCCTTGAGCGACGTGCAGCTTGGTTTCTCCCGCACTTTCTGTTTCTTTTTAATATGCAATTGTGAGTGTGCGATCTTCAGTGTGTTTGCATAAGCTAACTTAAAATGAACTTAAGTACAGTTTTCTGAAATATTTCTATTGAAATAAATGACTTAAAATTATAGATTGTGCAAGAATGTTTTGTTACCATATCCACATGTTTATCATTAACTTTTGAAGTGCGAGTAAACTTTAAATTTCTTCTTTCCTCTTTCAAAAGTCGTCACCCAGAACTGGCAGCACAGGGAAAGCTCCATCTGAGTAAACTGTGGTTGCTCTCCTGCAGCTCAGAACAAGGACGTGTCCTGCCCTGTGGACCAAGGGGCCAAGTCCGCTGGTGTGCAAGGCTGTGACGTTTCCAGCTGTTTCTCCCGACCTTGAATATGTGATATGATGTGAGCAGCCCCCAAAGAGGGTCCTCTTTGCTGAAAGTCTATTGCATAGGTTCTAAAAGGAGGACATTTTTTCATTTTACCACGTCTGAAAACAGAATCCGTCTTCAGTCTGTGGAGCTTCAACCTGGAAGAAGTCCACACCCACCTGTGTTGCGTCTCCCTGTAGGTGTAAAAATGCCACTGAGCTTCACCTCGTAGAATGGTTTGGGGGTCCTCCTGCCAGGACTGAACACACAGTTTAACCATCATAGTTTTCAAGCGTTCTCACCTCTGTAGTGGCCTTCGAAAATTCTCACTGTCCCTTTACAGGAATCAAACGAGAGACAGTTTTCCCATGGGGTCCGCCTGTCTTGACATAGCACAGTGCCCCTTTTGTCGTACATCCGTCTTCCATTTCTGTGTGGTCGGTTTCTGGGTCTCCTGTACTGTTTGCTTGGTTGCCTGTCACCCAGCCAACACCATAGTGTCTTCATTACCGTGTGAGGTAACTGCGTGTGCCTCAGAACTGCTCTGACTGGTCTTGACTCTCTCATCTTCCCTGAGAATCTAGGGTCAGCTTTTCGTGTCCAGTGAAAACACTGCTGTGGCTTTTATTGAAGGTCTTTGGGTTTCTAGGTTAAGATTTAACAGCTTTTGGAAAGCTGATTGATGGGCCAACATGAAATGTCTGTCCATCTGTTCCAGGATTTTGAGGTCCTTCAGTGACATCGTAGAGTTGTCTCTCGGTGATCCCACACATCTCTCTGCTAGCTTATACCTAGGTGAATGGATTTCTTTTACTGTGAATATGCTCCTTGTATGTGACTTTGCCTCATTGATTATTACCTGCGTGTAGGAATGCTGCTGATTTCTGTGTTGATCCGGACAGCCAGTAACCTTGTTGAACTTGCCCTTCAATTCTCCTGGAATCATTTGTTAGCTGTCTCTTCCTTTCCAGCTTCTGTAACTTATCTTTTTTTCTTGTCTTAACTGCATGTGTCTAGGTCTCCAGCACAATATTGGATTAGAAGCAGTGACAGTGTGCCAAAGAATCCAGCTGGCCTCATCAGAAAACCTCCGTAGATCATACAGCCCTGCTGTGAACCCTAAGCATAGTGTAACAGTATAGTTCCAGTGTCATTTTTTTTAGTCAGACTAATCTTCATCTTAAATTTCTGCTTTTTCTCCTAACATTTATGATCTTTCTCAAGTAGGAAATAAGGGCTCATTTACTCTGAGCGACCACTCATCAGTGTCAGAACTCAGTGAGATACTGGGTAATAGGGAAACAGCAAAACCAAGGCTGTCAGCCTGTGATTAAATTTCTTTCTCAAGAGGCAGGAGACAGTTGTCAGTGTGCGGAGACATTTTTGGTTGTCACAGCTGGGAGAGGGTTCTGCTAGTGTCCAGGCAAGGGGCACAGCTAGAGACCGCAGCGTACAGCACAGCCCTCCACAGCAGAGAAGGGACCTCGAGAAACGCTGCTCTCTGTGTGTGACTTGCTCTGTCTCGGGACTCGGCTTATGCTCGGCAGGGGACCTTAGCTCTTCCCTGGATGTTAACCTCTGTCAACAGAAGCTGAGGCTGCTGGACCTGGAAGAAGCCAACCTAAATTGATTCACATTGTTGAGCTAAAAACTAAATGTTGCATCCTGAAGCAGACCTGCAAGAGTGTGTGTGTCCCTCAGTGTGGTCCTTGCCTGCTGGCAGTAGAAATAGGCTCTCAGTATGTCAGATGGGGTGATGACTTAACTAACCTGAACTTTAATTGAAGGTCTGTCCTTGACTCAGTTCCTATAATCCTAGCCTGATTTCTTTCAGACTCAGGCTATGAAGACTTGACTTTCCACCTCCCTCAAACCTCTGCCCAACTTAAGACCATCACATACACTCTAGTACTGTCAGTGGAACACAGAAAAGCAATAGCCCTTCCTGTAAATACACTTTGGATACACTGGTCATGTTATTTTTAATTTGGTGGAGTTAGATGTAATGTCACCCTAAATATCTGTACCTTGGAAAGACACACTGGTATAAAAACAGGTTAGGTAAAGACTGAAAGAGCATCTGTGAGTGCTGAACAAATTAGCTGGCATTTCCTGTTTCCCCGTAACAGACAAGTAGCACCAGATGTCAGAGTTCTTTGGCCAGACCATTAGTGGAGCCATATGAAATTGTCAGTATTTAAGCAGTTTTGACATATAAAATGGCAGTTTCATACAGTGCATCCCAATAGTTTTCCTTAAAGAACCAAATAAGTCACAAATAGTTTATAACTTATTTCAGGTGTTAGAAAGTCAATTACTACTGGAAAAGTCCAAATACGAGAAATGCATGACATCCAAATTTGAGAGCAAAAGCCATTCTTTCCTGATGGTGATAGGAGGTTTTGTTTTACGTATGAGATTTATTTATTTGGAAGAGTTACACAGAGAGGGAAGGAGAGGCGGAGAGAGAGAGGTCTTCCATCTGCTGGTTCATTCGCCAGTTGGCCGCAACGGGCGGAGCTGCGCTGATCTGAAGCCAGGAGCCAGAAGTTTCTTCCAGGTCTCCAAGCACGTGGGCTATCTTCTACTTTCCCAGGCCATAGCAGAGCTGGATCGGAAGTGGAATAGCCAGAACTCAAACCTGTGCCCATATGTGATGCTGGCACTGCAGGCGGCGGCTTCCCCCGCTACGCCACAGTACCGGCCCCGGTGATAGAAGTTTTAATTCTCATTTGGTTTATTACTGGGAATTCAAGGTATGTCCATTTTAATGCTTTGATTTTCCTGTTAAGATGTATTTGATTTTTCTCACTTCTACTTTACTTTTCTCTATTGTTTCCATTCCATTGGCTCTGAACATACCCACCTACTTGACAAGTGTTCTGTGGTAATTGTGTTTCAATTCCACTTGTTAAAATACAACATCAAAATTAAAACAGCCATGGGAGGGGATTCTGGGAAGATGGCAGAGTAGGCAGCACCAGGAGTCTCCTAATCTACATAACCATTGCACTGGCAGAAGCTCTTTAATACAAATACATATTTATTATTTCAAGTATAGAATTAGCAGAGTGACGGGGAGATCTTCCATCTGTCAATTGGGTCCCCAAATGGTCACAGTAGCCAGGCCTGGGCCAGGCCAAAGAGCCGGAAATTGCATTCGGGTTTCCCGGGTGAGTGGCAGAGACCTGAGTATTTGAACCATTAGCAGGAATCTGGATTCTGAAGAGCCAGGACTTGACCCTAGGCACAGAACCACCACCACCCTGAAGCTGTCATATATGGTGTACCCTCTTACCTACAGTTGCATAATGAAAACATTAAAATGGAAAATTCCAGAAATTATTTGTCACGTTTCAGTCTCCTCTCTGAGTAGTGTGATGAAATGTGCAATCCTGCTCCATCTCACCCCAGATACACACCATCGCCTTACCCAGCATCCCCAGCTGTATATGCTGAGCACCTGTCAGGTCACGTGGTAGCCATCTTGGTTATCAGATCAACTGTCAGCGCATCGCTGTGCTGGTGTTCAGGTAACCATTCTTTTACTCAGTAGTAAATAGCCCCAAAACACAGGAGTAGATAGGGCAATTTACGTTTGCCATAGGAAACCATGAACGGCTTCCTTCAAGTGAAATGGTGAAAGTTGCCAACTGAATAAACTGATTGCTGAGGCTACTAAAATCTACAGTGGCATTGAAGCTTGTATTATAGTGAAATGTGGGAAAGGAGAAATGTGTGTTGTCCCATCTCAAACTGCAGAAGTTGTGATTAGGAGCTTAGACAAGCTAGACAAGGCGGTGCGTCTGCACGTTTGTATGTGCAGGAAGTTGAGTACCATCTGAGGTTTCGCATCTCTTGGGGGTCTTGGAAGTATCCCCTGTGGATAAGAGGGTGCTGTTGTAACTGCTTTGCGACTGGCCATTAGGCTTGCGATTTCCAGAGGAGGACTCAGGCAGGAGTGTGCAGATAATTGTGAATCCGTTTCAGCTGCTAAGACCGGAACATCTCCCTGGCCTGGGGGCAGGCAGCTGTGAGCGTGTCCTGGCCCAGCCTTGGCCATTGCAGCCATCTGGGGAGTGAACCAGCAGGTGGAAGATTCTTTCAATCTCCCCCCACACCCAAACTCTGACTTTAAAATAAATAAATAAATCTTTGAAAAGTAGAAATTATTAAATCTGGGAGAAAATCAGGGGAAAAGTTGAGTAACAGTGAACAGAGAAACCTAATCAAGGGGACCTGCATCCACACTTGGAGTTGCAGGAGAGGAGGAGTGGCACGGAGAGAACTGGAACAGTAACAGCTGAAACCTGCCCAACGTGACTAGACACGAATATAAACATCCAAGAAGTTCACAGCTCCAAGTAAAATGCACTCACACCCATGCTAAGACACACCATCATCCAACTTAGGACAGACAGACCCAAGAGCAGCAGGAGGGAAACCTCATCAGGCTCCTCGGATTATCACCTGATTCCTCGCCATTGTGAGGCCTGAAGTCCGTGGGCCCCTGTGTTAGAGTCAGCCAAGAAGCCTACATCCAGCCAAACTGACCTTCGGAAGTGAGGGAGCCGTGAAGACATCTGGGAAACAGGCTGAGGGGGTTCATTGCCAGAGAGCTTCCCTGCGAGCAGATGGTCGAGGTGAGACAGGGACTCTGGTCATAACTGAAGAACTAAAGATCACAGTGAAGGTAAGTACACAGGCAGTTGTAGAACTAGGGTTCTGTAACAGCTGTTTGTAACTCATCCCCTAAGGGAT